TTCAAACTACAACCTGACTTTAAAGCGATAATCCTGACTGAAGTGGGGAGCAGAGCCTCTACTTCAGACGAAAGGTAAGGTATAGAATATATGAGAAATCTGAAGTTTCATTGGTTCGCAACCACGCGATCTCTGAAGTCGATCATATAACTACTGAAAAGATTTATATTCAGCATGTGACACTTAGAGAAGGTAAGCAGTGGTGAACGCGGAAAGATTCACTTAAACGGATGGCATGACTCAGCGTTGCAGATGTGGTATGTACGCTTATTACTCTTCACACAAAACATATTATTCTATCCTCAGCCGAAATGTACTCATCAGAAATACTAATCATCATATTGTTGTCACGATAGAATGGGTCAGTGAAGACTATGATGTGACTTACACGCAAGATCTTAAGTGTTCGGTAGTAACATCATGATGAATATACAGTTTGGGGATTCGGTCTGTTATTAAAGTAGTACTAATATCGAACTAGACCATAACTCTATAAATCCTCCTAAAGGATTCAGAACAGCTTTTATATGGACTGAGATAAAGATGAAGTGGCGAATTGAGATTTGATGTGAGGCATTCCCAGACCAGACAGTCAGCTTTAGCACGAAATAATCTGAAAATAACTCCATAGGTTTGTTCAGATGAGCTCCATTGACTCTCAATCGATAGTGAGATTAGAAAAAGCCTTTATGAATTTAAATGTAGTACAACTGGAGCTGTACGGAATCATCCTATCATAAGCACACAAACGTATAGCCGTTCAGTCGGGGAAAATAGGAAATTTGGTTCCAGGGCGAAATAAAGAATTAGTTTGTCAACGTCTTGTACCGAAGATCTTGTTTTAAAGTCAAGTTACTTATTGATTTTTAATCACTTTCAACTGCTTCAGACTCATGGCAACATGGAAACCCACAGGTAAAGGAGGCATGTACTCTGAGAGAGCCAAGTGGTGATCTTACCAGACTAAAAAACGAAATAATTTTACTAGTTATCCCGTCTCTCAACTAAACAGGGAGCTTACTGGCTTGTTATATCTTTCTGTTTTAGTATTAGGTGATTGCCTTGAAAAAATACATCTAATTCATGGGTTTGTTTCAAAGAAACTGTAACCCTTTTGGTCTGGAATTTCGATTAATGTTGCAAAACCTGTTCCACAATCCTGAAGGGATCCACTGAGGCCGTCAGTGTATCGACATATGACCTGTTATGCCAATCACCACTCTCTGTGAAATTCCAAACGGGGTTGGAGGAATTGTTAGCTTGTTGCTGGCCAGATGCATCTTTTCAGTACCGTTGGAGGAAATGGAGGGGCTGATTAGTGGTCAAACGAGAGAATACGTTTACAAAAGCAACTACTGCACTCAATCCCTATAATGACAATTGCGGTTGTCAGGTTCACCTAACCAACTTCTCTTATCTCCACGTGTTCCTTACCAAAGGTAAACAATGCACGTTGGCCAGACCTCGAAATCGGGAATTTTGCGAGACTACTCCTCTTCCTGATCTCCGTTATCGACCTCCTAGATAAAACTGGCTCACTGACTTCCATACATACCGACGACACCAAGAAATGAAGATATATATGCAAGAGGATTCATTTTAGCTCCAGGAAGAAGTCATAACAATAAGAAAAACGAAGGTGGATAGTGGTTTTAATTTAAACATGTCGAACTGCAAAGTTCTAAAACATCTAGTTCTTCAGGACACAAGCGACTTACGTCTACAGTGAAGTTCTCATATGTCTCATCAGAGCGCTATCCAGGACTGATAACCGCGGATAACGTAGACGCCAGCTTCAACTACATAGGGATGCAGCAAGGCAAATGTTACGCTTCACATCAGGACTGTTTCTGGCACTTTAAAACGTACTTACGGCCCCACGTTGAAGTCCACAACGCCACTGTGTCCCCTCTGTTAAAATAAGACGTAAATCTCTTGGACATAATACAGAGACGGGGCAACTAAAAAAGTGATAGAGCTGAGGAATAAATCTTTTCAGGATAAACTCCAAAGGAATAAAAAATGATCTGATAATGGATACAACATATTATACATCTCTAGTCACCCCTTGACGACTATCAAGAATGTCCAGGCCGCTCTCTTCGAGACAATCTCAGAAAAATTTCACATCAAAGAGCTAAACAACAGATATGTTTCCGCTTTTTATCGTTAGGAGTTCTTTTCAATTGTAATGCTCTTCCGACTGAAGTAATCACATATCCTTCAGTGGATAACTTCAAGAAGAGACTTGACAAACGCGTGCTCAGTCATGGATGACCATTTTCCACTTAGGCTAGCCGTGTCTGATGCGTGTCTTGTAAATTTTCTGTCATTATTATTATTATTATCATATACCGTCATTGTGTTTCTATCTACGTCCCTTCTTATAATCTTTTCTTACCCATCATTCTTACACTTCAGTTCATTCGTATTGTTTGCATTATTAATTAATCAGCCAGTCTGTTTATTTTACCTAACCATCGCCTTCCCTTATCTCCTCTGCAGTCTAACATTTTTTAAAAGAATTTTCGCACTGGGATTAACCAACCTCCTAAGTCGTTCCAGAAATCTTACTGCCCTGAAATAAACACTCAGGTTTCAAGACACACAAATTCACAAATTACTGCTGAATCTATCAGAACTACTGAAGTCCCCCAGAAGACATTTGAAAAGATCTGAAATTCAATTTCAACCGTCAGTAGGGGGCAAAAGAAATTACAAAATTTACACTCTACAGGACCTCTACAGGACTTTCCGAAGTGGACCTGAGTGCTGATCTGGTGCTCCGTAAACTGCAGCACCTAAGAAAGGACACTTCTCCTGGTCCGGATATGGTTCATTCCGCTGTATTGAGGGAAGCAGCTTCAATCCTGGCGACACCACTTAGCGTGATGTTTGCACACTCGCTAAGCAGAGGCAAACTGCCGGAAATATGGAAGCTGGCCCACATCACACCAATTTTCAAAGGAGGTCGACCCTCAAACTACCGACCAGTGGCCCTTCTCTCCATACCTTCCAAAATTATGGAATCCCTAGTATACGACGGCATACTAGAACACTTGTCATCCTCAAAGTTCTTCTCGCCTCAACAGCATGTTTTCAGAAAAGGTCATTCCTGTATGACCAACCTGCTGACTGCGGTGGATAGATGGACAACCATCCTTGATCGCAAGGGGAAGGTTGACGTCATCTACCTGGACTTCTCCAAAGCTTTTGGTAGGGTCAACCACGCATGTCTTATCAAGAAGCTCGTACGATTGGGTATAAAACCCCCTTTGATTGATTGGCTTTCTTCATACTTAGAAAACCGACACTTTAAGGTCAGGGTTAACTTCACTCTCTCTCAGGCTATGGAATGTCCTAGTGGGGTCCCCCAGGGCTCAATACTAAGACCTCTTCTCTTCTTGATTTATATTAGCGATCTTCCTCAACACGTTTCATCTGATTTATTGCTTTTTGCTGATGATGTGAAACTTTGGAGAGAGATACGTAATCACAATGATATACTAGTTCTGCAGGAGGATCTGACTCGACTTCAAAGTTGGGCAGACGACAACGGACTTACCTTCAACACTTCAAAGTGCAAGGTAGTCCATCTGAGACATGTTGCAGACTATAGTTATAACTTAGGTAACTCACCTCTAGAAGTTTCCCAAGTTGAAAAAGATTTAGGAGTGTTGATACCCTACGACCTGAAATCGTATGCGAACTGTGACAAAAACGCCTCTCAAGCAAACCTTGTACTGGTAACATTGAAGCGCATTTTTGGCCAGTTTGACGGTAGAACCTTCCACATAATCTTCAACAGTTTTATTCGTCCCCACTTAGAGTACGGAAACATAGTATTTTCTCCCTCCCTCCAAAAGGATAAGGTCACTCTGGAACGTATACAACGTCGAGCCACGAAATCAGTTAGGGGACTCAAATTCAAACCTTATGAAGAGCGCCTCAAATCACTTAACCTTTACCCGTTGGAGTACAGGCGTCTTAGAGGTGATCTTCTTATGACTTATAGTATCCTTAATACTTCTGGTCATCCTTTTAAACATCTTCTTAAGCTTAGTCATAACACCAACCTGAGAGGTAACACCCAGAAATTGGAGACCCTACATAGCAGAACAAACTGCAGACACAACTTCTACTCCGTTAGAGTTGTCAAGTGCTGGAATTCGCTGCCGTCTGAGCTAGTCTAAGCGACCTCCCAGGAGTCCTTTAAGAGGAAAATTGACTTATTCTTAAGGACTAAGGATGACATATTATTATGATTTACCAAATTCTTTTTTCCCTCTATTATCGTTCATATACCTAGGTTCTTGCCTGGAGGTATTGGTGATCCACTGCTACCAGGCACGGAAGCCCGTTAAGCGAAAGCTTCTTCTATTCCGTCCTCAACCATTTGAACCATTTGAACCATTTGATAGGTATTGGATACTGAAAGACGGGGAAGTTTGACTGTTGAGGTCATTGATCCACATTGTTCCCATATTGGGTTAGCTGTTGCTCCAATAAGCTGTAGTTTGGTGAGTTTGGATCCATGGACATCCATTAACTCACATTAGAAACAGTCTCTTACGTTTTATGGTCCCGAAAAAAGTATCCACAAAACTCAGGATGCCATCAGAAGTATCTTTCGTGATGCCACTTATGCTTAAATCTTAGCTTCAGAACAATGTCAGACCTCCCACGAATGGGCTTTAAGTCTATAAATTTAAGTTTGATCAATCACCGCTAGTTGATGTGTTGGGGGTAAGAATAGGTTGGGACAATATATAACTAACCCCAAGGGAGTAGGGTTAGATTTAAGTCTTGTGCCCTTCTGTGCTTGTCCACGGTCTTCTCGAACTCAGTAAACCATGGGAAGCGAACTTCAAAGTCTTGCTGAAGTTTTATCATCATAATTTATTACTGACTTCTTTTCAAACAATAACACTTAATTCAGATTTATACTAAATAAATAAATAAAAATTAATTTTTCTCGCAGATCATATACCCTCGTAGCGATGCCGATCGCTCCAAATACTTATGGGGGAGTTTCCCAACCATCATGTTTAGCCAAAGTAAAGTTAGGATTTTTAATGGGGTTCTGTGTTGGTGTAGCAACTGGTGCTATATTCGGGGGATTCAGTTGTTTAAGGTAAGGTTTTTTAAAAACCAAATTCTTTACAGTTACTGATGTTTATCACTAAAATTTCCGTGTGTTGACAAGTTTTTTCTAGTTTCCTAGAAAATTAGACTGCAATAGACTTATTAAAACGTCTGTCTTTCCCAGAATACCATCATATAATTTATACCACCATATAATTTATATCGATCGTTCAAGACTCCAAGAAAGAACAGAGATTCTCATTTAATAGACATAAAATGAGTCGTTATGATCAATATTTTATGTAAGATGGTAGCCTACGTAATCATCTGACTCTTAACTGGTGCTCGCAAACCAAAAGCTTGGGAAAATAGATTGCTATGAAACATGAGTTTGGAAATGTTAGTCTTATCTTTCTTTATCTTTCTATAAGCTTCAGGAAATAGGTATACCTACCGACACCTATTCCCAGTCGTATTTTCGGATTTGAATTCTGTGTTCTTTCCTATGCTACTTATCTTGCTAGTTTGTTCCGATCGGGCTAATGCCATATTTAACAACTTATATCAATGAACTTATCAGGTCCTTCTTTGGCTATGGATGTTGAAGATAATATGTAACACACACCCAAGGTTTTTTGTTGAAACCTATGAGAGATATATGTTAATAATATATACTAAATTTTTTGTGTTTTTTGTAGATACGGTCTACGTGGGCGTGAACTAATTCAAACGGTTGGTAAAGGCATGTTTCAAGGTGGAGGTACATTTGGCATGTTTATGGCTATAGGAACTGCCATCCGTTGTTAGTAATTCTCTTATTGATTGGCTCACTTCTCAATTCCATGTATGCCTTTGTCAATCTGTTTTATTCTTCAGAAATTACTTGTATCTACTAACTTTCAATGGTATGCTAGTGATGAGAAAACAATGCTTAGATTTAGGAGTCATAGTATTCTACTGTCTACTTATCTTTTCTTGTTCCAAATCTTGATTAGTTTTTATGTATGACAAAATGATGACTGTTTTTATTGGATATGAAATATTTTTGAAAGTTGTTGATAAATATTTGTCAATAATCCATGTACATATTTTGTGTGTATACATTACACCCTTAGTGAATAACATTTATTTTGTTTGTTTTTGATAAATACACTTTGGGATAAGATTTACACATGTATCTGATATGTTCTGCGCCTCGATTCTCAAGACTTACTCTTAAATAAATATTCTGAAATCTTACAATTGAACAATATTGTCTAAAAGTATTCTGTACTTTTTATTTATTTAAATACATAAACATTGATACAAGAAGGCAGGAATATTGCACGAACCCTCAAACCGAAGCAGGTGGTTTTTATAAGGTGCCACTTCTCGAGTCATTGACCTAGACGTCTAATCTACAAGGTAGTGGAGCAACGTTACGAGATGCCGTTTCATGGTGACCGGCGACCAACAGTAGGTCCATATGCCTTTTGTTCCTTCAGTATCCTGGAAGCCATGTGCATCATTGATTTGGAATCACGGTTTTCTAACTCTTTTAGTTAGATCCTTTATATCCACCAATTTAGTTAAAGTATCGGATATTGGTTTTTCGTCCTCTCAATTTCGTAAACAACAAATTTGCGGCGAGAAGGCAGTGAGTAGTACTTCCCTGGCAGTGGTTGAATGCACATGGCCATGTGACAGCATTTGGAGAGAGGGAACCGACTCTCCCCACCGTCAGCCATACCACGGCATTTGGGGGCTTTTATATAATGGCTCGTAAACATTATCCACTCAAGCGTCTACTTTTGTTCGGTTAGTAATTCACACTATGTATGATTCTTATGTCAGCACTTCTAAGACTCACTGCTAAGTTTACACGTGACGCGATTTTGATATGCTGATATGCGTATGCCGACCATGATCTTGTAAACAGTAAAACAATGGATGACATTCATAATATTGTTTTTACTTTATACTGCTTTGATGTAGATCATGAGGAAACAATGTTCATCCTCCACTTTGGTCTGTATATCTTGATTAGTCAATACGGATATATCGCATTTGTCTTATATCGTGTGTACTTAGTTTGAATGTCGTCTTCTTAGTGATATCACATGTACGAACGATGTAAAGGCTTTTGTTGTGATCTGGCTTAGTGGCTAAATATTGGATACAAAGATCAACATGTTTAAAAGTCCTTGAAGAAAACGAAAGATTAAGGGATGTGGCAACTATAGATCATTAATTTTCATAGAATCAGTGCCCATCACGCTCAACTCTTACCTCGTCATATTGCTTGTTTGACGAGTGTCATGTAGCACAAAGACTAAGTCCAGGGTTTACTATCGACTGCCTCCAACAACCTAATGCCTTTTTAATAATATAATTATCCTGTTGGCCTTTATCTTTTAATTACTTTGCTACTTGTTTGTCATTGTTTAGAATTGTTGTTACGTACTTTAATGGTACGGCCGAGAGTGGGGAGAGTTCGCTCTCCTCGAAATGCTCTCACATGGCCACGCGTGTACAGTCACTGCCTTCTCGTGACATTATTGTTGTTTACTAAATTGAGAGGACGAAAAGCGAATGTCCGGCGTTTTAACCGGGTTGGTGGACATGGGAAGTTCACCCTGGGGGAGTTGGAAAACCCTGATTCCAAACCAATGGTGCACATAGGCTGGCCCCAGTATCCTGAGGGAACAAATGACGCATGAACCTATTGTTAGTCTTCGGCTATCATGAGACTTCATCTCCTTGCGTTGCTTCACTGCCTTGTGGATTAGACGTCTAGGTCAATGGCTCGAGGAGTGGCCCCTTATGAAAACCACCTGCTTCGATTTGGTCACTCGGGCAGTATAATAGCCCATGAACAACTCAAGTGACTTATGTGTTCAGTGCCCCTTTGTAACAATATCTGTGTGTTCAAATAAGTAATTAAGTCCTTGATAAATGAATTAATTGAGTATATCGTAGGGATTAGAATCAATTAGATTTACGTAAAGTGACACTGGATATAGTTTATTTGTTCATTTCTAGAATATCTGTCGCCTTCGGGAATTTAATTTTTATTACCCATGAAAGACATTGGCGGCATAACTAGAAGTTGGATTGCTTTGATGCAGTTGCCTTTGTCTTCCATTTTTGTGGTCTATCCCACGACCTTGTTTGTTACTTTTAAATTACATTTCTTATGTTTGGTCTTTCACCACGGTCACTGACGTTATGATACCAAATTCTTTGATTTTCATCTTATTAATTCCCTCTTTTGACATACTAATGTTTAGTGCAAACATGTGGTTAATATACATTAGTGAGGAATCTTTTGCTATTTACAGAGGTTGAAATAAAACTTTTCCTAAATGCAAATACATACAATATTTATGTGAAATATCAGATGACTGACATCGAGCTCCATTAGTTGAGGTTGATACAGCATAATTACCAACCAGTTAATCATGATATTTATTTCATTTTTGTTAAAGTTATTCGTGTACCGCTGGGTCTCTTCCTAATAATGGTCTCTCGCATTTCGACGCCCTAGTTTGAAACTTGAAAGGAAAATTTGTTTTTTCAAGGTTGCCCAGATATGACGCATACATACTTCTACTCAAAAATCAACAATCAGTTATATGAAACGTAGGACCTGGTACATATACGACCGGCTAGAATTGCTACACTAGATCAGCACAGTTAAATGGAATTATCAAGATAAATACCAGAATATTTAAAATGGAAGCAGTATTAGTGGTAATATGAAAGACTAGTCATAAAAAATGGGATCCAATGAAAAGGAAAAAAAATTGTAGAATAGGAATTGGAATTTTAGAGCTCAAGATCTAAGGAAGGGAAAAGAGTATATAAGTCTGCGCTTTGGAGAACAATTCTGACCTAGGCCACCCATTAGCTACGATAATCACAAGGATCCCAACCTGATAGTCAGCATCCACCGACTCGACCCGGTTCGACAGTCAGTAAATCGTTGCTATGTTTTGATTAGGCCACCCCTGCCTTCTAGCTTACTCTCACACTAGTCAGTATTGTTTTTTTGAGGCAAGTGTTGGTTGGGTATATGTTGCACATGTCCCGAAAGTTAACAGTCATTAAACTATACAGAATTCATCTAATTATCATCATTAATTATCATAAAATTCCAGAATGTTTTTATTTTTTTTGGTGCATAGATAATTCAGTTTATTGGAGTAAAATTAAAGGATAACAATGCACACATGCACATAAATAAATGAAAAGTGTACCAAAATCGTATGATCATAAGTAAACATAATAATAAGTAGTATAAGTATAAGTAGTATGGAATGCTTTCAATAAATGATAAGTAGGATAATTAATATGCAGTATATAATATATTATGCTTTGTTTTTTTCATTCTTCTATCTGATTCTTCCGTTAACAAACTATGGAAGGTTTTGGTCGAACAACTAATGAACGCATACGTAGCCCACCGTCAGCACCACAACTTAAAAATCGACAAGCTGTTGATGCGGCAGTCATTGAACATTTCTGATCATGAGAAGAATGTGTAATAGGCATTTGGTTATTTAGATTTGTCGAACAATCATTATTTTTAGTAGAATTACTGTCATTAATATTATTATTGTTATTGACATGAATCAATGCTGCTCCTGTAACCGTCGGCAATAGACGAATATCTGAAATGCCTGGGTTAGTAGCAGCAATTATAGCTGCTGATTGATTGCCTCTGAATAGAGCAGCGGCAGCGACAGCTGCTGCACCACGACTTGGATGCAGGTCACCAGAGAAACTAGTCAATAATTCTCGTTCAGATAGCCTCCATATCTGAAAGAATAAATAAGTAAAAACCTGACGTCTTATCGATGAAATAGTAATATACTACTGACTTTGTTAAGTAGTTTCTAATTGTAGGACACAAACCACTGTGCTTAGTAGATTTCCTTTTTGACATGTGTAAGTGAAATTAAAATATGATTGAGCACTGAGCATGGACAATCAAGCACTTCGCCTACTGACTATTAAATATGTGATTTCTTTTCCCCTCACTGACTTCTAATCCGAACTCATTGAGTGTAACTACTAGTAATTGTGTGGAATAAGGTATTATCTAGTGTTAACCCGGTTCTCTATTCTGAGTCGTAAATTCTGGATATGATATAACGTGACTAGTCTCATCATCGTATTGACGTATTACCGTAGTATACCTCAGAGAAAAGAATATTTTAAACCATCCAATATATCGGTTTTCAAACAAATCAACAACATGATCTGGAACTAGGATGTGGTTATTTTGTTCCTGATAGTTCAGAAGCGTATCTGATTAGTTATTATCAACATAGATCCCGGAAAGTTTATTTATCAATAACTGGTGGTATGTGAATAAGCGTTGATAATGGGGACAGGAGCAGAATAACAAGTTATGCGGGTGTTTGATTGTCAATAAGGTGATCTCGAGTATTACTAAGAGTATGTGTGAACGATGGTCACTTCCCTGTTCCTCACACCATGATATGCTACTTCTTTTCAAGGGAACTGAAAAATAAAATGGTTTCAGATTGGTCTTGGAAAATCAGGACCATGACCACGAAGCTCAGTGAAACTGCCTGTGACTGTGACACTTATTGATATGGGTCCGGATCTCACAGTAAGATATTAGTTCTATCAAGATCGCAGATATACCTGGCCATGTGGCAAGTAGCGCAACATTTGTTGTCGATTATATCCCACCACAGAACGTTAAATTTGGTAATATTTGGAGTCTATTGTATGATTCCATGTACAAAGGATTACAGTACTAAACTCATTTTCTCATGGATTTATATGATTGAATCAAATTCACACCATAAGAGATTGTTGAAAGCGTGAGTCAATCGAAGCTAGACCACCAGGGAAAACCTGGAAGCACTGGACGGTCGTTTCGTCTTATTGTGGGACTCCTCAACAGTGAGCATCCACGACCTCGCCTCACGAGATTCGAACCCAGGATATACCAGTCTCGTGGATGCGCACTGTTGAGGAGTCACACAATCAGACGAAACGGCCGTCCAGTGCTTCCAGGTTTTCCCTGGTGGTCTAGCTTCGATTGATTCACGCTTTCAACTATGAAAATACTAAATCTCCACAGAAAACCCCTTCTGATAGTTGAATATCAACAAACAATCTATTAAACATACTTTAACAATTCCATCCGCTCCACCAGTAACTAAACAATCCGTTGCTGAATCAATACACAATGTTCTTATTGGTGCATCATGAGCTGAGAATTTATGCAACACTTTTGGATTTCGCATATCCACAGTACATATATCACCATTTTTAGTACCGACAATAACAGTTCTATCATTGGTAGTGAAGATTCGTTTTGAATTAACTCCAGTAGTTAGTGAATTTATAATATTGTTACTAGAATAAATGTTTATATTGGATGGCCAACTATTGGTGTTCGTAAGTGATCCACAGTAGGCAATTGATGTACATGGAGCATCCAATTCTGGGTCAAGAACACCTTAGCGTAAATAGGTGAAATAGAAAAGGAGAAATATTTACGTGATTATCTAATCAACACTGTATATATGTTTGAATATAGCAATAACTGACATCATCTAAATAACAGTCGAGAATCATGAAAAAGCTTTCCTATCTTAGTTTGAGACTCCTTAATGTGGTAATACACACACACATAAATACATGGGATCAGCAGTTTTAGGTCTTATGGCAGAAATATGGCGTAAAGATTATCTAATGCGATCGGTTATAACTGTTTAACATATTACATTTTGCAAAAGAGAATCTTTTATGTCTTACAGACGCTAATCGATATCATGCGCTATATCTCCAGTAGGACCAGTGACCTATTTCACGAATTTACTCGCCAATCAATGAACCATAGTTGAGGCTTTAATGGTTATTGGCTCTCGGGTTCCAAATAATCCTATAGCCAATTAGAAGAGGTAGATAGGGAACAGATTAGTTATCTATTGTACCCAATTTAATTTATGACTTAAAATGCCCATAACAACATACTTAAAATGATAGACCATACATGATACCAGATAAGAAATTAAACCTTGAACACAAAGGTACTAAAAGTGGAATAAGGCGGAGAGAACGGTACATAAATAATTAACAATAACTAAAGAATAGCAAAATGTATAGTGACGGTTATTATCGTTATTATTATTATTATTTAAACAGATACAGATTGATATAAGAAGGCACCTAATATATATGCACCACACTTCATCATTCGATATGTGTTAAAGCTGGAATACTGCACGAACCCCCAAACCGAAGCAGGTGGTCTTCATAAGGGGCCACTCCTTGAGTCATTGACCTAGACGTCTAATCCATAAGGCAGTGGAGTAACGTTACGAGATGCAGTTTCAGGGTGACCGGTGACCAACAGGTGGTCCATATGCCTTTTGTTCCTTCAGTATCCTGGAGGCCATGAGCACCATTGATTTGGAATCACGGTTTTCTAACTCTTTTAGTTAGATCCTTTATATCCACCAATTTAGTTAAAGTATCGGATATTGGTTTTTCGTCCTCTCAATTTCGTAAACAACAAATTTGCGGCGAGAAGGCAGTGAGTAGTACTTCCCTAGCAGTGGTTGTATGCACATGGCCATGTGAGAGCATTTCGAGAGAGAGAACGGACTCTCTCCACTTTCGGAAGTACCAGAGCATTTGGGGACTAGTGAAAGTTAATAGGTTTACTGCATCAAATAAACTATTTGGACATTTTTCTTGAATTGTCTCTCAAAAATTACATCTCCCTTTTTATCCCTGATGTTATTTCGATTGATTTCAGTTTCGGATTCTATTCTCTTCATTTTCCTCTTCTGTCAGTAGTAATTCTACTTTCAATACCTGATATATACTACTTATATCGGTTTGTATAAGTAGCACACATCACATATGTACTCACCAGTTGAAATACATTGTGTAACGATAATGATGATACGATCTGATTCTAGATAGCAAATTAGGTATTTGCAACAGATTTCTTAGCCTGAATCCTAATGTTTAAAAACTAAATACATTAACACGTAGTAAGCAACCATTTCGAAATTAAATTAAGATTGGTAAGCAAAGATGAATAGTGGCTAGCAGTGGAATCCAGGACGCGCATTTCGTCCTATTTGGGGCTTGTCAGCTCGTCAGTGTCTGAGTGGATAACGCGATGGCGTTTGAAGCGAAAGCTACTGGGTTCGAGTCCCAGAGTGAACATCAACTCTGAGATGCAGGTACATCCAGCTGACGATTCCCAAATAGGACGAAGTGGCGCGCGTCCTGGATTCCACTGCTAGCCACTATCCATCTTGACTTATATAGCTTATATCTTCAGGCAATATCGAAGCAGTCTGCACAGGATGCACATATCCCAACAAAAAACTGATCAATTGCAGTCCTAAGCATCAATGAGAAGATTCAAGCAAACAATACTAAGTGAATTTTAAATTAAGATTTAATTATAATACTGAAAACATGAACCAAATTTTCTCACTATATTGGCACCGTCATAACGGTGAAATGTACTTTTCCACTGACACTGCTTTAGTTTATGTAATGGCTCTAAAGTAACACGTACTCATCAAAATAAATCATTTAAGCAAAGTTACTCCTTGAATAGAATAACTTGCAAAGTGAATGACAATTATCGAGAAAATGAATGCATCCTTTGCTTTCTTGTGTCAGCTTACTGGTTTATACCCAAGTAAGCGCTCAGTAATATTAAGAAAGATTGAATTGTGCTAAAAACATCACAATACAAACACTGTTATGAGCAATATCTCTTTGTATTTGCTTTATTTATACTCTCAGATATTTAATGTTTAACTCCGCCTGTAGCTCTTCTAGGGTTACTGCAGGTCCGAAACCCTGGTAATGGAGAAGGGTTAGGCATGGGATCAGCAACCCTATCACGTGGAAAACAACTTTGCTAAAAAACGCTAACCAGAATAAATAATTAGGTGTTTACCTCTAACTAGATGCTTGACTGTAATGACAAGTCTCTCCCCAGTAAAAAAAATAGGAAAATCTGTTTTCCATTCAGTTAGGCAAACCAAAGCATTCTGCCCTATGGTACTATAACAATCAAGGGATTGGCTTATTTAATTTATTAGTAAAATAATATAAATATAATAAATGGATGAAGGTAAAAGAGAATTACTTACGAATAACACCACATCGATTAGGTGGTAATAAAGTGTCCCATAATGTTAAATGTGATGCATCTTGATCTGTATTAACAGTTCCACCGGAATAACTGATACCTCCACCGCTGCTACTACCACCTATGATATTGGAAGAAGTGTAGTATGTTGGCCCACCAACACCAATGTTGCTGCTAGCATAATTAAGACCACTACCAATACCACTTACATCTATTCCACTGGCAATATGTGGAGTTGTTGTAGTCATTCCGCCATTGCCAACTGTAGCTATTAAACTACTACAGCCAAGAAAACAAAAATCTGCTAAACCTTTTGCATGACAACGACAACGCTATAATACAAGAATGGGAGAGAGAAAAAGCGTGAATGATCAAGCTACGAAAGATGAACAATAGGATATTTGTAAAAGTGTAGTAGAAAAAAAAACATGACACTGGTCACTCACTACTCAGTGAACAATCAATCGTAAAAATATCACATTCTACGGAAGGTTAGGCGCCAACTAAACATTAACTCAGTGGTAACGTCCCAGACGCTATGAAGCTGGATGACATAAGTTTGAATCCATCCATGAGCATCAGTTCCCTAAAGATAGCAGGTAGACCTTGCGGTATCAACTAGTATAAAACTAAGATCAAGAGAGGTTTTCTCCCGATCTACCCCAAACACATAGAATCTCTACATACTGCACGCAATGTTGAATCATTTAGAGTAGAGGCCAAATTACAAATTGATTAATAAAATTCAATCAGAAGGACTAGACAAACAACACATCGGTCACTCACTACTCCGGTGATGAATCAGTTGTAAAGAGTAATGTAAAACAAAAAATACATGCTTTTAATTCAAAGTATGAAAGTTTAAGTTGCATATTATATTTTGTACAGTGGTTGAAAGTGAAATTTAGGATTCGTATTTTGTTAGCTGGTGATTTAGCCGGATACCAGACTGTTCAAGTATGAAACGAGATACAAATCTTGTACCTAACGCCTTAAATATTTATGGGTTATCCGCTAGACCACTGAGTTCAAATAGCCAACAACTTATTTAACGAGAATGAGTTATAAGTACTCGTGCTTTCCCGTTGTTGATATTCTGTTAGGATATAGACAGGGTCATTGTTGACCAGATACCTTGAGGACAGCATACACACCCTAAATTCTATTGTTACACACATTAACCACATCAGAATCCATTTATAGTTACGAAAAAGTCGTCGTATCCGTTAAAGTTTTTTTTTCAATGAAAAAGTATAAATATGAACAGATAAGTCTGGAATATTGTAGAAGATAAGTTTATGGCGCATTTTATACATTTCACCTTTGTAAAGTCCTACATTTTAGTTAATTATGGTAATCATTAAACAAGCGGGGCCAAAACAAGATGTGGCGTCAGTTCATAAAATGATTGATTTGCATTAATCTGAATCAATATGATCGATGTCAAATTACATGTCAAAGGTTCATATGATAACCGCGATCAGTATTTGAAGAGAGAAATTAGGTCACATAAGCCCGGAACCACTCTTTATCTTCATCAATACCTGAGGTTCCAGTATTCCTCCTCACACACACTTTCTCATGACATCGTCTTGAACTATATTCTTAATATTTAATCCTTCTTATTATCATTGTTCCTGAGATTATTTCGACACTTTTATTATTTTTTCCATTGAATTACACCTTATCATGAAAAAATGTCCGATTGTAACTTGGGCTAACTCAGTACATTTACGTCAGGTTCTATGTTGATTAAAACTGATTGAATAATAATTGCATTAACTAAAATTTATTGAAATCATCAAATGGTTGAGGTGAAACTATCACTGACAACTTGAAAGCCCTCTACGGTCGTTTCTTCCAAGTACGGGACTACTACTGAGCAATACGCATCCATACCTCTGGATGCAGGAATCAAGTCACCAAGACCTTCGCGGTCTCACACGCGAACACTTAACCTCTAGGCATCATAATATTAATGAAATTCAACAATTTCCACAACCCTTTACTGACAAACTAAAATCCGCTTTGAAATAGAATAATAATTATTAAAGTTATTAGATAACAAGAATTAAATGAACAAAATAAACGAATACAAGTAAGTATTCGGAATGTATAACTAAACTACTTGCCCCCAAATGCCCTGGTACTGTTATGTAGTAGCGAAGACATAAGTACGGGTAACTTGCAGGACCTACTATTGGACTATCATTCTTATTGTATAACTATTCAGTAACTAGATTATCTAAGCTTTATTTTGACTTATTGATTATTACTATATGATTTACTGTCCCTATGTTATGCTCAGTTTTATTAATTATTGTCTCCCACGCTTACAGCCTCATTTGGCTTGGTTTTGTACAAATATTATTTTCTATTATATGGTATGATGTGGTCTGTCTGATATATAAACAAAGTATGCTTGAAATAAACGATTCGTATTGCCGAGGCTGCTATTGGTGTTTTTGGACTCAAGTGGATGGGTTGGGCGGATAAGGGCCAATAAGGACGCTAGATTACTCATACTAATCGAACGTCACTGTCACAGTGTGAAGGTCGTAGAAGTCGTATTCTACTGGTGGACAATTTACGCGAATTACGTCCTTGTTAAATTCGTAAGGTCATAACGAATCAGCGACGACCTTGATCAAGTCATAACAATTGGCTACCGTCTAGGTCAAAAACATAACAAATTGGCGACGGCTAGGTCAAGTCATAACAGGTACGGTCGAGAGTGGGAAGATTCCGCTCTCCCTCTCGAAATACTCTCACATGGCCATGTGCATATAGCCTCTGTCAGGGAAGTCCTATTCACCGCCATATTATTATTGTTTACAAAATTGAGAGGACGAAAAAAGAATGTCCGGCGCTTTAACCGGGTTGGTGGACACGAAAAGTTCACCTAGGGGAGTTGGAAAACCCTGACTCCAAACCAATGGTGCACATGGGATGACTCCAGTATTCTGAGGGGAAAATGGCGTATGAATCAATCGTTGGTCACCGGTTATCATGGGACTGCATCTCCTCACGATGCTCCACTGCCTTGTGTATCAGACCTTTAGATCAAAGGCTTGGGATGTGGCCCCCTAAGAAAACCACCTGCTTCAGTTTGGGCATCTGGGCAGTTTCACACCCCTCACCGAAATCTCATTTGATTTGTGTGGTGCATATGTATTGGGTGCCCTTTTGTACCAATATTTATGTGTTTAAATAAATAAATAAATAATAAACTAACTTACAAAATATGGTAATTTGCCTGGCATAGTTGAATATAAATTCCATAAACCAAAATTTCCTTCAGAATCTCCACAACCAAACTTGATTGATACAAATGTTAAATTAGACAGGAATAGAATAGATTACGATGGAGAGATGTAGCGATGAGTACGAAAAAAAAGAAGAAAGATGAGATCAAAAGTGGATTAAAAATAGCACGATCGTTTTAAAGTTAACGTACATAAATGGTATTGTCAAATCTACTGAAGCGTCTAATCTCACGATCGATATACACAGTAATTTGTCTAAAAACGGATTCTTTATTAAGGAATAGATATAAATTAGTGACAAACCTCTTTAGATGCGCACTACTGAGGAGTCCTGTACTAAAAATAAAAGGCCGTCCAGTGCCTCCAGGTTTTCCAAGATGGTCTACCTTAAACCGACTCATGAATTCAACCATTAAATTGCTACAATTTCCACAAATATTAGAACGCACTTACTCATTCTTATTTAGTCATTAAACAGCTCAAACCTAGAACATATAGTCAACTATAGTCACACACTGCTGCAGGAATCATTGTTCAGACAAGTCAAAAGAACTAGTTCAGCGAAGGTTAAAATAGAAAATATACGCACAGTTGAAGATCTCATGATTGATTAATTGGAATCAGAATTTATTTACAGATGAATCACGTTCCTATCTCTTAATTCATAATAGTCTTGAAGTCCCTTTGGATTTTACAAATCGTGAGAGTCAATTAAAATCAAATTTCATTTAAACAGCGAACTGACCTATGTTGAACAACCGTTGAAAATCCGGAAGCGCCGGACGGCTATATTTCTCTAATATGGAACTCCTTAGAAGTGTTCATCCATGATACTACAAAAGGGTATCGAACTAAGGACCATCGGTTTAGCGCACGAACACTTAATCTCTAGACTGCTGAGTCGGAATTCAATGCTTTTCAAATTTACAATCTCCTGAGTCTGATTCCCGGTTAATTCGGACGGAACTGATTCATATGTATATGCACTGATTTATACTAGAACAAAAGGGCCACCCAGTGCTTCCAGGTTTCCAATGGTCATCTAAATTGGATTAGTTCGTGATTTAAATAAGATTAAACAATACCCATAACCCCATACTGACCATAATCATATTGTCGACTTTCATTAAATTCGTAAATTAGACAAATATCTTTTAAATTTTTCCGATAAATTCTGATTTCTTATTATCTCTAAGAATATTAGCACAGACTGACTACTTACAAATTCCTTAAGTAGTAAACTGTACAGAGAGACAGAGAGAAACAGTTTTATGAAAAAAAAAGAGAAGTATTGGTAACACAACGTTATAACATTAAAAACACACTTACACGATAACCACTATCATCAAATTGTAATGCTGTAACACGTGCACCTCTAGAACCAGCTGGAAATTGACCTGACATACCAGCACTTGTTAAACTGTAAGTATTTGTAAATCCAGCGACAACTGGTACTGGAGTTGACCATTCGAACATATGCACTGAACCAGTACCTGTTCCACATAGATCTAAAATATAAAATAATAGCAATGAAATTTAAAGAAATCTTGGACATTTTCTGAAAGTATGAAGTTTACGTCAATTTGTTATCAATAGACCCTAACCCTTTTATACATGAACTCTATATATTAACGTATATGGAAAATGTGAATCAATCATATGGCCAGGAGTCAACAAAACAAAACTTTTGACAAGACTAAAAAGATAATAAAAGTTACAAACTGCCCAAAAACAAATTTTCCAAGATAAAGTCATCAAAATAGGCTGATTTAACACTTAAAGGATTAAGTGAACAACACATTTCTATGTGAGGGAAGCTCAGATGACGATAATGAAAGCTTTATAGTTAAACCAATATACCTAAAACAACACTTGAACGATAAACCTTCTCCCATAGATTTTATCATATTGTTATAAATTGTAAAGGATACTAATTATAACTGGAGGGATTTCCTGTTATAACAGTCCTTTCATTTTTTTTACACGTATATGGGACGCTAATTTACCTTAGATGAATATCTACACTAGATTCCCACCCAGTGTCTATTCTACAGGACTTCACCAGAACTCAGATCAAGAACACGAGATTAGCCTGACTATAACGTCAATATATTTCCACACCAAAATCCGACACAAGGAACAGTCGATCAATAACAGTCCATCAATAAGTGTTAATACATAATAAGGATAGGGGAATATATATAACACATATGACACCTGTCACACTATCTACATGTCTGACTCATCAAGACAACCAATTATTGTCATTCTCGCCCACACATCACATATTAATCGTTTATTCATAATAAGTAGATTGGAAATTATTGAGAGTCAGCCCCCAAATGCCCCGGTACCGTTGAGAGTGGGGAGAGTCCTCTCATTTCAAAATCCTCTCACATGGTCACGCGTATACAGCCACTGACAGGGAAGTCCTAATCACTGCCTTCTCATACCACGGGCTTTGTTTACGAAAGTAACAGGATGAAAGGTAAATGTCCGGCGCTTTAACCGGGTTGGTGGACAAGGCGAGTCCACCTAGGGGAGTTGGAAAATCCTGATTCCAAATCAATGGTGCACATGGCCTGCAGGATCCTAAGGGAACAAATGATGTATGAACCTACTGTTGGTCACCGGTTATCATGGGACTGCATCTCGTAACGTTGCTCCATTGTCTTGTGAATTAGACGTCTAGGTCAATGCCTCAGTGTGCGGGGCTCCCTAAGAAAACCACATGCTTCGGTTTGGTTGTCCGGTCAGTATTCCAACCGTCACACAAATCGAATGATGAAGTGTGGGGCATATGTATTTGGTGAACCTTTGGACCAATATTTATGTGTTCAATAATCAATAAATGTGTAATAAAAAAGTGTAACAATCTAATTATGAAGATTATTCGTTGAATAGTTTCAGGACAAGTTTCTAATGTCCTGTTGTCATACAAGATTTAGATATAAATATAAACTTAAATTAATTGTTAACTTATAAAATCAATTCATATTTTTTAACAGAAAATACAATTTTTTCTATATAGTTGAAATCATGAGTCAATTGAAGCTAGACCACCATGGAAAATCCGGAAGCATTGGAAGGTCGTTTCGTTCTATCGTGTGACTCGTCAGACAATACAAATTTTTATCAAATTTTTTTCAGTTAATAAGAAAGAAAACAAATAACCTAGGAATATTCATACTGGTAAACGAATATTAGTCAGTCAAAATGTAGAACTTGATATATATATATATCGGTTCAAGTTGTCATATCCTGTTAATAGAAAAAGAAGTTGTCAGGTCAAATCTCAGAATAGTAGAGGTAATAACAGTATCAGTGGTAATGGAAAAGATTGGGCATCAAAGATACAATTCCAGAAAATATAAATTAACGAAGTAAAAATAAAAAGTAAGGAATCTAGAATCTGGGGGCAGACAAAGAACAGATGCACCTGCGCCATTGCAAACGCTTTCAAGACATGTTATTCAAAGTCTCTAACCACTGATTACGATGATCATGCGAACTTCAACCAGGTAGTGCATACCTATTAGGATGAATGGGTACAATTATCAGCGACTTCATGGACTGATGGTATGTTTCGGTTTGGCCTCCTTGCTTTCTTCCAACCTACTCTTGTAACAGAAAATATCGCCTATCGAGGTAGACGGTGGTTGGATACATGTAGCACATGTACCAAACCACCTTAGTTGATAAAGATTTATTAACTCATCAATCGAATCGTTATCCCCACCTAGTACTCTATTCTCGACCCAAGCAGTACTCACTCCGTGGTCCCAAAATACACGAGCAATGCTTTGTAAACACTGGTGATTAAATACCGGTAACCTAAGAAATCCTTTGCTCGTAATAGCCATGTTTTACATCTACAAAGTTGGATGAAGTGAACTGCTGGACAGTAAGCTCGCCCTTTGGTTGGAAGACGGATATCTCGGCCTACATCGCAAGTTACCCTAGTCGCTGAAGCTAATAGAGACTTCTGAATTGCTGCCGACATTTCATCAGACATCACTACTGATAATAATCCCAAGGTAAGTGAAGTGGTCGATGCGTTCAACAATTTCACTTATCATTAATTCAGGAATAACGAACATACAATTTCTATTTAAGCCTAAATTTCTTTCAATTCCCATCAAACACCTAACATTAAAATATAGTGCACGGAGATGTCAAGTCATTCAAATTAGTGGACACAGTAAGACATACAATTTCTATTTAAGCCTAAATTTCTTTCAATTCCCATCAAACACCTAACATTAAAATATAGTGTACGGAGATGTCAAGTCATTCAAATTAGTGGACACAGTAAGACTTAGTCGATGGTTGCCCCCAAATGCGCTGGTACGGCCGAGAGTGGGGAGAGTCCACTCTCCCTCTCCAAATGCTCTCACATGTCCACGCGAATATATAGCCTCTACCAGGGAAGTACTACTCACTGCCTTCTCGTGGCATTACTGTTGTTTACGAAAGTGAGAGGACGAAAAGCGAATGTCCGGCGCTTTAACCAGGTTGTTGGACAAGGCGAGTCCACCTAGGGGAGTTGGAAAACCCTGATTCCAAACCAATGGTGCACATGAGCTCCAGGATCCTGATGGAACGAATGGCGTATGAACCTATTGTTGGTCACCGGCTACCATGGAACTGCATCTCCTCACGATGCTCCACTGCCTTGTGGATCAGACCTTTAGATCAAAAGCTCGGGGTGTGGCCCACTAAGAAAACCACCTGCTTCGGTCTGGGCACCCGGACAGTATCACAGCCCACACACAAATGATATGAAATGACACACTACACTAACTACACTGCTCTCGTTACTAATAGAAGAAAGACAATTTACATTATTATTATTATTATTATTATTATTATTATTATTATTATTATTACTATTGTTTACTACGTCGCTTTTTCATTCCCTTTATTCCCAAATTGTGTATCCTTCCTTTCCAACTTATGTAGTAGCTCGTCCATGGTGGAAACTGTCCTATCTAAACGATCTCCAGTCACTGTCTGGTTGAAAGTGAATGCTTCCACCGATTATGAATACTGAAGCAGTCTTTCTGGAACCACGTACGCCGTTCAAGCTGGCTTCCTTCAACGTTCGCACACTAATGCATATCAGACAACAGATAGGGCTGGCTATGTCTTTGGAAGGTCTTAATGTTGATGTTTGCTGTCTATCCGAGACCCGTATTCAAGACTCTAGTGAAGTACTACAAATCCGCTCTCCATCTGTCGCCTCGAAAAGCTTGTTCCACGTGCGCTTATCCGGGGACCCTGTGGCATCTTCGTCTGGTCTTGCTGGCGTTGTTGTCGCACTAAGCGCTAGGGCTCAGGCAGCACTAATCGATTGGATCCCCATTAACAGTCGGTTATGTGCTGTTAGATTAGAAAGTCCCATCAAAGTGAGAAGAAATCGGCGTGAGAAACGGTGTCTTTTCGTCATCTCCGCCTATGCCCCGACAGATTGCAGCCCGGATGCAATCAAGGATGAGTCTTACCATCAGTTAACAGTTCTTCTCCAGAAAGCGCGTTCGACAGATATTGTAGTACTAGCCAGAGACTTGAATGCTCAGGTCGGGCGTCTAGGCACAGAAGAGAGTCGTTTAGGTGCCCGATGAGGACTTGTTGGTCGCAAGACAGATAACGGGGACCGTTTGCTGCAACTGTGCACAGACCACAACCTGTTTCTGGCTAGCACTAACTTCCGGCACAGTCATTGCCGGTGTGCTACCTGGCGTCCTCCCTCTGCATCCCAAGCCTGGACTCAGATTGATCACATCGCGATCAGCCACCACTGGCGTGGTTGTGTACAAGACTGCCGCTCCTTTTGGAGTACCTATCTGGAGTCTGATCATGACCTGGTCTGCGCCAATCTCACCTTACTCTTCAGTGGCCGAAGGATTGACCACCACCAACGGATTGATGTTAGTAAACTGGCTGCAACATCTGTTGCAAGTAAGTATCGAGCTGAGCTAGCCTCTAGGCTAGCTACCACCCCACCGAAAAGTATAGGTAAGCATTGGTTGCATCTTCATGACGCCATGAAAATGGCGAGTAAAGCCGCTTGCGGCTTCGCGAAACGTCCCGCTTACAAGCACTGGGTTTCTTCTGGCTCCTTACAACTGATGGAAGCCCGTCGGTCTACTCCGGGTGACTGTGAGTTTGACCACAAACGAAGGCTGTTATGTAATGAAATCGGGCAAAGCTTGCGTAAGGACCGGGAAGCCTGGTGGTCGGAGCGTGCTAATGAGATGGAAGCAGCAGCTGCATCTGGTAACTGCTGGAAGCTCTTCCAACTCATCCGAGCCACTGGCAGCAAGAAGTCTGGTGTGAGTGAAACAATCTGCGAGGATGATGGGATGCCAATCACTAATATCTCTCGACGTCTTGGACGATGGACGGAATTCTTCGAAGGGCAGTTCAACTGGCCTGCTGCTCCGGCAACATCAACCAGTTTGTCCTGCCCCCCATGGCCGGTGACCCTCCGCCAAATGTTAGAACACCGTCATACTTATCGCAGGCCAACAATCGTAGTGTTTCTTGATATCAGGGCGGCCTTCGATTCGTTGGACAGGACTGTTCTCTGGGATTGTCTATTGAAGAAGGGTGTGCCTGAGAAGTTCATTAACATCTTAAAGGCCCTGTATACGAACACCTCAGGCAGAGTGAGGGCATACAACCACCTTTCTCCCTTGTTCCATTCGAGCAGTGGGGTTAGGCAGGGTTGCCCGATCTCCCCATTCCTCTTCAACTTTGCCATCGACGACATCCTGGAAACAGCTCTGATGGATGTAAGTAATGGCGGTGTGGATATGTTGACTGGAGAACGACTTCTCGACCTCGAGTATGCGGATGATATTGTCTTACTGTGCTATAATGCTCAAGCCATGCAATCCGCACTTAATCAGTTGGCAATCAGTGTCCGCAGGTACGGCATGTGCTTTGCACCCTCCAAGTGCAAAATACTCCTACATCTTGAAACACCGACTTCGGTGGCTTGGACATGTTTTATGAATGTCGTCTCAGAGACTTCCACGTCGTGCATTATTTGCCGACCCTGGGACTGGTTGGAGAAAGCGGAGAGGAGGTCAGTGTATGACATGGTGTCGTGGCATGAAAGAAAGCTGCAAAGGGCTAGCTTTTGTTGGTCCTTCACGACTCCCTGGCTGGGGTCCGAGAGATGTTGCAACACAGTGGCTAGAGACGTTATCAGATATGGCTCAGAATAGAAGCCAATGGCGATCCTGCTGTAAGCTTCTTTTACTTTCTACATAAAGAATGGTTCTAACTTTCTTAACTGAAAGAGTCTTCTGGTTGTACATTTCAGTCCGCCTCATCTTTTCATCCCTTCTCTTCCTACTTTCATTATTTTGTGTGGCGCCTATGTATCTGGTGCCCTTTTGTACCAAAATATATGTGTTTAAATAAATAAATAAATAAGTCGATGGAATTGGATCAACACCAAAGATTAAACGAATATGACATTGGCTACCACTAAATGATAAATTTTGCTAAATTAACGCACGATCCGATTGTTTAGCCTCTAGTAATAACTCCAGGCTAAATCTACACGGTAACTTGAACACACGAGAAAAGGCATGAAGTACAGAAAGAACGCTCTACTCCAAGTTTAGTTTATGTACAGAAAAACGAGGGTATTTGTAGAGTTCCACACGACATTAGGCTTATAGAGGTTTCTGGAACCATACTAAACATAGTAACAGTATAGGTCAATATCAAATCAGAAAAGTGACAAGTAATTTTTCACTTTTTAGATGTTTCTGAGAGGCTTCTATTAAACACTGATTGAACAAAGTGTTTCCAAGAGTTTTCTGGGCCCATAAAAACTTTTCCAAGGAATACTTTGAAATTATATAACAGAAATAATGATGTTGACCCATTTGATTTTATAATGATTAAGCGTTCATCATGAAATCGGAAAGTTTTTTGTCCCATCCTTAATGAAGTGTACACTGCCGATGAGTTACAAACTGCGATATAGAATTTATCCTGTACTCTGTTTTTTCAATGATACTTCAAACTGAGTTCGGTTCACAGATAATAATAATAATAATAATAATAATAATAATAATAATAATAATAATAACCATTATACATGATTGAACTTACAATATGGTAATGTTGGATGCGAAGTTAAACTATAAACAGCGGGTAAAGTTCGTTTTAATATCTGTGCCAAAAGAGAATCATATTAAGTATTAGTATTAGTAGTATATTACAAAGAAAAGAAAAAAACGAAAACGATTTTATTAGACAGGGATAAAACAACATCTAATAAGCAACAACCACACACTGGATACACGGAAGTATGTTGATGATAATCGATGCATTTTTACTGTACGCCATACTACAATCATTTTTAAAGTCAATAAAAGAAAACAACATTGATGACAAACAATTGAATATATGACAGTAATATGAAAAGTATACGTTACACTGACGACCTTGGGCAATTTATTAACCAGTCAGAAAACGCTGTCCAGTTACCAAACAATTAATACAAGTTAATCAAACAACGGTGGAATAAAAGCTTTGATCGTAATAATTAACTCTTACAAGTCAAATTATTCTTTGTTGTGAAGGAGAAAAGTCAAGTTTGCATATTAGGAGTTAAAGTTACTATCCTATAGAGTATTCGTCCCCAACTGACATTACTTAGAAATCAAAAAGGTTAAGTAGTAACAGTTAAACTAGAGTTTTCAGCTGGGTTTACCAATTAGGATCAATGTTTTCAACACGAACTGACATCAGTTATCATGCAATGCGGTTGTTACCTTCCTCTTTACATAAGGTTGAGATTTAGAGTGAGAGTAAGAAAGAGAGGATACTATCTAGCTTCACTAAACAATCTTGATTACTCAATAAATGACATTAGGTACTTAGACACACAATAGATATTTACATTGATTCCAAACATTTTAAGAACCAAAATCTTTCTGATTTTCACTTGCTTGGTAAAAACATACACATTATCTATCATTAGAATTTAAATCTCGCTCAGAATACATGAGACGTTATCTTGTTTGTGACTGGTTAACTGAAGACCGTCAGTATATAATACTTTTACCGACAGTAATTAACTAACACTTGTTTTATCAGAAGGGATTTGGTGGAGATTTTAGTAATTTTGTATAGAGTTGCGATTATGAGTCAATTGAAGCTAGATCACCATCGAAAACCTGGATACCGGCTCAGTGGTCTATCGGTTAAGTGTTCCGTTGCGAGACTGATAGGTCCTGGGTTCGAATCTTGTGAGTGTGGGATCGTGGATGCGCACTGCCACTGAGGAGTCCCATAATAGAACGAAACGGCCGTCCAGTGATCCCAGATTTTCCATGGTAGTCTAGCTTCAATTGAATCATGATCTCAACTCTATACAATGATACATATTTTATTAGAATTACAGAAAGACAAACAGTGCAACAACAACACAGTCAAACTAAAAAAACAATGACTCTAACTGATTACTACAAAGAGACAAAACCAGTTATGTACATGCATAGGATAACAGATACATATACAAGTGTACACCCTGTATAAAGGGATTTAATGAAAAAAAATGTAAATGATATACCGTGCTAGTTAAACGTCTGCTACGTTCCAATGCATGTTTAGATAGGTTGACCAAATTTGCATGTAGGGGATGTAGGTTTATACTACGAAACTGTACATACATATACATATGTATTAAATATGAAAGTATTTTGAGAAATCATGAAGAAAAATAACAAAAAAGAACAATATCTATATACTTCATAAGCAAGATGAATTATGGTTAGTAGCGAAATTAAGTACGTGTATCTTGGCGTATGTGTCCTAATGTTTATATGAACATTGAGAAACAAAACCCAGTACCTTGAATTTCAAACACCAATACATCATCCATTGAGTTAACAATTTAAGGTAAACAATAACTTGTTCAACCAGTATGATGTTTATATCATTATTAGTAGAGGGTTTAGAACTATCCGATTAATTAATATTGTTTGTTTGAATCTTCCAATTGATGTTTTTGGACTGCAAGTGGTCAGTCTCTTATTGGTATATGTGCATACTGTGAGTATTGCTTCGATATTGCCTTAATTTACAAGCATTATAAGCAAAGATGGATAGTGGTTAGCAGTGGAAACCAGTTTGACAAGCGTTTCGTCCTATTTGGGACTCGTCAGATGGATGTACCTGCATCTCAGAGTTGATGTTCACTGTGGGACTCGGATCCAGTAGCTTTCGCTTCAAACGCCATCACGTTATCCACTTAGCTACTGAGTTCTGATAGCCACTTGCTTGTGCAATAGAGTGAAGTTTAAATTCACCCAAATAGGACGAAATGCGCGTCCTGGATTCCACTTCTAGCCACTATCCATCTTTGCTTATATCCGGTTACTGATATTAAAGACTGAATTTTGATTAGTCTTTGTTAGAGTATGTGAATCATGTGCGCATTGTTTCCATATAGCCAATTCGTTATAAGTTTATTAAAGTAGTTGGATTGTAAAAGCAGTAGAAACCACGATGTGTGTTTCGTCCTGTCTGGGATTCATCAACTGGATATAAGCATGGATAGCAATGTTAGTAAGTTCTATTGGGACTCAAAAAGAGTACATTTAACTTTGAAAAGTATATGTCAACAAAGATTGATACATCGAACAAACCAGAAGTGACTGGTTGAAATCTTTAGCTCATCTTAATTACTATTCAACTTCTCTGGAATATTAGTGAATGCTTAATTGACTAGGTCAAGCAATAGATGAGTCTACTGTGTATACGATTGACTCGTTCTATATTGAATATGCAAACGATGAAACTATAATTTATAGACTACTATAGCAATGCCAAATAACCTTGATGAAATTCACCTATTTATTAGGGTTAAGTAAGGGTTATAAATTGGTGTGAGGAATCAGAATCAAGATTTAGAGTTAGAAGTCAGGATTAGGAATTAGATTTAGAATTTGTATCACGAATCGACATCAGCTACAATGTCAAAATACTATATGGCCACATGGATGAGCGAATTTCAAGCTAAAATCCAAGGCTCACTATCTGATTATTTCGTCCATAAATTATAGTCACACCTATGAAGTCATCAACTAATCTATGACACGTTAACATAACTTTAGAAAATAACATTTAATTCCTTTGACTGATGTGGGCTGTGATACTGCCCAGGTGCCCAAACTGAAGCAGGTGGTTTTCTTAGCGGGCCACAACCAGAGCCTTCGATCTAAAGGTCTGATCCACAAGGCAGTGGAGCAACGTTACGCGATGCAGTTTCATGGTAACTGGTGGCTAACGATAAATTGATACTCCATTTGCTTCTTCAGGATACTAGAGCCAGCACCACTGGTTTGGAATGAGGTTTTTCCAACTCCCCTAGGTGAACCCTCCATGTCCACCAACGCGGCTAAAGCGTTGGACATTCGCCTTTCATCCACTCAATTTCGTAAACAACAATAATGCAGCGAGAAGGCAGTGAGCAAACTCTCCCTACCCTCAGTCGTACCAGAGCATGTATTTATGATACATCAGCTATCCTTCTGGAAACAACAACGAAACTCATTGTCTACTTTCTATTTTTAATGTTATTCTAACTTATAAATTACACACGTTAACCGCTTAATGTATCCAAACATTCACCTACAGTAAGATTACAATTTCGATTTTGAACAATCCATTATCACATTGAATGAAAAAAAATAAGAGAATTTAGTAAAGAAAGTTTACCAACGAAATCATTTACTTAAGCTGTACATTTATATTTATAGTTCTATGGTAGGCATATAAGTCTATGGAAAGATAGAAAAGATTGCACCATAAAGTGATTCGGCACTCTAAATATCAAAAGGAGATTGCGTAATAATCAAAGGGATTAAAGAAGAACAAGGAATTAGGGTCAAGGAAGGATGAGAGGTTGAACGTATCGTCATTGTATGCAGCGTGAATGGGCAACATTTACGCTGTGACATCTTAGAAATGCGTACAAAATGAAAGATGTGTCATGGACTCAATTGTTAGTCTCTGTTTACGAAACCATTTAACAATCCAACTAAACTGCATAATTTTGAAATGACAGAAATTTACAGCTAAGGTAAATGTTTTTGGTAGTGTTTTGTCTTCTGAGTGAGCTTTTCAGCTGTCCCATTCGGATTAACTAAGAATCAGCGAGCCTATCAACATAGACCCAAATGGAAAAGGTCAACCAATCATACGACTAGAGATACACCGACAAAGATAATCGGTATGAATAGAAGAACAAATGGAGACAACCAATTAAAAACAAGACCATCGAAGCAAACTGATATAACACTTTTCGAATAACTAAAAAGTTCGCTTCTAAATGAGGTAGGCATTGACAAATTCATTTAGAATGACAATTATAGCTCCGCAGTTAGGCTGTTTAGCTCAGAAAACGCAACATCATCAAAATATTGCATCATTATAATTACAAACTTACCACATGTGAACCGCTAGGATTACCATCACCAGTAGACAAGGATGTGCCTGTTGATGTCACATTTGATGTTGTAGCCTCTGATTGATGATCATTACTACCAACTTTTGTTGGATTTGTGTCACATACAATAAAATCATCAGTTCCACCTTCAGGGTATCGACGTATTTGGGGTCTGAAAAATAAAAGAAAAATAACAATAAAAAAATCAGGAACAACAAATAATGTAATCCGTTCAATCTAATCAGTACATATGTGATTTTTAGATGAAGATGGGGAGTTAATAGAATCGTTTGAATGATAATCATACTATATCACCGACTAATCGAATTCTGAGATGTAGACCATTAGACACTAACTACTAGTTGTCCTATTGCTCAGGCATTCATCGCTAGGCTAGAGAATCCTGGATTAGATCGACAATGGGTCATAGGTTATGCCAACCAGTTGCATATCTCAGTTTGGATCAGTTCAATAATCTGCCATACATATATGAGCAAGAATTGTGTACATTATCACTCAGCGACAAGCAACATAGCTTTCAATACATTTCCAATCTTACTTTACACAGATGGTTGGAGAACCATCTAGAAAGCGCGAAGTTGTAACTAGACTAGACCGTAGAAAACAAAATATACTTACCTGCGCATTAATTCCAAATCATATTCAACTTCATCAGTATACCATGATGGTAAATTTACAAGATTTTCAATATCTAACTCGATAATTTCTTTCGGTGTAGCGATTGCAATTGCGTTGTAATTAACCTGTAACAACACAAAAAATGTCATCATAATACTTGATTAAGAGGTTGAATACTTAAGTCAATTATAGAATTGATCTCTCCTTCATTCTGTATCCTTGATAAGAAAAATAAAATCAACATTTTTATCGGTCAGTCAGTCAGCTACAACGTAAGACCAGGCACATATATGCATCGGTTCAAGTTGCCATAAGTCGTTAGCACAACAAAATGAACACCGGATTCATAGAAGTAGTGAATTTAATGGTGGCAGTATATAAAAGATAGGTTGTATATAAGGATATAGTAGAGGAAGGAAGAAAGTTATGAAGCAATTTTAATCTCAAGGTTTAAGGGAGGATAAAGAGTGCATACATCTACGCCATTGTGATGGATTCTGAGCCATGTCACACACAGTCTCCAACCATTGGTTACGATAGTCACGCAGACCCCGACCAGGTAGTCTGCATCTGCCAACATGGCTCACACTAGAAGTTAGTGACTTCATGCACTGATTCCACGTTTTGGTTTGGCCGCCCCTAACTCTCTTCCAACAATCCTCTACACTAGTCAGAATAGCACGTCGTGGTAATCACATTTTTATCAGACAATGTATTCAATAAAGATAAACAGGAAATGCATCTTCATAGTTGAAAGCGTGAGTCAATTGAAGCTAGACCACCAAAGAAAACCTGGAAGCACTAGATAGCCATTTCGTCCTACTGTGGGACTCACGCTTTCAACTATGAAAATACTAAATCTTCACAAAACCCCTTCTAATTATAATCATATGCTCATTAGTGACTGATTTCAAGAGGTAAATCCTGGAGTTCTAGTGAGAAGCAGTGACCAGTGGAGTTCAAATCACGTCTATTGTGAGATAGGAACTCACTGAAGACAATTAGTAAATGCATCTGTTTCATTTGGGCAGGTTCTAAGTAATATCACCGAAAGTCTTCATTCATTATTCACAACAATCGTATGGACTTAAATCAGGTAGTTTTTAAATACCAACAAGCTCTAATAAAATAGACAATGTCTTCAGGGACTGATTCCGAGTCTTGTCTAGATCTTTTTTATCTTTCTTCTAACCTATCTCTACATTAGCCAATATCATGCAGCGTGGTGTGTAAAAATATACAGTGATCTTGAGTACTGTTAGAGGTATGAGGGCAGTTATCACTTCCCCGTTGCCCACACCGTGGAAGGGTTCTTCTAGAGGTACCTGAAAAGGAAATTGGGTTAGAAGTAGTCTTAATGACCTGAGAGCGTGGCCGAAGTGCCCAAGGGACAACTGCTTGAGGTCAGTCACACATGACCTTTTTGTGGGTAATTTTTGTGTTAGCTCCGTACTTGGTGGGACCTTACCGCCGGAGACGGAAATCCGTGGGATAAGGTGAGGTGTGCATTTTTAGGGTCGACCTCTTCTAACCCTACCCCTCCTTGTGGGAAGGTAGCATCGCTGTCATGCTGGTTGTCTGAAGGAAACACCTTACTGCTGTCACACCTCTGTATAGTCATCAGTTAACATATTTACTTTCAGTGAATAAAGCAAACATCTATAATATTTTTGATTCACCATTTATATTTATTAAAAAAACATCATTTCTTAAGGTTGGACAGTCGATAGCATTTAAGTCTAAGATATGTGTTTCATCCTATTTGGGGTTCACTAATAGAATGTAACTGCATAACCACACACTGAGATATGAACTCATTACTTTTCGCCTAAAACACTAACGGTTTATTCACTAAGCTAATGAATTCCGATAGCCACTATTTTTTGATAACATGCATACAGTTGCATATATAAGAGTATGTTGATATTAAGATCTGATCAATCGCTATAGAAGTACTGAATTCCGCTGCGACCCACTAGCCAACATGATGTGTATCTATATGCCATTACAGACTGATCAATCGCAATCCTTAATATTGACAATGAGAAAATCGAATTCTTTAGAAACTAAAAATACTAAATTTGGTATTGTAATCAATAGGTACTAAAAAAGAATCCTTTAAATAAGACACCAATAGCAATCAATCTATTAGAAAGTTAATGAGAAACAACTGTAACATATTCATCGCATAACAATAAGCGAATAAATGGATAATTCACAGTTTTACTATTGTGATTTATTGCATGAATACCGGAATCAATATTATTATTGACGTGTTAGATTCCATATTGGTTATGTTGGGGAAGTCCATCCAATGGAGCTGGAAAACCCTGGTTCCAAACCAATGGTGCAAATGGGCTGGCTCCAGTATCCTGAGAGAACAAATGGAGTATGAATCAATCGTTGGTCACCGGCTACCATGGGACTGTATCTCCTCACGATGCTCCACTGCCTGCCTTGTGGATCAGATCTTTAGGTCAAAGGCTCCGGGTGTGACCCCTAAGAAACCATCTGCTTCGATTTGGGCAACTGGGCTGTATCACAGACTTCACACAAATCAAATGAGATTTGTGCGACGCATATATATCTGGTGCCCACTTGTACCAATATTTATGTGTTTAAATAAATAAATAAAATTTTGTAGTAATGTAGTCTTAAGTCATGTGGATAATACATATATTTTTTGTCACATCTCAATGAGTAGAAAAATGGTATTTCTGACATTTCGTGACTTAATGTAAGCGACCTCTTCAGATTTTTTTGTTTGCTCTGAAGAAGTGGCTTACATTGAATTACAAAACGTTAGAAATACAGTTTTTCTACCTATTGGGATATGATAAAAATATATTTCACATTAACTTTCTACTCAATGTTCAATTTATTTGAACCTATTAAGTCCAACCTTAGCACTGATACCTATTAAGTCAAGTGAATCTGTATTGGCTAACACTATGACATATCTTACTATTTCATCAGTTAAGTCAAATTTAAACGATATTAGATCCAACTGAATCAGTAACCCTATATAATTCACTTGAAAAGTACACAGTGAATAATCTTATTACTATCCTAGTTTGACAATGTTGAATAATTCTAAGTGTTCTAAATGATTCACAATGCTTTGTATATCAAATCCTTTTTAGGACTGATGATCGATTAAGTTGCAATGTAAACACTAGTCTAAGTGAATCGATATGCACTATGTTAACATGTGAGGTGGTGATTGACGAAAGTCGACAGGAAACAATAGACTTGTGTCAAATAACATGAAATCTAAGTGAAACAGGGTTTCTTATCGATTACCTATAACAACCGCCTTGCATGATTTGTGATAGCCTAATCATATGGGACTATAAATGGTTACTTGATAAGGATTGATTCTAAAACATAGTCAGAATCAATTTTCTTTCGCCTTTGTCTTCGAAAGCATTAGTTTTTGTTGAAAATCATTCATTTAAAATGGTTGACACATCAAAAAAGTCGATTTCATTGACAGAAACAGATATGTAGATGATAACTCGTTTGGAAATAGTGTTTTTATGATGGATCCAAATCGATTAGTGATAAAAGAACTGAAGTAAGTTGAGAAGTTTTGAAAAAATTAGTATAGTTGGCTTGAAAGCACCTAACAAAATGAACATTTTCCATTGAGTATCACGTGAATTCACTTTTAGTTCATAGTGACGAATCTGACTAGTAGGATATTTTCTTTTTGAAATTCGCATCTATTTGATGCCTTTAAGTTGTTCTTCAAAGAAATTCGTTTTCAAACGAAGTAATGCAATGACTGACTTCTGTCAGCAGGGAGAACTAGATTCGGATACCATTAATGTATTAAAACCATTGTCATATAAATTTATATTAACACCGTTTATCTACTTATAAGTAGTTAAACGTTTTAAAGTAGAAAATAATAAGGGAAAGCTGAAAACAATACTAAATTTAATTTCGGTGTCCCCAAAATCCCAACAAGTAATTGATTATCGGAAATGATAATACACTAGAAAAAACATTATCTTATCTAATCTTTCTCTATTACTATTACCGCTGTTATCACCTTAACTATCCTGGTATTTGCTCTAACAACTTCATTGAGCTGTGCTAATGAGACATGGGAACTTGAACCGATGTAGTGGTGTGCCAAGTTTCAATTAAGTCTGAGTGTTTGATGTATACAAAAGCGAGTTTCCGGAAATTTTTTCGGTCTACTCTGTTTGGATAGCATACATGACGTATAACCATAGTGAAATTAAAAACATTATAAGGAAGGATATAGAATATATAAACATAACTAAAAACGGAGAGAAAAACACCAGAATAAGTTGTATAACAAAGCATTTTGTTTTGAACTACAGCGATTAGCACACCAAAAAACAAGAAGATGAAAATTAAAGATATCGGGGAGTCTTTTTTTTTCTTACTCCTTCCTAGTTTTCTTTTTTTCAGAAAAACGATCTTAACAAACTAAGCAACAAATAGCAAACAAGCTAGCTTACCACAACTGCCTTGATGCGTAGAAAGAAACATTTATAAACACTTCAGTTTTTATAATAATTGAGAGAAAAAAAATATACATATAACAACAAATTCATCTCTTCACAGTTAAAATCATGAGTTGATATAAGGTAAACCATCAATGAAAACCTGGAAACACTGAACAGATGTTTTAACCTCCTCATCAATGAGTATCCACGGTTCCGAACGCTAGCGTTTAACCTATAAACCACTGAGTCGGCATCCATCGAAGTTACTGTTTAAATTCTAACGATCCAAGATCTTGAGCAACCCTTTATTCATTGCCTGAGGTGTATATCTGTCTTACACCCGACATGGATTGGACTTTACTGGTCAGGGCTTCTCATTAGAACTCTAAGAGATACAACTTGAAGTCTGTCATCTTTCCCAATTCACGACAAATTTTTCATCATAACTACCTTGAGAATTTCGTAAACCTTTTATACTTTCTTATTTGATGTTCTTCAGAAATCATTTTAGATATGAAGTTTGTTTGGAAAAGTTTTTTTCAAGCCTTATCAACTTGGATCATGGGATCCCATGATGGCTTACACGGAGAACCACCTGCTTCGGTTTGAACCCCTGAAAGTATACCAGTACATACACATACATACACCTGTATGGTGCATATATATTTTGGTACCCTTCTGCACCAATGTTTACATGTTTCAATAAATAAATAGATAAACAATGGTCTTAAAATAAAAGATTAACTACAGTGTTGAAACAAACATAACCACCGAAAAAACCACTTTCTAACAAAGAATAGTTCATGAAATCTACCTGATTAATACACATAGCTATAAGTGGATCATGTTCTTTATGAATAAGACGAACAGCATCATTGAATAGTAGAGATCCTGAAATAGTTTGACTTGAAGATTGGGTCTGTTGTTGTTGTTGCTGTATTCTTGTTTGCTTCCCTGAAGATTTTTGAATATCAATCTGAAATGAGACAAAGAATATTCAATAGGAATTATAATACATATGCATAATATATGAAACATATTCGCAAAATAATCATTTTCAATCTAACACAAATAACTAACTACAATTAATTGATATTTGAACAAAAACGGAGATTGTACTGGCCTGATTTAACATCATACAGGTGTCAGTACTTACTTATGCCTGTTACCCCTCGTGGAGGAGCATAAACCGCATTCTCCATCCAACCCTGTTCTGGAAAATCCTCTCCAGCTAACATTCATCCTTTTCATATCTGCTTCTATTTCCCGGCGTAATGTGTTCTTTGGCCTTACTTTTTTCCGCTTACCTTACCTCCGCCTGTAGCTCTTCTAGAGTTACTGCCGGTCCCAAGCCCGGGTAACTGAGGGTTGGGCATGGGGTTAGTGACCCCATCCCGTAGAAAAATTAGCTAGCTAAAAAAACGCTAACCAGAAAAAATAATACAGGTGTCAGTAGACAGAATAAATTAGTAGCTGTGTCTTAAGTGACTAATTTTCAATAATTCGTTTGTATGTTAGATTATGCTCACATGGATTTATTTCGGTTTATACAGTTGAAAAAGTATGTCAAGGGGAAACAGTATGTTTACTTTGAAGTCGAATACAGCAACCTGGAGAGAGAGATGAATTAGTTTATCATAATGAAGACTCCAAGACAAATTTATTTGGAGAAGTAAACTTACACAAATTTAATACTATGAAACGCTAATAAATACTTAAGGTGGGGGTAGCTTATATAAACACGACGTGAACTTGAAGCTTAAGATGGTTTGTACACAGTTGCACGCCAATTAACCTACTACACATTGATAGAATTTGGTCAACATTAAGAGCTAGACAAATGCTACATCGGATACTACTTCATGTTCTCAACCCTATAGGAGGCCAGCCGTGGCCTAGAGAGCTCATTGGGAAAGTTATATACTGTGAAGCTGTTTATTTTATTATTTATTTAAACACATATATATTGGTACAAAAGGGTACCAGGTACATATGCGCCACACTCATTTCATTAAATAAACTGTGAAGCTGAGTGATACAGGTACAAATCTCATAGGGAACATTAGACGTCTCAAGGTTGAAAGTATGTCTTGCTGACGGGCATTAACTGGCACGAAACCCATACCAAGTAAGATTTCCTGTTGACTATCCTCAACTACCTTACAACTGATTAAAATTAACTAAGAATATCAATAATATTTCAATAAACTCAACAGGAAAGGTAGATTTTCTTACCGATGCAGCAGAAGAAACAGTTTTCAGATTAGATGATGATGTAGAATTTATTAAACCAGGTAGATTGTTAAGTTCCGATGATCCAAAAGTAACTGATGATGATGGTGATAATGTTAATTTAATATTCGGTGTAATAATGGATTGTATAAGATATGGTTTACGAAATATATGACGTAAAAATATATCATCTATTCCAGATTGTCGAACTAAATAACACCATAAACGTTTGACAGGTAATGAGAATGGATTACGTGTTCTATAGAAAGTAGAAGTAGAGAGTAGATAAATAAAAAGATATTGTACAAAAAAACCATGAAAAAAGAACACATTGAAAACCAGAGATTAATGAAGAGATATATCATTCTTAATACTTAGGACCCATTATTGACGATTTATACATAGATGATTCATATCTTGGAACCAGAATGATCGCTTTAAACCTCAGTTCGATCTAGTGCGAACTGTTGTTAAGATGTATGAAACTTAATAAACCAATTGGTCAGTCATTCATAATCAAGGTAAGACACCTGGAGGAAAATTTGCATTGATTCAATTTACAATAACACATATCCATTGTTAGAGATCAAAATTAATGAATTCACAAAGAAATCAAAATAATTTTAGGGTAAAAGTATGGAGAAGAACCAATTAAATACCAGATGACGCAAAATTCATTCAATCATACGCTTACAAAAGTGTGGGGTTATCCATACTTTCTCCAATATACAATAAAAGTATTAAGTATGGGGTTGTGAACGATTGAAAACCTGAAGACATTAAAAAGCCATTTCATCCTTGTATGAAACTTCTCAGTGGAGGTACGCTCCCATGACTCTGTAAGCGAGAATGGAAAACGAGGCCTTTAGTCTCATGCGCGAACACTTAGTCTCTGGGCTATGAAAGATGGTCACGCATTATCGTGGTTGATTAAAGTTAGACAGTAACACCGTTCGATTTCGGCTCAGTGGTCTAGAGACTAAATTTTCACACCCGAGGCTGAAGGTCCTGGTTTCGATTCCCACACGCGGGATCATCGATGCGTACTGCCACTGAGGAGTTCAATACTGGCACAAAAAGGCCGTCTAGTGATCCCAGATTTCCGATGGTTGTCGAACAACGGTTGGTTCATAACTTCATTACAGATTAAAAAAAATTAACTGAAAAACTTACTGAAATGGAGTATTTTTAGAATTGATCAACTTTTTCAAACGTAACATCGATCTTGTTGCTCCGGGTGTAGGAAAGTCCGATTTTGACACTTCAACGCCAATTGTCAAACTGCTACCAGTTTTAACTCCAGTAGCCGTTTGTGTAATTGAAGAAGATAAATCTTCTTGAATACCTGGTAAGAAATCTGTCGGTGGTAGAAGATGTTCATTAATAAATCCTTTATACTGTGATTTTAAATGGATTGGATTCAATGCTGGTGGTGAAGTTAATTCTGAACGATAACCAACTAACCAACAATCAGCTAGACGTGTTAACGTCATTAAACCTGGTGCATGAACAGCTAAATCTAGGTAAATACATAAAAGATTATATAATGACAGACTATGAAAGAATGTTAGTTTATAAGTCATAATGTGATTGCTTCACTATTGGTCAAATATATTTTCAGCTAAATTGTGTTAGATCTGAAGAAAGTACTCAACAAAGGCAATAGATGGCCATGGAATATCGTGGATTTATTGGAGTTGTACATCACTGGATCAGTTGTCTAAAGGTTCAGGGTTTACGCAAAAGCGAAGGTTTGGGGTTCGAATCCCAATTTCGGGGTTCTGGATGTGCACTCTCGCAGAGTAGTCCAATACTAAGACAAGACGGCCATCCAGCGCTTGAGGATTTCCAATGTTTGTCTAACTTGAATCGATTCGTGATCTCAATAAAACTCGACAATCTCCATAATGATAATTTCATTTCATTGATTCTAGAGAGTGGATTAGATCAATAACATACGTCACTGAGGCTTCAATCGAATAAATCTTTGGTTACGACATCAAATTTTCTTCTGAGTGGAACCTTATATAGGCAATTTTCGTACTATTCAAGATCAATCAAATGGATGTATCTGCATCCTGATGTTGATATTCACGCTAAACCTTACAACCAGCAACTTCCACAGCAAATGACAATACATTATTACTTGAACTGCGAAGTCTAGATATACATTAAATTATTGAATGGGTGTGAAGTTATAAGGATTTTTAATATGCCATTATTGATACTAGGAGCTAAAATTAATCAGTCGCTCTTGATATACATGGATATTGACCAGTTCGCAGGTACTTAGCTTTGTAGTTACAATTTTATTTCATTTTTATTGTGACTAACCGTGGAATCCAAAACACACATTTTGTCAGGCCAATAAAAACTGATCATAGAATTCATGAGCCGAAGATAACGAAAGACGGTCATGCTATACCGTAAATTGATTTAACATAGATAATAACACCGTCGGATCACGACTCAGTAGTCCAGAGACTAAGCGTTCGCGCATGAGACTAAAGGCCTCGTATTCCATTCTCCTTTACAGAGTCATGGATTCTAGTGAAAACCAACAACCTACAAGACCCTATACTGACAAGAAACTGACCAACTGCACAAACCTTAACAATGACGAGTGAGAAACAGGAAAAAAAAGTATTGGATTTATCAAAACACAACTACTACTAATAACATTATTAAAAAAAAGAAATCACCTTCTCCAGTGAAGTCAATTATTTGTATAAGTCTATTCAATTCTCGTTTAGCCAGTTGCATTAAACCTAAACGTATAAGTCTCCATGCGTAACTATCACTGTAAGTCCATTGACGGTCATTTTCAAAAAATGCTAATTTACGATTTCCTAAAGTATCGACTGTCAGATTATAATCATCTTCTTCACCAACATCTTCATCCTCATAATCATTATTGTCATTAGCTGGGTCACCACCAACAGTAGAATTAAATTCAATAAAATCTTTTAAATTAGTGTGTGTTGCTTGTCTTTTGTCAGATTTCGTGTAGAATATATTCAATGCTTCATAGAATTCTGATTCTAGTCGACTACCCCACCAGGTATCCATAAAATCTGGATTCAAATGTAAACGTCGCAAAATCCACTGTGGTTGTAAACTGGATAGATTTAATTTTGTAGGAGATTGTAATTTCCCAGAATCATCTTTCTTTTCACTTAGGACGGCATTTTTAACTTCATCATCATTACTGTCATCATCTTCAACATCCAATTGTTCAGTAAGATTTATGTCAGCATCATCGCCATCACTGTGGTCATGAGTACCATCGGTATGTTTTATAAACTGTCCAGTTAAACGATAATGTAACGAGTTTTTTACATGGTGTCGTACAGTTTTACGTTGTTTCAAATTAGAACAATGTTTGATAAAGCGTTGTACTCGATTAATATGACGTTGTTGTTTTAATAAAGCTCCATGATATGTATCGTATTCATTGTTGGAAGATAGTTCACTGGCATCGGAATCGAAAATCTCACTGGGATCATCAACTAAATCAGTTTGTTTTGGAGGCTATAAGTCAGAAAAAATGATTGTAAACATCATGAAACTGATACTTACGGTTCGTCTATACGTACATATTTATTTAAGCACATAAACATTATTATGAGTGGGCCCAAATATATATTCACCATACTTCCTCATCCTGTTCGTGTGAGGGATGGAATACTGTACAGGCGCCCAAACAGAAACAGGTGGTCTTGTTAAGGAACCCCACACACCGAGCCTTTGACTTAAAGGTTTAATCCACAAAGAAGTGGAGCAAGGTCAGGAGATGGAGTTTCATGGTAGTCAGTGACCAACGTAAGTTCATATGTCATTTGTTCCCTCAGAATCCTGGAGCCGATATGTACCATTGGTTTGGAAACAGGTTTTTCCAATTCTCCTAGGTGGATTCTCCATATTCTTCAACCCGGTTAACGCGTCGGATATCAGCTTTTCGTCCTCTCAATTTTGTAAACAACATCCCTGATGTGAGAAGGACTTCCTTTTCAGTGGCTCTATACGCGTGGCCATGTTAGAGCATTTGGAGAGGGAGAACTGACTCTCCCCACTCTCAGCTGTACCAGGGCATGTGGGTATATATATAAATATATATATATATATATATATTACTCTGATGAGTAAAGTTGCCGTGAGATCTAGGAATTCTGAGCACTAACTAGTGGCGAAAATGTTTTGTTTTCAATGAATTTTTCATTTTAATGGTTTATCAACTGATATAAGTTGGCATAAATCATAGGGCATTGGCATCTTTAACATGGTCAGTTATTGATAATCAGTCAAAATTAATGCGAATTCCGTACTAAAATGGAATGGAGGAGAAGAATTGGAAGAATAGAATATTCTTTGAAGATGAAATTCAGTTTTCTATTTTGACTGTAATGAGTTTTGTGATAAAGGCTGGATTTTATAGTTTACCTAATGGACTGATTTAAGTTAGACTGTGGTGTGCACTACTTATGCGGATAGATATAAGTATTATATAGCAATAACTGCAATGCTAACCAGCGAATGGCTGAAATAAAAACGGAGAGCAATAGGAATGACAACAGAATTAAAAGAATGATGCAATATATGAAGGACAGCTCGAGGAAAATGTGCGAATGATGTATTCAATGTACAATTTTCATATTTTACAAAGGTACTGTGTGATTATGCATCAAATAATAAATCACTCAACTTCACAGTCAGAGATGTTACCACTAAGCTATCTCAACCGCATGTAACTCCTTGTAGGAAGGACTCACATGTATTTATAGTTGATAGGTCATGGGATAGTAACCGATGTTATGTATGTCAGGTTCACCTCAGTGACGATTAAATTCTATCGATCAAGTAGTAATATAGCCAGAAATCTAGGTGACTCGACATAGCGTGCACAATGCTGAGATGCTAGGTGATATTTGGCAGTGGTCAGTACAAAACCCTGACACTAGTTATTACATAGTAATCAGTCCATTTTAAATAATCACTATTATTACATAAACAAAATTTTATTCATATTTACATCTGTATACGAACACCTCAGGCAGAGTGAGGGCATACAACCACCTTTCTCCCTTGTTCCATTCGAGCAGTAGGGTTAGACAGGGTTGCCCGATCTCACCATTCCTCTTCAACTTTGCCATCGACGACATCCTGGAAACAGCTCTGATGGATGTAAGTAATGGCGGTGTGGATATGTTGCCTGGAGAACGACTTCTCGACCTTGAGTATGCGGATGATATTGTCTTACTGTGCGATAATGCTCAAGCCATGCAATCAGCACTTAATCAGTTGGCAATCAGTGTCCGCAGGTACGGCATGTGCTTTGAACCCTCCAAGTGCAAAGTACTCCTACAAGATTGGCAGGATTCTCATCCTGTACTCACCCTGGATGGTGAGCAGATTGAAGTAGTTGAGAAGTTCGTGTATCTAGGTAGCTATATAAGTGCTGGTGGTGGCGTGAGTGATGAGATTGATGCACGTATAAGGAAAGCCAGAGCGGCTTATGCCAATCTGTGCCATCTTTGGCGCCTTCGTGATGTTAGTCTGGCTGTAAAAGGTCGGATCTACAACGCGTCGGTGAGAGCAGTTTTGCTCTATGCTTGTGAAACCTGGCCTCTCCGAGTTGAGGATGTTAGACGTCTCTCTGTGTTCGATCATCGTTGTCTCCGAAGGATTGCTGACATACAGTGGCAACACCATGTTAGTAATGCAGAGGTTCGGCATCGTGTGTTCGGGCACAGAGACGATAATTCAATTGGTGTCACCATCTTGAAACACCGACTTCGGTGGCTTGGACATGTTTTACGAATGTCGTCCCAGAGACTTCCACGTCGTGCATTATTTGCCGACCCTGGGACTGGTTGGAGAAAGCGGAGAGGAGGTCAGTGTATGACATGGTGTCGTGGCATGAAAGAAAGCTGCAAAGGGCTAGCTTCCATTGGACCTTCACGACTCCCTGGTTGGGGTCCGAGAGATAGTGCAACACAGTGGCTAGAGACGTTATCAGATATGGCTCAGAATAGAAGCCAATGGCGATCCTGCTGTAAGCTTCTTTTACTTTCTACATAAAGAATGGTTCTAACTTTCTTAACTGAAAGAGTCTTCTGGTTTTACATTTCAGTCCGCCTCATCTTTTCATCCCTTCTCTTCCTACTTTCATTATTTTGTGTGGCGCATATGTACCTGGTGCCCTTTTGTACCAATATATATGTGTTTAAATAAATAAAACAAATAAATAATACATCTATTTAAAACAAGAAACAACTCGGTAGATTACATCATTCATAACTTGAATTTAGTTAAGTTACCACTGAAAACCAGGAAATACTGGACAGCTGTTTCAACCAGGTATGTGACTGTTCAGAAATGCGCAACCACTGGTTGACTTCATAGATATCGAAAGTGAAACAGTTATCATCAATGAAATTGGCAGGTTATCGCACTATGTTATATATTGCACAAATTGATTAGAATTATACCATTGGATGTCAGTTAAAGTGGCTTCGATGGTTGGGCATCTTCATGAGACTTTAAGACCTTGGCTTCTATCCCTTGTGGGGTTATTGATGACGAATGTTAAGAGGTCCTGTATTAAAACAGAACAGATGTCTAGAACCCTCTGATCTTACAATGATACCCTGAGACAAATCCATGGGTAAATATAACTTGTATATAAAACTATTCTCCACAGAACTCCTTCAACCAAATAATTTTTTTATTTTTAAGAAAATAAACACTTGAAAAGAAAAATCTTGACAAATTCAAAACTTACACGTTCCAGAAGACAAGATAGAATAGAAGATTGAGCAAATATAAACCATTCCTCTGGACTGATAGATGACTGAGATACTGTTGTTGTTTTTGTGGTAGTGGTGGCAGGGGCTTGCTCTGAAACTTTATTCTTTACACCATCCAACCTGGTTGTGTTAGATTCTAAGTCTGCTAACGCTGCAGCTTCAGCATGTGCTAAAAAACGTATATGTTGACTGGTTAACTTTGTGGGATTTGGTGGACTGCCAATTTTCATTGCAACTGTACAAGAAATGAAGGCCAATGTATAAGTATGTGTGTGCAATAAGGAGGAAAATTGTTAGTTGAACAGTGTTAGAGCTGTTGTGGTCTCTTAGCTCCTAAATGGTTAACTTAAGAAGGACTTACTGTCTTTATGGACAACATGGTAAGCATGTACTTCAAAGAGAAGTGCACTACTAGAATTTCTTTATAAAGGACTGATAGTTTGTTCCATTTATAAAACACGATAATAGACAAGAAGTTACAAAGTATTTATATAATATATTATACATAGACTTCAGTCTTCCATTTAGATCTATTACTGTGTTCTTGACATTCGAACTGTCATCAAATCTGGTCTACAAGTGTTTTGTCAACACCAGGAAGGTGATCAGTTCATAATATATGGAAAAATAACTGTGATATATACATACATATCGGTTGTTAGGCTGTGAGAGAAAACACCACCTTAAATTACTTTGCTTTGAGTAGTCAAGTACAAATCTTATGTACTCGAATTTGAGCCACACTGTTTGTTTGAAAGCAAGTGGTAATCAGCTACGCAGTTCATAGCTATACTGGTGTAAACTAGTTTAGTAGTGTTTATACTAGTCTTAAGCTTAATAACTAAAAAAATGAGTACTGTCATCCTACTCTTACTATTACTGTAGCGGATGAGAACACAGGTGAGGACAGCCGACTACTTACTTATCACAAAATTACAAAGTTACTTGGTAAAGTAGGAAAACCATACTCTAACACTTCATTTGCAAAATGTTCATTCATTGTCTCGGGCTTCATTGTTCCTACATTTCCATACAAATTGCTTTCTGTTTATGTTCATCCCTTCTCGATCTTCTCAGTCTTCTGCTACCAGATATTCTATCCCAGACTCACGATATGTACTACTAGAGTCGATATAAGTAGCCCACACCACACTACCACTTTTACTATTAGTCTCGAGTAATATCGGGGTTCGGATCTTAGAGAAAAAGAAATACTACACAAAAGCAAATAAAAAGGAAATAAAAGTAACGTAATGAAGAAATTACCTTCGATAGCTGCAACTGCATGGTTCCTAGCTCGTGTAACTGCTTTCTCTGGACTTCTTGACTTAGATCTGTCATGTTTAGGAGTAGACGTTGGTCTAATTTAGCAACGAAAAAAAGCGAATGAATAAAGTTAAGATTTCTAGCATAAATTAACTTATTTGAGAAGTCGACACAAAAGAATTAAGTGTAATTGAAAAGAAACGAGCTAATGGATTAAAGACGACGCACTCTGCATGTGAACACTTGAAGTTACCATACAGTTGAATCGTGAATCAGTAGAAATGTCCTGTATCAAATAAGTTATAGACAGTACTGACAAGTGAATCTATGTTAGCAAATCGGAGGTAATCGATAAAAAAAACTTCGACCGATGTTTCATATTATTAGGCAATCGTCAGTAAAATGTACCTGAAATGTTCAATTGACTAATGATCTTCGAAAGACAGTACCACTGAGTTATTCCAGCAGCAACTGGCCTTCTGTAGGACTGTGATATTTGCGCAGTCTGATCACTGAGTACTGGTCAATGTGACATGTTTAGTTCGTCATATCGATTACTTAAAACTATCTGAAATAAAAACATTGTACACGAAAAGTCGAGTCGCTTGGACTAGTGGTCACACTGTGAATTGATCGAGATTACTCGATCATGACATTAGTTGTCGTTCAGTTATTAATCAATTTAAACAAGTACCAGACAACACCAAAACTGTTTATGTCACCATTTAGAGGTGAATCTAACAATATGGTTTCAAGATAGAGACTAAAAGCGGCCATCGAAAAAACTTATTACGCTGCTAAACTGGTTTTAATAAATGAGCTAATCAATGTTTTAAAACGTCTACTAAGTAGTTAATTGTTAGTTATAATTATCTACTGAAAAAGCATGTATGTTTATTTATTTGTACAAATAAACATTGGTACAAATATACACCAAATATACATGCGCCACATTTCGTTATTCTATTTGTGTAAGAGATGGGATACTACTCAAGCGTCACACTCAAGCAGATGGTGGGTCACTTCTCTGGTATTTAACAGAGAGATCTAATCCAATAGGCAAAGGGGTTACATTAAGAGATGTGGTCCTACGGAAGCCGACGACCATCAATAGGTTCATACACCATTTGTTTCCTCAGGATTTCAGAGTCCATGTGCATCATTGGTTTGAAATAGAGGCTTTCCAACTCACCTAGGTGGACCTTCTATATTCACTAACCTGGTCAAATTGTCAAATATTCACTTTTCGTCCTCTCAATTTCATAAACAACACCCCTGCCACGAGATGGCAGTGATTAGGACTCAAAAAGCAGTATTAAAACTAGAGTTCTCTAATAAACAACCAACTACTACTTTATACTCAAGCATGTAACAAGATAAGATTATCATATTATATATATTTCAGAAATTTCTGTTAGCATATCAACCAAATGAGTGAACATTGTTAAATTCAAGATAGATACATATATAGTTTTTCGTTTAAACAAGAAACGCTTAAAACAGCGAAGGATTACGTTTAACATTTCGATGGGATAATTACCTATATCGTCTACGTATTTACTATAATTCTATAAGTTTCTAAAAGACCAACGTCACACAAAACGCTTTAAATATACTCGATTTCCTGTACATAACTAACCTCGGGGCAAAGCTCATACCTTTCTCACCCTTTACTTATTGTTCGAGTTGAAGTAATTATAGATTTAAAGAAACAGCAAGGAAGTTAGTAATAAAAGTTGCAGAATTGTCTCTTCTCAAAATGCGTTTAATATAATCGCTCAAACCTCCGAAATGAATTACTTAAAAAAGTAAACTATACAACAACTTACCGTTTAGGTCGACTCGGTGGAACAGGTTTCTTTTCTGAAGTTAAATTACATGATACATTACTACTACTATTACTAGTAGTAGTAGCAGCAGTAGTAGTAGTGGTAGTAGTAGTACCAGGTTGTGTTGGTGGTCGAAAAGGTTTAGCTCGATATGTTCCACCGAATACACGACTCCATGTTTTCCCATCTAATCGAGCACAAGCTAATCGATATAATGTGAATGTATCACGAGTATGCAATGCATAAACTAATAAACCGAAATAAGAAGCAGCTAAAACTTGAGCTAATAAACCAATAATTCGACGACGATCCACAGACTGAATACGTGTTACAGATGACGATGATGAATCACGATCTAACAGATTTTGTGTTGATGTGATACGAATAATTTGACTAGTACTTACACTATTACTCTGTAATTGAGGTTCAGTATAACTTTTTAAACATGTTAAACCTAAATGAAAATACAATAGAATAAAAAATAAACAAAAAGACGAAAAGTGAAACGGTTAAATTATTATATGCTGATGACCTTGGGTGACTTACTAGCCGATCAGGAAACATTACATAGTTACAAAAAATGTTGGTTGCGTAATGGATGTTTTTATTGATTACGGGAGCTTTAAGAACCAAATATTGCCAATATTCATTTCGTTGATAACAACACACACGTTATCTATCATTACATTTTCAATTTCACGCAAAATACATGAGGTGTTCTTTGGTCTGTGATTGGTTCACACAAGGTTGTCAGTATGTGATAAATGTATAAACTGAACATTCACCGAAATCGTTGGCGTTTACACATAAAAAGACTTAAGTAACATGACTTAATTTACGATTTGGAAGTTATAAACAATAGAATTGAACTACTGAATAAGTCGAAAACAATGAAACTAATACTATTGAATATTGACTGTTTTGTTTTAATGGTTTTATGAAACTTGATGGATTGTTTTGATACTCAAAATTGAATATGAATAATTCCAGTTGGTTACAGTGCTTCTTCGTGAAGGGACATCTCAATAGTTTCTATAGTTAAAAGTTGACCATATTTTTGATAATAGATGGCGTATCTATTCAACAAGTTGGTAATGGCTTTTGTGCTTAAGTAGCTTAGTACATAATACCTTGCCTGGTGTATGAAGTGATAGAAACGGTACTAGATTTAAGATTAGTCAACTCTGGAGTGCAGACAGATCCAAACAACAGGTATCATTTAATTTAGAGTGATTTGGAATGTTGTTAGTAATTAATACTGTGGTTGACCTGGAAGGGAAACTGAATTTATGACTATTTATGAAGATAATACATTTATGAAAACAGCGTTTTTCAAATGATCCAAATACTTCAATAAGAGCTGTGAACGATGTTAAGATTAAAGAACTCTAGTACTACCTATCAGCTTCCTGTTTTGATGAAAACACACAATGTACTAGGTCTCTTGAAGCTTCTATTAATTGATTCATTTCTAGGATAACTGATAATTACCAGAATCTGTCTAAGTATGCGTGAAAAAAATAAACAAAAATGGTCTGATGGTTAAGCGCTCGCGCGCAAGACTGATATGTTTTGAGTTCGAATCTCGCGAGGCGGGATCGTGGATGCGCACTGTCACTGAGAAGTCCCACAATAGGACGAAACAGTCGTCCAGTGCTTCGAGGTTTTCCATGGTGGTCTAGTTTCAATTGACTCATGATCTCAACTATATAAAAATGAAATAATTAATACTAGTCACAGATCAATGAGTTGTAAATGTATCGGTTATACGCAAGATAAGTTGTCCCAGTCATAACACCTTAAATTGTGAAACTGGATAATGAAGACTTGAATCTCAAAGGAATTAATGATTTTTTTCACTTTGTGCAGTTATATTTTGTTGATGGGTGTTAAACTAGCACTAAACGTATGTCAAGTAAAATTCCCTGTCGACTACCCCTTTAACCACAAAACATGAAAAGAGAAAACTTTTTAGAGGAAGTTGAGATTGATGTACACATTCGCATATTCGTTAAACATCCTACGTATATATATCATACATAATAATACCACAAAATGTGACTTACCTGGCCATTTAGATGGTTCTGTATTTGGTCTAAATATCTGACCAGATACACATAAACGATCAACTAAAAAGCAAAAAAAACAGACAGAACTCAAAACCTATATTCAACTTGAGGTCAAAACGTTCAAAATTTCAAAAAAGACTACAATGTTAAATAAATAGAGTTATAGGATCGTAACAACTACGTATGCATAACAGTAATTTCGTTTGTATATTATAAACGAATAATCAAACTTTTTTGTTGTGGGTTACAATGTAGCAAGTAGTATAATACAATAACTGATAAGAATCGCCCAGGACAGAATTCAATGGAGAATCCTAGTCGGCGGCCTACGCTCCTCCACAAGGAGTAGCTATAATCTAATAACATGGCCCACGGCACAAGATTTTAAGATCACTAGACTAGACTGAATATACTAGATATATACTGGATTATGTTATACAACATGCACAATTCGTGACAAAAAATATTGGACCAGATTTCAAGCCAAACAATAGTTTATTTGAAAAAAAAACATTAGATCTAACCGTTCACCTAGCAGGATGAGTTGGTGTTGAAAAGCTCAAAATTGGACAATTTACTTGAACCTCTTATACTAATAAAAGTCGTAATTAACTCACAGACTACACTCAATTCCACTCACTCACTTACCTGAACGAGCATTAATAGTACTTGTTGCAGGTAGGGCAAACACTTTTTTTGTCAATGAAGACGATATATCAGACGATTGAATAGAGTTCTCATCGATTGCATAACCAAAACCAACCCAACCGCCAACAGTTAAACATTGATGTATGCACCCGGAAAGAGCAGCGCATAAATTACGTAGTAAAAATATTCTACGATGACGATCGCCTGTAGGTGCCAAAATACAATCAGGACAATGGAATGGTGATGAAGTTGTAACACATGATTTCGATGTCCTTGCTGTTGTAGTAGTACAATTGCATTGTCGATAAGGAAAAGGTAGCAGAACACTTACTAAAAATGGAGGTGGTAATGATTCCAAACAAGTGATTAAATCATGAACCATATACTGCAAAAATAAAGTATAAATGAGACAAAAGTATGGTTATGATTATTCAATAATATAATTTAAATAGTAAAGCTTTATTATACTTTAGAAATATAATGCAAAGTTGTGAGGATTGCTAAGTTTGGAATTTTATATCGCTGACTGACTTCAATCAGAAAACCACTGAAAACCAGGGAACAATGGACAATTGTCTTATCTTAGTATAGGACTGCTCAGCAATACACACTCATGAATATACCACAAATTGAAATCAGGATATTCATGTGTCGCAGAGAGTGTTAAACCTTCAGGCCTTTGAGTTGTCACCCGATGGTCCGCATTTTCAATCGCAGACAATTTTTAATGTTTTGCAACCAGTTCTCAATATCATTGGCAGGTAACTAGTGCACACTTCGCTTAGAAACGTGGAGGTTCACAGTTCAATCAACGGTGGGTCCGTGAATGCATAACATTGAGGATATCCGTATTAGGACGACAGAGCTATCCAGTGCTTCTTAGTTTCAAATAGCTATCTAACTAAAGCCAATCTGTGATCTAAAGAAATTTTAAGCTTCAAAGCAAGAAGGCTGAATTCAATAGAAAACCTTGGAGAAGTGAAACAATGATGAATGCTTAACAGAGAATATAGACTTATGAAATCTAAAAAAAGTACATATTTATCTGGACCATTTCAAAGTTGATCAAAATACAAAGTAGATCTTTTAATGTAACTGTTTCTATATTCGTACATTCTTGGTTTCATTTCGGGTTGTTGATGAATTGTTGTTAACCTGAGACACAGCTGTTACCTATCATTTACACTTATCGTATGTTGTAATCACTCATTATGTCATTATTACATAAGGTATTTCTTTTTTTTTTCAAACATACAGACGCTTTATTCACCGCAGATACCTCACGAGTCGAGGTTTATGACTAATTTATGTTTATGGATTCCAAGGTGAACATCAACTCTGGGATCTAGGTACATCCAGTCGATGAGCCGTGAATAGGACAAAACACATGTCTTGGATTCTATTACTAGCCACCATCATCTCCGCTTATAATTCTTGTGACAATATCGAGGCAATTCGCACATGATGAAGTGACTTACACTAAGTCACGAAACGTCAGAAAATCTAATTTTTCTACTCATTGGGATATTACAAATATATTATCCTATTTATAATGTGAACAACGTTTAAACTAGTCTAATTAGATTCAATGACTATAGATTGTGATAAAAATTGTTTATTATAGAATAAGGTTTAAAGAAAATTAGAGGCGAAACTTCATCAGTTGAGATGACTGAGACACGTGTCATGAATGCCCAATCACCGACTGCCCAGACGTGCAATGTTTTATGGTGTAGGAGTAGGTTGGAAGAAAGCTAGGGACGGTCACACCAAAACATGGCACAAATCCATGAAGTCAATGACAATTTGACTGAGCCATGTTGGTAAGTGTAGAATACCTGGTTGAGATGATATCAATCGACGGTTAGAGACCTTGAATGACATGGCTCAAAACCATTTGCAATGGCGAAGGTGCATTTGTTCTGCCAAATTCTAATCTTCTGAATTCTTCATGTTTCTATCTTTTTTCTTTTTCCAAATTTATTTCACTGGATTATACTCCTTCAATAATAACATCTGCAAACCCTAATCTTTCGGATTACTGCTTATACTCTTACTACTTTTACCACTATGGGATTTGAATGGACAATTGTATATTTGTGCTAATGTGTTTTGGCAACCAGAAATGATGTACGTCTGTACGAAGTTTCACGTAGTGACTGACTGACTGACTGACTATCTTGATTGGAGGTTTTGTATTTTATTGTAATCAATGATTGAAAATATTTGGTAACCGGAACTAAAATCAGTTCTGATTGCATAGATTGTTTCATTCTCTTTATAGTTTCATTTAGATTTTGTTTATTTATACATAGTTGAAGATAACTGACAAGGAAGCCATAGCTGATCAATGTTTCATATTAGTTAGATCTTCTTCACAAATTTAAACAAGATCTTCATTCTAGATATTCGAACTCATTTAAAATGAGCATTGAATTCAGGAATAACTATTAATAAGATCAGCTTTAAGCTAATGTATTGCTCTCTACATAATGAGTTCCATTGGGTACGAAATTTTAATGTTAAGGTTTTTGCTTGCAATTCTTAATAGTATTAGGCTACTAAATTTTTTAGCGGACAGTCAAAAGTTAAAAAAAATTATCAAGTCAATAAAATTTACCTTGATACGTTTTACTGAATCTGGTAGAAGTAATGCACCCGGTGGTAGACGCATTAATGTACGCAATAAAGGTATACAATCAATTAAAGCCATTGGTGATATTGGCCAACATGAAGAATCAAGAGAAGGATAACTGACATTGGTATTGGTTGGACGTGTTGTTACTAATAGATTACTATCGAATTTATTTTGTGATGATATTGTTGATTGACTTGTAAATAGATAAGATGTTGAATATAATTCACCAAGTAATAGGGATAATTCAATACGAACTGCTGGTAATCGTATACCACTAGATCCATACAAATCGCAGAAATTAATTAACGATATTAAAAATGGTTCATGAGCCTAGACGTGTGTATACACACAGGGAGAGAGAGGACAGATAAACCGAAGAAAAACATAATACTTCTGTGATTAAATAGTAATTATTAGTATAATTTCAGAAACTCAGTAACCTTCTGGTTGACGTCTATTTCTGACAAAACCTGTGCTCAAACTAAATAGATTCCCGTGAAGAATCAACACCCAAGTAAACGATAATCATATATTTATTAATAAATGGCTTAATTAATTTCTTCTGAGGTAATGAAAAGTTACGAGATTCGTAGAGTCAACTAACATAGATGATATTAGGAATACTATTTGTTATATCCCCTGGTGAATCATGAATGGTAAATCTGAGGTGTATTATGGACAAAGGTAATATGCCTAATTCCTATTGCATAGTTGTTAAATAACTGACGTAATTGTATTCGTGTTCCTCTTACCATAACCTTGTTTTGACCTTTGAACTATTGTTATTGATTACTTTCCCCCTATCCACAGCCTCATTGGCCAATTATTGTACAAATGTTATTTATCTATTTTTTTTGGTACATGTGGTCTGTTTGGTTAGTATATAAACCCAGTATGCTTGTGAATAATGATTGATATTGCCGAGGCTGTTATTTGTGTTCTGGACTCAACTGGCTGGGCTAGGCAGATAGCAGGGTCGATACGCAATCAAGACTGCTCGTACAATTTCAAGTATCATTTGCCTCCGATCAATAAATTCATTCCTCTCCAATTGCACGTCCATATCTTTACGAAACATACGTCATAACACTATTAAAGGTGTATTGACAGATATCATTTCTTAGTCATCCACATTTTAAATCATTATTTCATGGATACACATGAAATAGGAACTGGATTAAAAAAGTTCTTGATGAGCTGAGAGTGTGATCGACGAGCTCAATGAACAATTGTTTGAGGTTCATCACATAGTCTTTCTATGAGCGGTTTTTTGATACATTAACTCAGTGATTTTACAAATCGATTCTTTGAGTAAATGGTATTATTGAGATCACTACAAAACACGAAAGTTGTTGGATAAATCTAGTAGTGTAAATTTCTGGGAGGGGTTTGATCCGCAATACGACGATCTCATGTGCTGATAGAGATATGAGAGTAGTTGTCACTTCCCGGTTGATCACACTGTAGAAGGATATCTTTTCTTGAGTGGCGTGAAATAGGAATAGAATTAGTGGTAGACATAGCGAACAAGGAGCGTGACCTCAAATCCTAAATGACAACTGCTTGAGGCCTGACGCATACGGCTTTTTTATGGGACGTTTTTGATGTGTTAACACAGCACTTCAAAAGACCTAATCACTGGAGACGGAAGTTTGTGGGGTACGGAGAGGTGTGAAGGTTTTAGGGTCGACCTTTTATAATCTCTTGTTGTTGTTGTGAGAAGGGAGCATCGCTCCACAAACCTCTACAGTTAGCAGTACGACTTTTCCCTCGAGTCTAATGCTGCTGCTTTTAGTCTTATTGTTCCCCAACACACCTACCTGGAATGTTAGGACCTAAAGGAATATGTGTTGCGGCCAATAAAGTTCAGTTGAGTCATCAAGATAGGTAACGTCAAAGTAGCCGTTACGGTCATGAACGTTTTTTTAGAGTTGTATCTTCAATGCTTAATCGTTCGTATTATCACTGATACTTTTACTACCTCAACAATTCTGGGGTTTGGCCTGATACCTTCATCTGTCTGTGTTAATGGGGTATGACAAATTGAACCGATGTACAGGTTCTACGTCGTAACTGACAGACTATGGATCTCTGGATATGCGCTGTCGACGAGAATGAAACAACTATCCGTAGCTAATCGGTTCTGAACTAATTAAATTAATTGGCTTCAGTCATTTTTGAACTTAAAGAACGTAGAAAAAATCGAATATACAAAACAATTTCTTATCTGTTGATTTACGAAATCTGTTTTGAGGAAAACTGAAACTGTCGTAGCGAATAAGAACGTGTCTTGTTCCTTCAACAATTTTACTCCTACAACTACTGGTGTTCTTTTGTGCACAGGTGAAGACGTTGATAATGCCGACATGTAAATTTGTATAATCCATTGAAAGAATGGTAAACACAATTTAAATCTTATTTCTTACATGAAGAGGTATATTTTTCTTAGGTGTTATATATTCCTTGAGGTGGACAGTATTACGGTAACGCTTTCATTATGTTTTCCGAGATATTGCGAGGATCGACTTTAAACGTTTCGCGTCATGAATGATATTGGATAGAGAAAATAGCAAGAATAACTGCAGCCGAATTGTTTTCCTATGCCATCTGCAATTTATTTACGAACATACAACTGTGACACTGAGTTTATTGTTGCAACTGTCTTGAATGTTTATTTGATGGGTCTAGTCATTCAAAGTTATACGTAATTGGAGAAAAGAAAACAAATATATCACCGTAAAAGCGAAATGAAAGTACTGGAATCAGCATCATGGGTTCAAGATGCTATCAAAAGAGTTTGGTACTAAGACTTTCTGATTTTCAACAGTCATCTAATTAATATTACTGCTCTGTGAAAACTATCTTCCACAGTCGCTTCAAATACAACAGTCCAAATGAGAGATAGTTCTATGTAGAAAGGATAGGAACGAAAAATAAAAGGTACCAAAGATAACACAACATACTTTTATCCAATCATAACGTGTTTTTAATCGTTTTAATTCTGCATCACGAATTTCTGGAGAAACACTTGATAAATTCATTAAAATACCAGCTACAACGGTACCAGCATTTCTTGTAGTCATTAAATAGGAAGTTGTAGTCAATGGACCAGAAAATTCTGAATGATCTAAGGGAAAAAAAACAGACAGATAGATTGTAGGAAAAGAAGAAAATTCATATTACAGCGAAAATAGACATATTTACGAGCGGGATATCAGCAATGATCTCAATGTACAATATGTGTGTAGCTCCCGACACTTTCTAACGTTCCTCAGTTCATTTAGAAGATCGGAATTGCATATTGGCAATAATCCAGCAAACAATATATTCCATTATGGGGTACACATTTGCTAATTGAACGGAACTTAATTGATATTGTCAAATGAGATACATTTATTTGACATTGAAAGCATTGTAGATGTGACCTCAGCCTACTTTTAAAATTTTCAAATCCTTGACAGTATCGCTTTAAGATTCAATAAAAAAATTCCCCATGAGGGAGATTTAGTCATCCGAGAATCAGCAAAAAGAAGTATCAAAGTGACAGAAGACGATGCTGGAATTTGAATTGAAGGTGTGATACCTTATTGCAGAGAAAACTACAATCAGGAAACAGTGCATAACTAGTCTACTTATGAGGTAATATGATATTGAGGAACAAGGAGAAAAACTTTACAATCAGACCAAAAATGTATCTCTTAAGGAAATGATATCAATAGCAACTAATAAAAACGAAACAAAATCGAAACTCTGCTGGGAAATAATAAAGAAATACAGTTGTTACATAAATAATAAATTGAGATTTTCCATTTTTGAGACTAAAGATTGCATTTGATCAGTCTCTATTGGCATATAAGCATCTTGATAGTGCCTATAGTTACAGGTTTTTAGCAGAGATATTATGTGGCTAGCAGTGGAATACACGACATGTGTTTCGTCATTTTCAAAGCTTATCAGTCGAGTGTACCTGCATCCGAATGTGAACGTTCACAGCGTGACTTGAACGTCGTACATTTCGCTGTAAATAATGAAATGTAAGTACATTAAACTTTTTCCCCAAACAGGATAAAAAGCTCATCATGGGTTTTAGTGCTAGTCACGATTTAACATTAATGAATATCATTATACTTTTGTATGCGCTCACTAGTGACTGGCTCCATGAGGTATTTCCTGGAGTTTTAGTGAAAATCAGTAACCAGTGGAGTTCAACCAAGTCTGTTGGGAGATATCAATTCACTGATGACATTGGTGAACGGTTGCTCAAACTTCGTGGATTGGTTGAAGTTAGACATTAACACCGTTGGACGGCGGCCAGCTCAGTGGTCTAGTGGTTAGGTGCTCTGGCGCGAGACTGGTAGGTCCTGGGTCCGAATCTCGCTAGGCGAGATCGTGGAGTCTCACAATAAGACGAAACGGCCGTCCAGAGCTTCCAGGTTTTCCATGATGGTCTAGCTTTAATTGACTAATGAAATTAACTTTATAAAACATCTAAAACACAAATAAAGCAGAATTTTAAAAAAATGCTTTGATTTTCCTCTTTCTTCTTGACTTACCAAAACTAGGTTTATTCAACTTTTCGTCACTGGCAACAACTGGATTGGAAGAAGGATTATTAGTTGAATGAATAGTAGAAGTTATAGTTGTTGTTGTCATGGATGATTTCGTCAAACCAGTCAATGTATTAACAATAGCTAATTCATTTTCAAGCCATTGCCAAACATGTTGACGAAGTGAAACACCTTCAGACTAATGGTGATGAAAGAAAAGAGGCATATAATGATAATGTTAGTAATTTGTTATAGAAATCATAATTGGAATAATTTCAGTGACTGAAATTTTAAAATAATTACAGCAGTCTTATCTAGCGAACTCATTCATTCTCATGGAATTAATCAAAATAAGAATAGAACCAGTTAGTTACATTACGTTAACGTTTAGTTATCTATTCCATTGGGATAGGATACGTACCCGTGAATTTGTAGCGTATCCGTTTCTCAATGTTCAGTATTTGTGTGAATTATTTCGTTTATTGAGTAATTTACTGTTGAATATAAGAGCAAAATTTTCATTGAAGATTTAGTTTCAAACTTAAATTTCCACATTATTCATGTTTTCTCATCCGCCAAGTTAGGATCATAACTATTGGTAAAAGGTAAGTTGTTCTATCACGAGTTTGTTCTTTTTAAATACTAAGCTGTTTCTAGAGTTCTTAAACTCTCCCATACATCAACATGGGGAGAGCGTTTATTATTGAAGTAATATATACATAAGCAGTCAGATCCATCCGGTTTTGGTAGATGCTGAGTTTTGTAATAGGGCATTTTACCATAGGCTAACTAAAAACACAACAGGTGCAACAGAGAGGCAAAGAGTATTTGGTACAAAAAAAAATAGGAATAACAATGTGAAGAAACGGAAGGAGGGAAAAAAACTTGAGTAACAAACCAATGAAGAAATGATTGAGCAAGAACAAAACTCATTAAAAATATATTGTACGATTGTTCAATAGAACAATTGTTATCAGTAAACACGAACAACTAGAGAACCAATTATGGAACCAATTATTAATTCATAAATGCCTTCTAGAACAATCAGAGAGTTGGTAAATGTTGGACAATGAGGAAATTACTGGGACGATAATGTTCATGTAACTTGTTCAAGCTAACGAATTAGATGTTTGCAATAGTAACACTGATATATCATGAGTAAATTGTGATTAATCATGAGCATATATAAGTAGCTTTTAAAAATCAATGTCTTTTAAAGGATACGAACCCAACACACTTTGTGTCTCAATCAGCGACTAAACAAATAACATAATCAAACCTCAACTAGTTTTCTGTAAAATTAAGGTATGTGAACCAGTCAGTTATGGCATAGTAATGAAATCAGCATACAATGACATTCCAAATGACTTAAGAATTGAAGGCAATGTGATTTAGTCCGAAGTCATTAAATGCCCCCAAATGGTCTGAGTATGGAGAACGTCCACTATCACTCAACAAATTTTATTTATTTATTTATTTAAACACATAAATATTGGTACAAGGAAGCACCAGATAAATATGTGCCACACGAATCTCATTCGATTTGTGTGAGGGCTGTGATACTGCTCAGGTGCCCAGAGTGAAGCAGGTGAATTTCTTAGGGGGCCACACCCGGAGCCTTTGACCTGAATGTCTGATCCACAAGGCAGTGGAGCATCGTGAGGAGATGCAGTCCCATGGTAGCCGGTCACCAACGGTTGATTCGTACGCCATTTGTTCCCTCAGGATATTGGAGCCCGTGTGCACCACTGTTTTGAAATCAGGGTTTTCCAACTACCCTAGGTGAACTTTCCATGTCCACCAACCCGGTTAAAGCGCCGGACATTCGCTTTTCGTCCTCTCAATTTCGTAAACAACAGTAATGCCACGAGAAGGCAGTGAGTAGGACTTCCCTGGCAGAGGCTATATATTCGCTGGCCATATGAGAGTATTTCGAGAGGGAGAGGTGACTCTCCCCACTCTCGGCCGTACCAGGGCATTTGGGGGCCACTCAACAAATGCTTTCATATAGACGGGCATATATCGATACTGTCAGTGAGGTCCTACTAGCAGCATTCTTGAGGCGAGAGTGTTGTTTACGACATCGAAAGGACGAAAAGTGAGTGTTCAACACGCAAATCGGCAAAGCAATAGCAGCATATTTACAATTAAAGAACATTTGAAAATTAAAACAACATTCAACCGACACCAAAATCAGAATTCTCAATACAAATGTCAATACAGTTCTACTGTATGGGGAGGAAACTCGGAGAACTAAGAAAGCCATCATCCAGAAGATGCGGGTGTTTATTAACAGTTGTCTACGCAAGATACTTCGCATCCGTTGGCCACTATCAGCAACAACCTACTGTGGGAGAGAACAAATTAGATTCAATACAGTGGAGGAAGAAATCAGGAAGAAGCGCTAGAAGTGGATAGGATACAGATTGAAGAAAGCAAGCAAATTGTGTCACAAGGTAAGCCTTCACATGGAATTTTCAAGGCCACAGTAGAAGAGGAAGACCAAAAAACACATGCCGAGAAAATGGAAAGAGACATGAGAAGAATGAGAAACAACTGGAAGGAAATTCCAGGACAGAGTGGGTTGGAGAATACTGGTCGGCGGCCTTTGCTTCATTGAAAGTAACAGACGCAAGTAAGTAAAGTAAAAGACTCGAAGAGCGCCCTCCCTACCCCCGCAATGAAAATCACCTGCTTCAGTTTAAGCCACCAGGCAGTATCTCAGCTCTTTTATACCAATGTTTATGAGTTCAAATAAATAAATAAATAAAGCCAATAAAATGATACAAAATAAAACAATCATTTGCTTACTTCAGCACCAGCAGCCAATGTACTTAATTCTTCTGCCAAAATTTTTAAACAAGCAATAAATTTCAATTGATTTGCCATTAAGTCCACTGTACCTTGATCTTTAGACAAAAAAATAAATGTTGTTGTTTGTTTTGCGCATAAAGAACAAATAAACAAAAATATTGTATATATTAGAAATCATGAGCCAATTAAAGCTAGAACACTGGACGGCCGTTTCGTCCTTTTATGGGACTCCTCAGCATTGCACATCCACAATCCCGCCTCGCGAGATTCGAACCCAGGACTTCAACATGATACAATAAATTGTATAAATGATCAAGTACAATAATTTTTAGGAGAAAAAACATGGATTTATTTCTATTTCATAGTTACTTATCAGCTCCTTACAACCTCTAAACGTAATTGTATGAATACACTTGGTATTGTTTGTTTGAATCTTCCCATTGATGTTTAGGACTGTAGTTGATCAGTTTCTTATCAGCATATGTGCATACTGTGTGTATTGCCTCGATATAGCCTTAATTAACAAGCATTATAAGTAAAAATGGATAGTGGCTTGCACAAGCAAGTGGTTTCAAGCACTGATGCCACATTTTGGTTTGGCCGCCCATAACTTTCTTCCAACCATCAGCTACACTAGTCAGCGTAGCGTGTCGTGGTAATCGGTGTTCAGGCATTCGTAATACGTGGCCTAACCATCTCAGTCGATGAAGATCCATGACATCATCAACTGATTTACCATCATTCTGCAATAACCTGTGTCTAACCTCACTATTACTTACCCGGTGATCCCAGCAGATGCGAGCAATATTTCTCAGATATCTGTTATAAAATATTAGTAACTTTCTAGTATCCTGTACTCTTAATGGCTACATTTCGCAGTCGTAAAGTAGAACAGAACGAACTGCTGCGCAGTATACTCGTCCCTTAATTGATAGACGGATATCTCGTCTTCGCCATAGGTGACGTAAGTTGGCAAAAGCCAAACGAGCTTTCTGAATCCGTGCTGAGATTTCGTCAGACACCAACCAGTTAGGACTGATCAGACTTCCAAGATAAGTGAAGTTGTCGACGCGTTCGACTACTTCACTCCCTATCCCTAGTTCGGGTATTGACGCAGGCCAGTCCTGGAGTAACAATTTACATTTAGATGGATTATAGTTGGTGTTATTTCGTGATTAAAATCTTAACATTTACTCATAAGACAGTTTAATCGTGTTGGTAGCAAGATTTGTCACCATGCTAACTGTTTTATAACTAAGTACTGTTTCTTGATTAGCTGAAAAATTGTTCAAGGTAGAAGTCAATATGGTACAACATTCTTACCTTGGTTACCTTTATTTATTAAAAAAAACGGAATAGCATTATTGCTCACTTTCAATATTATAACTACCTATCGAATGAATTGAAGGTCGTTGTTGAGCTGATGATGATGACCTTTGTTGTTTTTGATTCATTTGTACTGTACCACTTTTGACATGATCCATAGTATCATCTTGTTCTATTTGATCATCATCATTATCATCACTCCATTCAATTGTAAATTGATCTTGTGTTGTATATTTTTTTAAAGGAACATCAGTTGTCATGAGTGTGAAAATATCATTATCATCATTACTAGTTGTGCTTTAAAAGAAAGATTTAAAGAAATAGAAATTAAATAACGAAATAAATCTTCTTTCTTATCGAAAGATTTTTTTTGTAGCTTACAAAATTACGGAACGAAAAACATCATATTCCCAGTGTACTAATGAACATTAGTGAACCAAGTCAAATTTGGAAGGAAATTCGAAGAATTTTAGTGAAATGTTATGATTAGTAGAGTCTAACTGGGTCAAGAGTGAGACGAAAATCATAGGTGGCACTTAATGACCGTCGCATATTTTCATAGTTGAAATCATGAGTCAATTGAAGCTAGACCACTATCAAAAACCTGGAAGCACTGGACGGCCGTTTCTTCCTATTATGGGACTCCTCAGCAGTGTACATCCACGATACCTCAGTCGCGAGATTCGAACCCAGGACCTACCAGTCTTGCGCCAGAGCACTTAACCGATAGACGGCCGCGTACTATCACGAATTGACTTAAGTTAAAGATGGAAATTACTAGATGCTAACAAAAAAGTCACAAATTGGAGTGATAGCCGAAGTGGTCGAAGGTTTTGATTTCCATCCTTGATTAGGTGGTTATGGATGAACAGTAGCTGAGAAGTTTCATATTAGGAAAAAATATTGGGGTAGTATTTCTCAGTTTTCAGTCATTATACAAATGAGGTTAGTTCGTGATGCAAAACTAGAAAAATTCAACCACATATAAAATTCACTATACTCTTACTTGTCAACAACAAATGGTTCCATTGGGAAAATTAATTTACTCAAATCTAATCTAAACACACTCCATCTAAACAAACCATAACTAACAGTCATGATATTATTTATTTTATTTAAAAGTATCCAAGCGAATATCCGGCGCTTTAACTGAGTTGGTGGACACGGCGCTTCTATTTTGAAAATTCACATATTGATGCTTATCCATGATGATCTTTGAGCTTGGGACATTCAGGTTTGAAGGGTAGCACTAAAAAGATAAACCTTTCTAATATAGAACTTCTTAGAAGTACTGCTGAGATGCCGACAAACTAATAAGAAGAAAGATTGTTAGATCATATTCCATTGAGTTCTAAATCAAAGTTCTTATGTTGCGGCTTTCGTATGAGAAGATGAAACAATTTTCCTTGATGAATGATATTTTACTTTTGAAACGAATAAGGGAAGAACTGAACAGTGGAAAATATTTTTCTTCCACAAATCAAATTTTTCAACTACTTGTCGAAGTGAAAACACATCAGATTATACTGCTCTTGTAACGATGAACGAGAGAATTTCACAATTGGGAGGGTAGAATTATGTTATGAATAAATAAACTGAATTGTAAACAGAATTATGAACACATTTATGAGTATCATGTGTTTTCAGTACAAATGAAATCCAACGTTTACGGATGTCGATAAGTATAGGGTTGCGGAGATTGCTGAGTTTCATTGGACTCATGAACCGATCACTGTTAAATCACTATAGGAAACCTGGAAGAACTAAACGGCTTTTTTGTCCCAGTATGAGACTCCTCAGTGGTAATCCACATCAACGACCTTGCGCACGCAGGAGTCGAACCCATGAACTACGGTTTTGCGATTATTTATAAGATCATTATCATGAAATTTGTTACTATAAAAAGTTACACGTCGTAAGATATTTTATGATACCATCTGGAATGAAAAACAGATTATTCAATCAACTATTGATTGACCATCAAGTAGTGACCAATGCATGTTTGTCTAGTCCTGATTAGTAAAGATCGAATTCAATCGATTAAGTTGTAACGTGATCGTTAGTCTAAGTGGCTCAGTAAACAGCCTGAATAGATCGTTGGTAGCATGTTCACAATGGAGTTTAATCGGTACAATTCGATCATTAATAAGAGACAATGCAAGCATAACAGTGATCAATCAATTGACATATCACAATTTTACAGGGGGTCAGTCTTAGCGTGAGTAAATCATTGGTAACGTTTCATACGATGAAACTGAGTTACGCGAGTTCGAATCGTAGACAAAGTAGAAGCTCTTTAAAAATTTCATATGCCTCTTGATGATAAGTATCAATTAGTACAACACATAGGATCTAGAGTTTCTTGTATATCACTTTGAATTTCCCTATAACTAAGCGGATTTTTTTCTGGTAGTCTATATGCCAAATATTAAAAACTTAACAGTGTTAGAACTTAGTCCAAGTTTATTATTGAATTTGATATGGAGAGCCAATCAGAAGTAGCAAAAGGTCAATCGATGGTAATCAGAGGTGACCTAAAGGTCGAGTGTATTTCATTGGGGTCGATTTCCTAAGGATAGAGTATTTGTGCGTTTCATTCGGTAGTTCGATACACTTTTACATTCAATTAGTCAGTTGGGGGGTTGGCGCATAGCATACCATGCATCAGTGTCAGATTTCGGACAGCGCACATCATAACAGAATTAATCCAAGATGAAGTGGTCCATATATGTTTGAATACTGAAATAAACATACCTTTGTTTATTTACTGGTTGCACGACAATATCCGCAGAGAGTCCCGATTGACGTCTTGATTTACTTTCGATAGATTCATTAATTGACATTCTATGTAGACCAAGTGTAGATGATGAATTAAAAGATTCCAATGGTGGTAATTTAGTCAAAACTTCCAATGCTAATGTTGGACAACCCAATATAAAATAATGATGAGCAGTACGAAAGTATAAACGTCTTTCTAAACTTTTTACATGATATAATATACACGAATTGATTAGATTTGGAGCTTGTAAACGTTGATGACGTAAAACTAATGGATGTGATTGTAGATAAGTGTAGAATTTGAAAACGCTTGGACATACAGATGATGGTTTTGAAGTATCCCTACCGGTTATGAAGCTTTGACTACCACTAAGATATTGAGGATGTTGTGGGCTTTGATATATTGCATCGGTTAAACTATCTCTCTTTTCTGATATGAAAAAATCTTCAGCATTACTTAGTATTCCAGGTCCTTCTAATAATGTTTGCAAAGCAGCTAATGGATCACCCTAAAATATAAGTAAAAACCACAAAATGTGAACATATATCAAAAAATGTTTGACTTGATGACAAATTATGATCATTCAACTAATAGACAGGTTCTTTTCGATAATACAGTTAAGTAATGTCAGATGTTCGGTGATTGATGGATCTGAAATGCAATGGAACTCATTTATCGAATATTATCATTATGTACTCCCTGAATATACCTGATACTTTGATATGATGACCCAATAAAATGTTATACGTCACCTTGTCTCATGGATTTCCACCACCAGCAATAAAGTCCTTAAATTATGGAAGTAAAACATTATAAAACCTTTAGCGAAGTGGCTATGTGACTGGCCTAAACTAGTTGTTTCTTGGGCTACGAACTCACACTCCTGGTTAGACATGACTACTTTAAACCCAGTTTCATTTCCAGGTCCCTTAAGACGAAATGTCATTTTACGATATGAAGAGTCGACCACTAAACTCTAAGAGCATTTGCGATTCTCTTTTTCACAATCAAATCTCTTTGTTCCTTTTTACTGTTTCTTCTACAACTAATACCAATACTTTTCCTTTGATTGTATCGCTATTCCTAAAGATTAGTGTAGCGTAGGCTAGATGCTCGTCCACAAACCAAAAAACGAACATATTGGAGTAGCAGTTCACTATGTTTTACTTAGTGTTGAATAAGGCTATTATTCTTACTATTTTTAATACGAAAGTTAAAAAAAGAAATCAAATAGAAAATATAGACAAATTAACTAACTAACTAACCAATGTCCAAAACGCCATACTTCTTAGAAATGGATCTTGTTGTTTAATTATATGTTGCCTTAGAAAATCATGATATGTCGACGAGGATGTTGTTGTCTGTTGACCTGGAATACCTTGAGCCGATGATGTATAAAGTCTGTCAGTATTCAAAAATAGTAATGATAAAAAACAATTTACTTTACAAATTAAACTGATAGGAAATAGAAAGAGAGAAAGATTGCTGTAGTATTCATTGAGTAATAAGCAAATATTGAATAAATTAGCAATAAATATAAGCTGAATTATACACATTGGATTCATTGTTGATCGGACTTAATCAATAAAGTTGTAGTGCGATGAATGTTCTCAGTGACCTATCATGATGAGCACTATCTTTCAAGGTTAAGTGATTTGAAATTAGTTATCAGAAACGTCAGTCAGTCAGATACAACGTAGGACCAGGTACATATTATGTATCGGTCGAAGTTGCCATACCTCGTTAGCACAACAAGATGAAAACCGGATTCATAGAAATAGTTAATTTAGTGGTGGTAGTATATAAAGAAAGGTTGTATATAAGGATATAGTATACGAAGGAAGAACGTTATGAAGCAATTTTAATCTTAAGGCTTGGGGGAAGATAAAGCGTGTATACACCTGCACCCTTGGGCACTGCGGTCACGTTCTCAAGTCATTATGACTATTTCTAACTCAATTTCCTTTTCAGGTACCTCTAGAAGAACCCTTTCACGGTGTGGGTAACCGGGAAGTGATAACTGCCCTCATACCTCTAACAGAACTCAAGACCACTGTATTAATAATCAATCTCCTTCTTCACAGTTATCAGAAAAGCCTACACCTAAATTTCAGGTAAGCTGGAACTCGTTAGTAAGGTGTACTTGAAAATCTAGAAACAACGGATACTCTCGATATAATTCGCACTCAAGTGAGTATGGCTATTTCTTTCTAGTATAATTCTGCTTAGCAGTGTTTACCGTAAGGCCATATTTTAGAGTGAACCTGGTCAACAGTTTGGAATTATTGAACAAAACAGGACACTATGAAAGTCGTCACAAAAATAAGGTAGAGTTATTGCATTATTATTATTATTATTATTATTATTATTATTATTATTATTATTATTATTATTATTATTAATGGCTTTATTCAAAGTATTTCAACAAGTTTCTCCTTCTTACTTCTTGATTGATCCTGACGACAAACATTTAGTGGTCGCAAGTTAAATGTTAGTGGTTGACAAGTCGACATATAAATAACGTTCATTCCTCTCAATGCATATTGACAGCAACCACATCGTTTCTGATTGAGCTTTTTTGTAAGCTGTACAGAGCAAGCATGTAAACTTTGCATAAACGCAACTGAATAGGTTGTGCAATCAATAGACATAATGGTGTTTTACAATAAACACAAAAAAAACAGATAACTTGCTGTAATATCTAAATGGTAAGAACAGGTAGCTCAGATATTCAAAAAGGCAGTCTTGAGGTTAATTTCCCCCAACCAAAAAAAACTAACCTGACAACCCTTTGAAGTACAAGAGTATTTAAAGGCAAATGAATAGCAAACAGTGTTTTATAAGGTTGGTGATGTTCCATTAATTTAAAAGTTTCAGTTAAGATTACAATATATATACATGAATATATATTATCTAAATTAACGTACCTAACTAATACAATAGCCATTTGTAAATCTTTTAAAGTATCCAAACAAACACGTACTGCATCATTTAAACATCCAGCCAATAAGAATAATCCAGCCGCTTGAAGATATTTATGTTGACTTAATAAACGGAATGCATTTAATTTAGCTTGACGACATGCTGGTTGACCTGGTGTAAAATCGGATCGGAAGAAATTTTCCAGTGTTTTATTGCCAGTGGTTCTGGTAGTTTTGTTTTTTCAAAGAAAGATTAAGCAACAGGTTAGGAAATGAAATTAAAGTGCAAAATTTCCTGTTTATTTTATTTTTATTAAAAATATTGGTACAAAGGAGCATCAAATATGTATGCACCACACAAATCTCATTTGATTTTTGTGGGGGCTGTGATACTGACTAGGTGCCAAAATCGAAACAGGTGGTTTTCTTAGGAGGCCACACCCGGAGCTTTAGACATAAAATCTGATCCACAAGGTAGTGGAGTATCGTAAGGAGATGCAGTACCATGGTAGCCAGTGATCAACGATTGATTCATACACCATTTGTTCCCTCAAGATATTGGAGCCCATGTACACCATTGGTTTGGAATGAGGGTTTTCCAACTCCCCTAGGTGGACGCGCCATGTCTACCAACCCGGTTAAAGCGCCGGACATTCGCTTTTCGTCCTCTCAATTTTGTAAACAACACCCGTGGTGTGAAAAGGCAATGAGTAGGACTTCCTTGATAGAGTCTATATACGCGTGGCCATGTGAGAGTATTTCGAGAGGGAGAGCGGACTCTCCCCACTCTCAGCCGTACCAAGGAAAAATTAGCTGTATAGTATTTATGATAAATAATTTAGATTGTATTACATAAATAAACAGGTCTGTCTTAATATGTACACACTCAGAGAGTTAGTTTAACGAGTGTACATCACAAACAATGAATTAATAAGTTAGTAGTTTTTTAAGTACTACTGAAATTATATATAAGTAACACCTTTCTTAATGAGTTATTATGTAATTAATTCAGATTTATGTGATCATAGGAGAATGATTAAGAAGAAAAGGATAATAACTAAGTGTATATACGGTGAATTTCTAATTTGATTGGTATCAACTAATTAAAGGTTAATTCGCCGCTAAATTATTCTTTAACAACAAAAATAATACAATAATTTGATGTCATTCACATTTAAATGTGAAATAAACAATTGAGACTCGTGTACAATATATCTTGATGTTAGGAATTCCTTAAAATGAAACATCTTAAATGAAAAGTCTCCCGACAGTTTAACATTGTCCAGAACATTTGTACAGTTGAATAGTGAATAGAACATAAAAAAGGGCGGTAAGTAAGGGAGGTCATATTCATGCACACAAATACAAAGGTAATCATAGGTTGACACAATAACGTTGATATGATGAAAGTCATTAGAAAATATGCTAAAATTGTTAAAGGAAATAATTAATCATTTATTAAGAAAATTTAGGTGGAGTTTTGTTCTCTGAGCTAGCTAGATTGGTCTTTTGAACAACATCATCAGCACAAACTTCAGGTAGAACTGATAGCTCATTACATTTGGAAGCGTTGGCAAAGGGGAGGTGAGGAGGGTGCAGTTCTGCAGACACCTTTAAGGGGTTGGGAGAGGAATCGCTAGTTGGTGAGGTTTTTTGCAGGAAAAAAGCGTTGAGTGGACTGCCCCGGTGAGGCAGCGCTGTCTATAACTGTCTCTGTTGACGAGGGGAATTAGGACGTCTGGTTGCTAGGGTGACATCGGAGTCAGATGACCCAGCAGGTCGAATTTATTATCGAGCTCGGCACGCAGGCAGACTCAACATTTTGGCGAAAATCCAAAAGTTTGTGCTGGTGTTGTTCAAAAGAACAATGAAAGCTCTATAACCAACTCATGTAGCTCAGAGAAAAAACTCCATCTAAATCATCTACACCAGCTACAAATCTTCCTCATTATTAAAGTAAATTTCCTAAAGAATTCTGATAGTACGAAAGAGTTTGAACATTTTCTTAGTTACTGAAAAATTTCCTCGAGGAATAGCTGATATCAAAAACTGATACGGGCGAAAATAATGCAACGACGATGAAGATTTTTATTAACCAAAATAATATGAGTAAGACATTTACTTGAATAATGCAGCCACCATTTTGGCTTTATGCATAGCCAGATAAAAGACAGCAGATTCCATTGGATCTTTAGTGTTTTGAAAAGCTGTACGAGCCATCTGTTGGAAAACAATATGAATACAACAAATGAATACATTTTGGTTAATTGAACCGCTTCTAGCTTTTTTCCAACCTACTCATATATCTGACAACATAGCATGTCAACGTAGATGGTGATTAGGCATTCGAAAAAAGATGTCCCAGTAACCTCAGATAGTGAAAATTTACTACTTCATTAATCGATTTGCTAACTTTATCAAGTACATCATGTCTAACACAGAAATCGCTTACCAAACATGCTTGGATAATTGTTTAAGGTGGTTAGAAGACTGGATTTTGTCCGAGTCTTCGTCAAACAAAAGTATATCATCTACGTCTTCTGAATCAACGAGTAAATATTTCGGTGATAAGTCAACTCATGAAAAGTCAGTAGAAGGGGGCGCTATCTCTAAATAAAATAAGGAAGAAGTGGATAGACCAGTCGGGCACCGCTTGAGATTGAACATTTTGATGATAGTTCACTATAAGATCTGATTATACCAGAAATTAATTGGAGATAAACAAGACAATCATCGGTGGAGATTTAAGGATATGCCAACATGAAGGCAGACATCACTGAGATTTCCCTTCAAAATTCAAATCACAAGGTCAATTAGTCATAAGAGAGAACGTGAACCACACACGAATATTGTGAAAATCCATATAATAGAATAAGATATTATAGGCAGATTTGTTCGTTCAACTAATTCCATATTTTTCTTTTAAGAGTATAGAAAGAGCTGACAGAACATTGGAAAATTATTGGATTGTAAAATGATGAACGAAAAAGGAGTTGTTACACTTTTCAATGTGTGGGAAGATAGTAGGTAATTTGGTGACAATATTTATTGTTCATAACATTGTTTATCTACTTATAAGTAGTTTCGATTTCATAATCATTTGTTTGAAATATGGTATGAATTTTACACAGTTGAAAGTTATACGGAAAGTTATATGGACTAGACTTTTTTTTAACAAAGCGATAGGATTCGAAGTAAACCCAAAGTTTTGAGAAGTTCCTAGACGGACCCAGTTGAATAATAATAAACACTTGTGAAGAAACAACAAACGATGCATATACGTTTTATCCAGTTTTTGGACTGTATCTTATTCTATAGTTAAAAAAATATTTAAAGATTACATAATAGTTTAATGTACCGTAGAACAAAAGAACGATCGGTTATCTGTTAAATCCATACTATGTTTTTCCAATTTTTAGGATTTGGCAAAAGTATGCACCTATCTATACTACACTCATTTCAAGACTTTAAAGCAGTAAAACATATGCCGATAACATGATAAACTCCAACTGAGCAGTATCTCTCGACATATGTAGATCCTGTGTACTCACATTCAGCTGACGAGTTCCAAAATGGGCGAAACGCAAGTCTTAAATCTAACCGCTATCCACCATACAAGCTAGCTTATAATGTTTATGACTTAATGGTAATATATCAGGTCAAAATCCAATCACGATGCCCATTTGTTAAAAGAGACTGATCAATTGCAATTCATAACGCATCAGGAGGATTTAAATAACCCATACAAATGAATTTAAATTCACTTCATTGCAGAAGGCACTAGATATCTGAACTCAGTAGCTAAGAAGATAACACGTTAGGTGTTTGAAGCGAAAATAATTGGGCTCCAGTCCCGATATGAACACTAACTCCGGGATGCAGGTAAATCGAATGGATGAATTTTAAATAGCTTAGAATGTGCATCCTCGATTCCACTTCTACCCACAATCCAACTCAGTAAGCATGTCGCTTTAAATACCATTGCTTAAATTGACGATATTGTAAATATATGTTCCTAAGATTGCATGCATACATAATTGTTAACACACAGACCATAATAATATGTACATACTTTTTCAGCGCAGCGAATCAGAAGACTTTCACTTCGTATCCACCAACCACAACCATATCGTTTGAAATCTGCCCAATTTAATTCTAATGAATCAGAACCGCTGACTTCACCACCGCCTAGTTGATTAGAAACAATTGGTAATTGTGATAAAAGTTCTTCTTGTGAATCCGAATGATATGCCCATACTAGACTGGAATTAGTTAGGCCAGAAGACTGAAATACAATAAATCAGAAATAAAAAACCGATATATACATTATCATTATGGAAGTATTCACTGTAGCAATAAAAAAATAATAGTGATAATAATAATGATTCTGTGAAGCTTTGAACTAGCGACATTAATGTCTGTTATATTCATCAACCCTGTTAAAGTAAACCACAAGTGGCTAATGGATGGACTAAGAAATACTGCTATTTCGAGTAGACTTTGTAAATAATGAACGAATCTACTTTGCTTATCAACCATTACTCACTCTATATTGTCTCAATTTACAATGTTGTTTTCGCAAGAGCCTCGAATTTCGTGACAGGTGCTAAAACTTTAAAACTATTGAATCGACATCAATTCGTGATAAGATGAAACCATTTTCCAATATTATTCATGGGTAATTATCTCAATAAAACCTTGGAACAACCTACTGAAATCGGCACTGCTGGGGAGTTCCACAACAGGACAAAACGGCCATCCAGTGCTTCCATATTTTCCAAGGTGGTCTAGCTTCAATTGACTCATGATCTCAACTCTATAAAATAACTAAAATTTACACCAGACCTCTTCAGATTTGTAGTGTTGATTTTTATAGTTTATATCATGGACTATCCTTAGTTAGGCAACTAAGATCAATACGAGATGCACATTATGTAACACAATGATTTTGATAAATCCATTACACTGAGAATAATGAATCTATAGAACAATCAGGCCCCATTAAATCAAACCTACTTGTATGAAAATCTTGACGTTGAAAAAAAACCCATAAAGAAATGATCACCACTGTTAAAAATGAAGCGATAAAACTTACAAGAAGTTGCGATCGACGTGCCGGTGGCAATGTTTTACTTAAATAAGAATACAATTGAACTGTTAAAAGAAATCGAAGACCACACTCATCTAAACCTTTATAAAGGAAGAAATCAACAACGACAAATTTACACTAATCATGTTCTAATAACAATATAGAATAGTAAAACATTTTCTTAAAGTTTACATAATGAACTGATGTTGTTGAACAACTACTGAGAACCATGAAATAATGGACAGTTGTTTGATTCTAGTGAATGACTCCTCAGTAGTGTACTTCGACAAATACACTACAAAGGATCGAGCTCAGGGTTTTTGACCTTTAGGCCACAAAGTCAGGATTCAATGGTTTATTATTTATAAATTTAATCAATCCTCGATATTCTGAAGACATCTTGTATTGACCTTAGTAGGTAAATTATCGCAAGTTCGATATGGATGAACTCCACTGGTCATAGTTTCTCATCAGAACTCCTGAGATTGTTTGCCTCTTAATTGAACAATCATTGAAAACTAAGGTCAATTTGTAGTATAAACCACGAAAGAACTAGTCAATCTACCAAAATCAGTTACTAAAAATACATAATAATCATGCTAACGAGAAGTTATGTTGAAGAGAGAGCTGAATTGAACTCGCTTAATGTCCATAGAACAACTGTAACCTATGGATTCAAGAATTCAGATAACATTGGAAGAGGGGCGTTTATTCTTCAAATTTCAACGAAAATACTGATTCTTGTTATTAATTTGTGCTTTCCAAGTATGCTCATTATTTATATTTTAAATTTTCATTGTGCTACTATAATTATTTAGTCCATAATGGTGTATGTAGATCCTGAGTAGGCTGTTTCTAGGTAGCTAGGTAGCACGTTTTTGGTATAGTTGGAAGCTCAGTGTAAACATCAACACTGGGAAGTAGTTATTAAGGCAGTTCCGTAAAAGGATTCCACTGTTATTCACAACCCGACTTTATTCTCTGTGTTCATTTTTATACTATTACTGATAATATTCATGTTTTCAGATTCTGTACAGTACCTCTGTACTGCACGGAGCTAGAACTTGGAGAACTACTACTACCATTATCAAAAAAGTACAAGTATCTACAGGCAGTTTTCTACTATCACTAATATTTCTATTACTCTGTCATTTGTTCTGATAACTTCTTATTGTGTTGATATGCAGTAGCAACTTGAACTGATGAACATATGTCTCAGGTTCTAGGTTCCGTATAACTGGTTGGCTAACGTAATATTCAGTGAACAGTAAACAATCGTAAATTAAGGATTAATGTGAAAATTGGTTTACTTTGCAGGAATGCATTTTACACTGAGCGTTTCATTAGGTCTACACTATTGAGAAGTAGTAAGAGTATAAGCATTATATGAAAGATTAGGGTTAGCAGATGTTATTGAAGGAGTATAATCCAGTGAAAGAAATTTGGAAAGAGAAAAAAAGATAAAGACATGAAAATTCAGAAGATTAGAATTTGGCAGAACACAAAGAGTTGATGCACCTTCGCCATTACAAACGATTTTGAGCCATGTGACTCAAGGTCTCTAACCATCGATTGATATCATCTCGCGAATCCCAACCAGGTATTCTACACCTACCAGCATGGCTCAGTCAAATTGTCAGTGACTTCATGGAGTTGTGTCACGTTTTGGTGTGACCGTCCCTAGCTTTCTTCCAACCTACTCCTACACCATGGAACATTGCACGTCTGGGCAGTAGGTGGTTGGGCATACGTAACACGTGTCCCAGTCATCACAATTGATGAAGTTTCATCAACCTCTATATACGAGTTGATTGCTAATGTCATTGTAGTTTGCGATGACAAAGATTGGATTCACAAAGATTGAAAGAATTTTTAAACTTATGGAACGTACTACTTATCCATTTGATTCAATCTATTGTACTTTGTTAATTTATTTACACTTTTAGAAACCCTTTTTTCTCATTGAGGTTACAACGGAAATAATCACGGATAATTATGTAACTTAAATCGAAATAATTAATTTAAATACAGTAAGCCAATATGCATTTTAATTAGGTAAGCTTAATTTATTAAAGACATCTAATCAATAGAGATGAGTTCATTAATGGATTGCTTATAGATAGTTGTATATAAATTAGAGTGCCAAGAGTATTCGGTTAGTTATTTGGTTAGAATTAAACCCACTCTTTATTAACCATATGTAAGGAAAGCATAAAACTGTCAGCTAAAAGTGTTTGGACGGTTTCAGAAAACTACAATAGAGCCTCCGGAAGCCCTAAAGGTGACGAAGGGTTTCTATCCAATCAGAACGTGATAGAGCTTTCTAGAATGTCAACGTGGTATGCTACCATTGGACAGTAGCATAACATGCCTCTTCGCGGATTAACTGAATTATAATGTTGATATAACAAACGTTAATATATATAAATACCCATGGTTTTCTGTACATTTTGATTCTGACCCAACAAGCACATCTTTAGTCTTCTGATTTGCAACTGTGGGGTTGCAAATAGTATTCTGCGTTAATGAAGTAGCAAACTTAATACTGGCAACGGGGTGTATCAATAACAATGCCAATTACTCCTGAACAAGTTGAATATACACTTGAACGTCAGGAAAAACGGTATGAACAGTTCCAAGTGCGCATTTTGGAGATGCTAATGCAACAAATGAATCTTTGTCACAAAGGACCGATTCCATCAGTAACTCTACCCATGAATTAAGTAGCAAACAACACATTACTAGCCTTGGGACTCAGAATGTGGCTTGAAACCAAGTAGAGAAATCTGTACTTGGTAAACGAGTTGATAAACAAAATGGAACTAATAATAATAATAATAATAATAATAATAATAATAATAATAATAATAATAGTATTAATAATAATAATAATAACCTTCGTTAGAATCCTGTTTGATCGATAATCTTCGTGGCAGTTGATCCAGCTTCTTCTCATTAGTTGATGAATTGACTTTTGATAAGCAATCCGTAATATCGGAACGTGTCTTCGCCATTAAATCAGCTATACCCAATAAATACATTTGATCTAGTGATGATAGACCGGGTAATCGTTGAGTTGACAAACTATGTTGATGGACAGAGGTGTATTGATTCGGTGATAAAAAAAGTTTATAATAGGTGTGATGTTAGTAGAATGTGAAAGTAAAGATAATTAATTAGGCAAAATTACTCTAAACTTTTAGACGGAAATGAATGATGCCTAGCAATGAACTCAAAGACGTGTGCTCCGTCCTATTTAGGAATGATCAGATGGATGTACGAGTGTCCCAAACAGGATGCACATATTCCAAGAGAGACTGGTCAATTGCAGTCCTAAACATCAATGGGAAGATTCAACAACTAATACATATGAATTAAAGTTAGAAATATGGATAATAATAGTGTAAAATAGTTGTCCAGTAATTATTCAACTCTTTCTAAGAGCTTATTTACCAGGTACTGATTCGTGTACTTAGCATCAAAACATACCCTAACTGTGATGGGCAGTGATAATACGCGGTTGCCTAGGCCGATGAAAATATAGCGCAGCTAGAATCTGTAATTTGTCGTTTAAGAATCAAGAGTTTTGACCACTGAGTTACCGTCCCATTTATGAAAAATATATATAAACTAATTCATTGAACTTTTTAATGAAAGAAGAAACACTTACTGATCAGCAAGAAGACGAGCATCATCTTCTGAAAAATGTATACTACGAGCTAATGCTGCAGGTTTCAATGACCATATACTAAATCCATATAAATGTGATGATTTGTTTGCAGATGTATTGAAGGATAGATTTGAATGATGAATATTTCTTGATGGGTTACTTTTATCTGTTACATCATAATCGTCATCATCATTGTTCAAACTGAGATTAAGATCATCATCCTAAAGAAAGACAATGAAAGAGAATGAAGTAATACGACTGTAGAAGAATATGTCAAACGCTATATAATGACATTTTTTATTTCAACACATAATTATTGGTACAAGGAAGCACCAGATACATATGCGCCGCACATAACTCATTTGATTTGTGTGATGACTGTGATGCTGCCCAGGTGCCCAAACTGAAGCAGGTGCTTTACTTAGAGGGCCACACCCCAAGCGTTTAACCTAAAGATCTGATCCGCAATACAGTGGAGCATCGTGAGGAGATGCAGTCTCATGGTAGCTTGTCACCAACGACTGATTCATACACCATTTGTTCCCTCAGGATACTGGAGCCAGCCCATGTGCACATTGGTTTGGAATCAGGGAATCAAACTTCCCTAGATGGACGCGCCATGTCCACCAACCCGGATAAAGCTCCGGACATTCGCTTTTCGTCCTCTCAATTTTATAAACAACGCCCTTGATGCGAGAAGGCAGTGAGTAGGACTTACCTGGCAGAGGTTATATACGCGTGGCCTTGTGAGAGGATTTCGAAAGGGAGAGCGGACTCTCCCCACTCTCGGCTGTACCAGGACATTTGGGGACATGTAATGACATCAGTTCATATGATTGCGTAATCATTTAAAAAAACAATGAGCTAACTATTACATGAAGTATTCACTGTTTTGAATAAATTTGTCTCATTAAACGGGATTGGGGCATGATTAAACTTTCTAATATAACATATGAATTAAAATACTTTTCTTCTCACAGTATATCACGACACTACGTTTATATAATAAAGAAATTCGAATGGTTGATCCAATTCACAGTACCACTACATTGCATACTCGAACGATCCACTATACACAGACTAGATCACATTATAACAGATAACCAGTTCACGAACAAGAATAAATAACCAGAGTAATATTAGACAATACTTTATTCCACATAATTACAAGCAGTTAGTGACGGTGAGTCTGGAGTAGGAAGCCAACGGGAGGAAAGAAAATCACATATTGAATAGTCAATAAGCTGAGTGATTGTTTGTCTACACCAATCGCATTTACATTCATCACTGCACATTACTTTCGCAACCATAATTACGGGAAAATATTAGTTACATTAGATGTTTGAATTATTGCATTTTTATTCTCCCCTTAAGTTTATTCTTTTCCCTGACCTATACATACTGTTGTTATATCTTTGTACTCCAAATTTATGATTGATTAAGTTTTTTTTTAATAGTATTAGTCTACTTTTGTATCATACAACGTTATACCTTAATTGTGTTACTATGCTGTTAAGCATTTCAGGTATATTATTGTATGAATTTTGAGTTATGAATGAAACGAAGAAGATATCTACTTGATAACTTCATCTTCTAATTGAACACTGAGGTTAGGAGGATTTCGAGGACACCCATAGGTGTTAAGCTCACGATTCTTGTTCATTGAGCATTGTGTCATTTGTAAAATAGATCATTATCGGTTCTAGAATTTATGTAGGTGAATATTCAAACTGGGGAATACAAATGCTCGCATAATACACGGCTCAATCACATAGAGCTCAATACAACTAAAGAATTCGTTAAATTTGAAGGCAAAATAGGAATTTTTTCAGTATTTACCCAACATTTTCGTCAGTTGCTTCTTAAGATTAATATAATTCAAGAGAATATGTTTCATGAATTGAATATCAGCTGAAAGTCATTCGAAAACTGGTAACTAGTACAAAACTGTTGTTTATTTTTTTATTCATTTCAGTTTAAGACAATATTCGGGAAATTTAAAATCCGGATATCAACTACGAATTTTTTCAAAAAAGGGGAGGTGTTATGTCCCGATAAGAATAATGAATGGTAACTTTGGGATCCATTGATGGACTTCACTGGCTGGGCTAGACAGAAGACAGGATTGATACGTACACTAGACTGCTCGTACGGTTCTCGTGTTTCACTATTCCAATCGATAATTCACTGTTCTGTGATTGGCGGTCTTATCACGTCATACGTTAACAAGGCACCTACTCGGCAACAAGTAATAACACATGTAAAAACAAAACTACCAGTTCGCACTAATACTTAGAAGATAGTTGGGAGATGGAAGTTAAAAAACTAATAAGAAGATAAGAGCGTGTGGAGTCATCCAAGTTGAAAATGAAACAATATTATAGAATAAGGATTTGAAAATAAAGGTTATCGAAATGTAATTTTAAAGATACGTCGTGTGTTTGAACATTTATATTCCGATTGTTTAACCACCCCTTAAATGCCAGAAATCGTCTATTCCTGAACCATAAATAAGAAATATAAGGCTAGATGAATGGAACGTTTTTGAGATGGTGGAAAAGATTTGTAGCTCAGGTGAGTGACTCTGATGGAGTTTTGTTCTCTGAGCTGGATGGTTTGGTCGTAGAGCTTTCGTCGTCCTTCTAAACGACATCATCAGCACAAACTTCGAGTAGAAGTCTAACTGAAGTTTGTGTTGATGATGTCGTTCAGAAGAACGTTAAAAGCTCCACGACCAAACTATCCAGCTCAGAGAATAAAACTCCATCAGAATGGAACGTATCTTTTCCAGATTACTTCTTGTACACAAAATAGGGATAGTTCTAGGTTTACATGTGACCTTGGAACTCTAAAAGATTCCAAAAAACATGATGAAATCAGCTTTAAATAAATCAATAGTTGTTCTCTTAAGATAATGATCGCATAAATCGTCATTCACTGGAATTTTCTCAGATGTTTCTGAACGACTATGATTAGCCAAAGCACTTTCGATCTCACAGTCGATAGTTTTTATCACAGTACTTAAACATATATGCTAACTTTATATATGTAAACAATCGGATGGTGAGGAGTCTTAAGCCAGAATAAAATGAATTTTGTTCACTTTGGAATTGAAAACTTCCCTTCGAAACGAGTAACATCAATCAAGTTAGAAAGAATGTGGGTTTTTGTTCATAAAAAAACCACCGGTAGAAAAAGAAGGAATTTCATTAACCAAGTGTTATACATACTTGTATTTCAAAGATGCTTGATTCATCAGCTAGTCCATTTTCATTATTCCACTCATTTATAGAATCTAGAAGGAATTAGGAGGTTTTGTAAGAAAAAGGAGGAGAGAGGCATTATGAAAGTAAGCATTAAAAACACAAGATAATAGTCCTAATAGAAGAACTTTACTCATTCAGTAGTCTAAATATAACACACTCCCTATCACATGTGATAGTCCCAGGTTCAACTATGATAAAGTAGTGTATATGAATTATTGTGGAGTTTTATATTGGAAAAAACAGCTATCCAACATCTTTCGGTTCTCAATGACTGTTTAGTCAAAGTTAATCTACCTGTCAATTGTAATTAAGCGAGATTTCCCATATTTTTTTGTCTTTTCAATGTGAAAATCTTCTTTATTTACTGATTTCTTGATATTCTACTATGTCATTTTATTGCCTTCTTTCTATAGACATGTCTACACATAGAAGCTTCTCAGTTTGCAGTTGGTTACAATCAGAAGCATATAGAGTCTTCAAGGATTTTATGTCCACTGAGAGAACAAAATGCTTACCACTCATGGTCATGGTTAGAAACATCACCATTGAGATATACTGAAATAAGTGTACGAGGATTAGTTGCACGATATAATCCCTGAAGAGTAATTCATCATTAAACATTTTCCAGTTAAACTAACTGTGTATTCATCATTAAACTAAGTAAATGAGTATTAATTCTTTAATGATGAGATTATATAGTTATGATTAGTATGATGAAATGAGATCATGTGTTCTATATTGCTGCTGTGTTCTGGACTATTTTGGTGACTCAACAGATCTGAACTGATTAAAATATTTGTTTACTGACGCCACACACAGTCGAGTAGATCATTTCAATAGTGGTAAAAGAAAAAGCGTTACATTGGAAATCCAATGATGAGGTTGTACTGTTGATTGTACTGAGGTGTGGCGGCAGTAAAGCGTATCATACGGATATAAAGTGCAAGGCAATGGCTCAGTTTTTACATACATAAAAGAGGGATAGAAAACGTTAGTTCTCAGAAAAGGAAAACCTATTGTCAACAGCGTTGTAGTATTAAAAGTATCGGTTTCGGCTGTTCACAGTAGAATCCGATGTTTTAAGGCAGAAACGTTTGTTTTAAGTGGAGCTGGTTATATCGAGTACCTTATCTGGTGTTACATATATTGTAGTTGGTAAGGATTCAGATGGACTTTGTTGTTCAATCGCGATATCGAATTATCTTTCTGTTTAAGCTATTGGAATTTCGGATTGATTTCAATTATATTTGCATTCAAAATATGTGATTCATTCTGTTTTGAATAGTAAGTGGATCTTGAATACTTAGTTTTGTATTGTAAGCGCTTACCAACTTCAACACTCAATTTGCACTCTCTTCTATGGAAGCTTGAACTGAAACAGAATGGAGCAATATACAACATTGTTTATCACTGACTGAGTGTATGATAAAGAAAACAAATTTTCTGAATCAACGATTCACCCAAAACCATAGGATTAAAACTCAATGAAACTACATACCGAAATGTTTGTTCAATATCACATCTGCATTAACATCGGTTACTTGCAACGAATCAACAGCTAGTAGGACGTACAATGGTAAGGGAGGTATTGTATGCGTTTCTAAAAGATTATTTGAAGAATGTGGCATATGAGATATTGAAGACACTGGTTTAGATGTTGTATTATTTATTCTTTCTGTTGTTGTCGACATTTTTGATGTTATAGTAGTGTCAAATGACTCGATAACAAGATTGGTCAGTTCTGAATTTAAATTACCCTACATAAACAACATAGAAGAATGCGAATTCGTAAATGAAAACGGAATTAACTATTGAATTTAAAAAATGCAAATAAGCAAAGATTAAAGGTTTTCACTTGAGATGATGATTGTATAGCATTTGGTGGATTTATATCACTATCACAGGTGGCAGATATGGAAGAAGTTAAAAAACAGATGATAAAGGATGGAATTAATTAATTAGCTCCAACACGACAGAACAGAAAAGCTGTGGATAACATGCATATATAGAATGCATAAGTTAGAGACTTATACACTCCATAGTCTATATAGAGGTATAGTTCCGATTTGATTTCGTTGTCCCGACGTCGGAACTCCAGCAACAGTGGTAAATGAATAAATCGATTGCACTCAAATCATCTGGGTTGTGAATAGTCTATTGACCATCCGCTTTTCTAAGCTCATATCACAAACACGTTTGGTGTCGACCCTGTCCACTGAGAACAGCACAGTTTACAACTGTCGACCTGGTTTGCACTAGACCTAATGGGCCATCCTAGAGATAATCTAATTAGGAACCAGAAACATTAGATTCTGTCTCAAGAAATATTAGAAAATGAAGAAAAATATTTAATAGCGAACAAGATGAGTTCAAATGCTACCACAGATGTGTGGACGGTTGGTATTTTGTGGTTCCTCAAGCCGAAGAAAGGCAATTCTTTGAGAGGGACCTGGAAAAGAAACTGAAGAGTAGTTTGATTTCAGTTCAAAGTTGATCGTGTCGAACGGCATGTACCATTACTTCTCAGCACAGAAATTTGTGGTGAGTTATATTTAGAGATGAGACTATAGGATACTAGGCAAACGCAGCAAATCGGTTGTAAAACATCATTGATTGAGGTGATCTGGTATTACGTATGCCCAATTATCGCCTAGTGCATGGAGGACAGCTGACAGATGCATTTCCAGTAAGGACCGGAGTCAGACAAGGCTGTCTACTCTCCCCATTTCTCTTCCTTCTAGTGATTGACTGGATTATGACGAATTCGACATCCGAAGGGAAATACGGAATACAATGGACTTCTCAGAATCAATTAGATGATTTGGACTTCGCAGATGACCTAGCCCTCCTCTCTCATACACACGACCAAATGCAGATGAAGACAGCAAATGTAGCAGCAGCCTCCGCATCGATAGGCCTCCACATTCACAAAGGAAAAAGCAAGATTCTCAAATGCAACACGGAGAACACCAACCCAATCACACTTGATGGCGAAACTCTGGAAGAGGTGGAAACATTCAAGTACCTGGGGAGCATCGTTGATAAACAAGGAGGATCGGATGCAGATGTAAAGGCAAGGATTGGCAAAGCAAGGGCAGCATTTCTACAATTGCAGAACATATGGAACTCAAAACAACTCTCAACCAATTTCAAGGTCAGAATCTTTAATACGAACGTCAAGACAGTCAGTTATACTGTATGGAGCTGAAACGTGGAGAACTACTACGGCCATCATCAGGAAGGTACAAGTATTTATAAACAGTTGTCTACGCAAAATACTCAACATCCATTGGCCGGATACTATCAGCAACAGCGTTTTATGGGAGAGGACAAACCAGCTTCCAGCTGAAGAGGAAATAAGGAAAAGACGTTGGAAGTGGATCGGACATACATTAAGGAAATCACCAATGTGCATCACGACTCAATCCCTAACTTGGAATCCGGAAGGGAAGCGGAAAAGAGGAAGGCCAAAGAACACACTACGCCGGGAAATAGAAGCCGATATGAAAAGGATGAATAGCAACTGGAAAGAACTGGAAAGGAAGGCTCAGGACAGAGTTGGATGGAGAATGCTGGTGAGCGGCCTATGCTCCTCGACGAGGGGTAACAGGCGTAAGTAAGTAAGTAATTATCGCCTACCTCGATGTACACAACAGACTATTCTCCATCATTATCCTTATCGTGTGAGATGTTACCAAATGCTTAAATTGTTGTTACAGACTTACATTTTGTAAAGTCATTTGATTGTCATTCCACTCTCGTATCCATAGTATTGAAAGGGTTGTTGGTCTGTGTCCTATACATTACGCAAATTGGTTGGGCAGTTATTTCATAAAATCAGGTTAGTAAAAACGTATTTAAGACTAGGATAAAAGTCCTCATCAAGCAGTGGACAAAATAAAACGAGAATAATACTTTTTTCAAATATATACATACTTTCGTCATTCGACGATGACCATCAGAATGACTGCCTGACCGTTGGGATGAATTGCCAAGAGCAGATAAACATCTAGTTAAATGTGCTAATATCGCTTTTATACGACGTAAATGACCCAAATTCATCCATTCTAATAGTTGACGAGGATGAAATTGAGGAAGTATTGGATTAACAATCTACAAGAAGAGAGAGAAAGAAGAATATATGTAAACGTAAGTCAGTAAGTACTTACGACTAATCATAAACTAATAAGATTAATAACCACTGTGGCCCATTACTCTCAAACATCTGGGCCACAATGCTTTGTAAACGTAAATTGATTCACAGAAACTCTCGTTTTAGACTTATCTAGATCAACTAATAATGTGTGCATACAGTTTTATCAAGTTACTATGTTACGATCGTCTCGAAGTTGAGATACTTTCTGTTTATTAATGCGTATACATATTGGCTGTTATTAATACTTTAAAAGAGATTGACACTTCCCAGGTTCTCAGAACATGGAAGAGTATTTCTGTTTGAAAAAAAGAGTTTGAGCTTATTAGTTTTTAAATTTTATTACTGGTATCAGAGATCCATGAAACAACTTACTTACTTACTTACGCCTGTTACGCTTCATAGAGGAGCATAGGCCGCCCAAGTAAGTGATATGTTATTTTTAAAAACTATCATCTATAATCTTTACTTCTGTACATGAGTAAGAGACATAAGTATAGATGTTTGTTATCTGTAAGATATCCTTCTTACTTTCGCTATACCCAGTACAATCTCTAGAACAAAATCTCTGTCCGACCTTGGACTTACCATCGTTGATAGTGTCACCATCTCTAAATGACCTGTTGGTGGTATTGTAAGAATTACAAAAACAAATATTTCAAACAACAGAACTCGATTAGTTTGTCACAATGACCGATTTCCTGAAGCAAATGTTACAAGTTAAACAAATTGCAAACGAAAAAAACACAGATAAGAATTTAAGAAACATTGGATTACTTGAATAGCTTCGAATAATCCAAGATTCGATAAGAGTTCTACATCTTTCAATAGCTGTTCACTTGATTTAACGTCTAATCCACCGCCGCTAGCACGATTCAAGTCAATTTGACTCATTTTTCTAGTTATTTTAAAATTATCACTGATGTCAGATGTAGTATTAGTGGTATTATTAGAAGTAACATGTAAATTAGACAAACTAGAATGACGAGACACAGCATGTAACATTGATAGTGAAGGTGATGGCTTTAAAGGATATGGTGAGTAAGCTTTAGTTAAACGTGCTACTGACATATTGGAGCTTCCAGATACTGTAGAATCATCAACAGTATCAAGTGTTGTTGGCGTTGCTGTTGCATCGAATGATTCATTTGCACTTGATGAATTATACAATGATTTGGTATCTGGAATGTGAAAAGTTAAAATAGGATGATAAGTGAGCAAATTATCAATATAAAAACTGAACAATGTTTATATCTTTATTGGTAAGATCTTCAGAGTGATTTTGGAAAAACTTTTGAAATTCATTAAAAGTGATGAACCTGATTAAGTTAGACCATTATTGTAAACATGTAAGCACCGGACTTTTATTCCGTCTTAATATACGATTCGTAAGCAATGCAGATCCACAGTCCCTCTGTTAGAAGTAGAACTCAAGACTTTCGATATCGCGCGCGAATGTTTAACCTGAAGACCACTGACCCGACAGCCAGTGGTGTCAATATCCAATCTAAGTGAATCCACGACAATGCCTGCTCAGTGGTTAAACGTCCGCGCGCTAGACCGATGGTCTTGAGTTCCATTCCCGTCCACAGGATCGTGGATGCATACTGTTGTATAAATCCCAAATAAGGACGAAATGGGCACCCAGAGTTTCTAGGTTCTCTAGGGTTGTCTAACTTAGATCGATTCGTGATTTTTAGTGAAGTTATTATTAACGGTTTGAGCTATTCAGTTTTGTTTTTGTTTAGCACTAAATTTTGATCAGTTTTTTCCAACATACATGCATCCTGAGCGGATTGCCTCGACATTTTTATATAGTTAAAAGCTTTGGCAAAATAAATCAAGTTGCAGTTAGATCTAGAGTGTAGTTTTTTCCTATTTAGGAATCGTCAGTTGTATGTACATAAGTCTCAGTGTTGATGTTTTTATATGGATAGGAAATCAATACTATTCATCTCAAAGGACAAAGCGTTATCTACTGAGACAGTTAGGTTCAGATAGCCACTAGTTGAAAGATACTCGTACTGTTTCCAGGTCCCAATGTGGACAGGAACACTAAAATGCGAATATATCCAGCTAACAAGTCGTGAATATAATGTTACAGGTCTAATGAATTATACTTCTAGTCACGATCTATCAACTCAATGAAATAATTTGTTTGAGAAATTTGTGTAGATTGATTACAGCTAATTCATGCAATAAATTCAAACGAACCTGAAAACCCCTGAAAAAAGAGAGGACTATACAGCCGTTATGTTCTAGTTTTAGACTGTATAGAAGTATGAACGTATGACCCCACAAGGGAAGAAACCCAAGGTTTTTAACTGTCGTGGAGATTAAATTACCAAAATAGGTGACAGCGAGTAGGTTTGAATACCATAAATAAAGGTTAAAAAATATGCACTACGTTAGATTCGTTGAGAACTGAAAATTAAATACAAATGTTAGGATTTGCTATCGTTACGAAATACTCTGCATCTAACCTTAGCATCGCATACTCAATGGTCCAATGCTAGACTATCTCATAATACAACTAATTTGATATACTCAAATTTTACGACGCCTCCACCAAAACTATCGATCTGAAGATAATGATAGGTTACAAAAAGAGAAACTTTTAAGAACTATGAAATTTAATGAGTCTTACGACTAATTATATATATGTATCCATAACAAGGTGAGTATACTCAGTAGCATTACGTCCTATTCTGATTTATGGCTGTGAAACATAATCTTTAAAAACATATCTGTGGGTCTCTAGTATTTGATCATAAATGTCTACGAAGCATTTCTTGAGTATTCCGGGATTACCAAGTGAGTAGTGTTGGCGTTAGGAATAGAATACTAGGTCAAGTTGTAAAATGGGTTGATGAGATTGTGAACCTCCATCTATCATGATTGGAATATACAGTGGAAAGGTACAACAACTTCATTGTTTGCTGGTGTAGGATCAAGCTATCAAGCCAGAGGCTATTAAATCAAGACATTTTTTTATTCATGAAGTCATTGAGTATTGGTACATGTAGACTTTCTGGTTAGAGTCCGCTTTACTATCGTAACCGAGATTGTTAGAGACATAGAATGACATACCTAAGATTCAGTCGCAATAGTGCAGATTCATTCACTCTATTTTAATAAAATAATAGTACTTTTTATTTCAAAAACTCATTCTTTCTTCTCGAATCGTATTATATTTACTATTCTGAGACTTGTCATTGATAATGTTATTTAGTCGTGTGACTACTGTGATCTGACAAATTAAGTCACTGAATATCTTTATCCCAGATTCAACATCATTTCTAATTGAACGGATGATAATTACAAAAGAATCTATAAAATAACAAAATGATTAACTTACTACACAATTTAGGTTTCACGTGCCACTTAAATAAATCATACAAATTATCTGATGGCCATTGACTAAACAACTGGAGTTCCGATTTTGCACTAATTAATAAAAGACCATCACGAAGCCATGCAGCTTGTTTGATAAAACCACGATGATTACCACTATGCAAGGTATTAGTTGAAGAAAATCGCCAACAAGATTGTTGTGTTGGCATTGATTTCTTTCTTTCAATTGGTGTAAGAGATGATAAGGATGATGATTGTGAAGAGTTGAAGTCAGCTGTGATTATACGAGTACAAGCGATAGGTTTCCAACCAACATATACTTCACCAATTGTAGTCATTAATGTTGGCTGATATGCATGCCCACTTCGTAGTTTATTACGACTTAATGAAAGATTTTGACAAACCGGTGCAAAAACAAATATTTCTGAATCAATAATGATTGATAATAAATGTCCGCCGTCTTCTGCATTAACCCAGTCCAATTGAATAGATGATAACTAATCATTGATTAAGAAGAGGAAGATTTTAAAATAAAAGAATTATACATAAAACCGTTGAATGTAAAGATCAGTGGCTTAGAGGGTAAATGTTCGTGCATGAGACCGAGAGTTCTGGGTTCGATTCCTGTGTGCAGAGTTGCCGATGTGCAATGACGCAAATGAGTCCCAAACTAGGATGACATGACTGTACAGTGTCCTGAAGTCTTCAGAAGTTAATTTATGGAATGAAGTTAACTTATTTCGTGTTTTCTTCTTTTCGGAATAATAAAGCTACCCTAAAAGTCACGACCTCTCTATTTTATATAGGTATGTAGAATAATATCGATGCATCGTTGGTGAATTTCAGTTGCCGTTCTATCGAGGACGCCACTGAATAACTTCGTATAAGAATAAGCTCAATCGGTCTTTAATTACCAAGTAATGTAGGCCTAAACCGAACTTAATCTCAAAATACAACAAATCTAAAGCAATCTTCATAGTTTTATTGAGCCCTATTACTGGGTACAAATTACAGAGTAAATACAATCAGTGCCTTTAATAAACAAAATATGACTCAGTCTTATTGGGAATCATGGACACTAAAAGATATCGGCAGATAAACCTTAGCTATGTTGATACGGAAATGGACAATGAGATGATCTACTGGTCCACCTGATCTTCTAGAGAAAGATATACGGAGTGTAGCCAGAACTCGCATTTAACACGGATATCGGAACACATTTCAGCAGGATTCTATAAGGTCGAGAGGAGAGCGGTTAGGAGTTTTACCTTTGAACATCAAGTCCAATCTAACCAATCAAATGACAGATAATGTTGTGTGCAAAATTGGCTCAGATCTATTCTTTGCATTATACTCCAGAATTAATTAGCGTTTATGAAATCGTGGTTTAGATAGCAACAAAATACTCAATGAATTTATTGTACATTTTGTAACTATTATCGTCCCAACTTAGATTGATTTCGTGAAAGGAACTAATGACATTTATCAAATACAAGTTTATGTATTCATTTTGTGAGCACTCAATCATGCTACTTGGCTTCGAGTTACACTTTAGGTCTTCACGTTAATGATACTATTCAGTTGTCTAAACCAAAGTATGTGGAGCGTAGTTTGAATCTGACTTAACAACTACTGAGTCACACAACACCAAAAATAACAACAAAATGACTTGTACTGACATAAATTCTTCGTTTACATTGAGTTAAACAATACAGTATTAGATACTCCGGAAAGACCCAAAAATGGTTATTTAGCAGTGGGAGCAACACTGCTGAAATTATACTTTCACACTATAAATCATAAAGTTTCTTCATCTTATAATCAAACAGAGTCAATAATCAGTAGCTGATATGATTTCCTTTGTCGAAACGAAACCACCATCGAAGACCTGGAGTCACTGGATGGTCTTTTCATCTTAGTATGAGACTACATAGAAGTGCGACTCCACAACCCTGCACTCAGGCATCGAACCTAGGATCTTTTGTCTTACGAGCGAATGCTCGACATCTAGATCATTGAGCCCACACCTAACGGTGTTATTGTCTAGCTTGAATTAACCCATAATATTGGGCGAACCTCAACCATTTCTTAGAGTAGATAACCGTTTCACACCCGATACGATTTGAACTCCACCGTTCACAACTTTTTAATAGAACCCCAGGAGTTACATACCGAAGCTAGTCACTAGTGAGTAAATGATTATTATATTACACAAATCGAATGACATTTGTGAGGTGCATATTTGTCTGGTGCTTCGTTGTACCAATATTTATGTGTTTAAATAAATATAACTAAATAAATGATTATTATTAGTAGTATGGACGATTTGTGAAGATTGTAGAATGTCTACATTTTAAGTTACAAACTGATCCCTAGTTCGATTTCTGGGTTCAGGATAATGAATATGCACTCCTGAGGAGTCGGTCATTGGGAAGGAACAGCCATTCAGTGATTTCAGGCACTCAATAGTGGTCTAACTAGGATTAGTTCATAATCTGGACTGTGAAAATCCTACAGTCTCTACAAATCCCTTTATTGGTGAAAAAATATCGATTATCGATTTTGTGAAAATAACTGTTTCACAGTGAAAATCTAAAAAATAAAACAATCATTGTATTAAATTCATTTAGTATTGTTTATTAGAATCTTCCCATTGATGTTTAGGACTGTACCTGGCCAGTCTTTTTTGGCATATGTGCATACTGTGAGTATTGCCTCGATATAGCCTTCATTCGCAAGCATTATAAGCAAAGATGGATAGTGGCTAGCAGTGGAATCTAGTTTGACGAGCGCCACTTTATCCTATTTGGGACATCCAGCTGACGAGTCCCAAATAGGACGAAACGCGCGTCCTGAATTCCAATGCTAGCCATTATCCATCTTTGCTTACAATCATTGTAATATATAATTCAAAGGTACACTTTCCAGATATACACATGGAATAAATTACCTTATCAATGTTGTTTTGAAAAAGACAAGATTCCGATGTTAATTCAATGGTATCTTCTAAAATCCACTCGCATCCACCTAAAAATATTAAATAAATAAATAACATTGAGAAGGAATTTTTTTATCAAGTTGTTCAATGAGCACTCATAGACAAAGTGGGATGATTATAGATTAGTCAAAATCGACATCGTTTATATTAACAGCGAGAAATTATGAAAAGAAGTACTTATCTTCTTCTTCGCTGTTCTATTCAATACAAAGAGATGTAATAAGTGTAGACGCTAAATCAATGTAAAAAGAAATAAAATAACAAGTTGTCTGTATTCTTATTTCCAAAGAGCTACAGCAGACATGAAAAAGACGAACAGCAACTGGAAAGGATTGTCCAGGACAGAGTTAGATGGAAAATGCTGGAGGGCGGTCTATGCTCCCCCACGAGGGGTAACAGAAGTAAGTACAGTATTATACAATGACTATTTAATAGATTATGTTGATCATGTTGCCTAGAAAGACAGTAAAAGCTTCACGATTAAACTATCATCCAGGTCAATGAACATAACACTTACAAAATCCTTAAACTGAACTATAAATATTTCCCGTCATTACAAAATCATATGCGTGTAACATGCAACTCACTGTTTGAAAACGGGAAAACTTCGTCAATAAAAAAGTTCCACGAAACAATAGGTAATACTTTCTCCAAGAATGCTCACATCATCTGCTGTCCCAACTGAAAAATGTTGGAGACGAATAATACAAGTAAGCATTAATAAATAAATACAATCCGGTGAAAGACAACCAGAAGAGATGGTAGTGAATATTTGTAGCTCAGGTGAATGATTTTGATAGAGTTTTGTTCTCTGAGTTAGATGGTTTGATCGTGTGGCTTTCATCGTTCTTCTGAACGATATCATCAGTACAAACTTCTACCCAAAGTTTCGGGTAGAAGAAGAAAATGCTCGGAGGAATAATTACACTAGATCATCTAACAATATTGACAACTGTGATCGAAAAACTAAGCAAGCATGATAGAAAACAGAAAAGTAACGAATTTGGTGGAAAGTTAACAAAAATTTCCAAAACCACGAAGAGAAGAAGAAACAAACACAATTATGTAGTGAACATATCAAAACAATCTCTGATCATAGAAAAGGATAACTTATTTAAAATAAATTGAATTATAATATAGATGCTTCAAAACTGATAAAAATCTTTCGATAATGTAATAAGAAGACGAAGATTACCAGAACTATGTGATGATATATTAGCGCAATAAAATTCGAACAATCTGATCACAAATAATATACTTGTTAAGAATATTTATCTATAAAAATAAAAGGTCAACGAGATTAAAAATGGGGGGGGGTAAGAGGAGACAAGGATAATGTGGAAACAATTTGAAACTTAATCACCCTGGATAATAAGCTAATATTACATAAGTAGGTTTAAGGTGAGGAAAAACTGTTTTTGAATACACAAGATGCATTTGAATTTTCGTATGGCTAACCTTAGTCTACGCCCCTTAACACTTTTATATAATCACTCAAAACATTCGGATCGAATGATATATGATGTGATTGAAATGAATTATCACGAGTGTTACAATAGTAGGTTTATTATTTATTCATTTAAACACATATATATTGGTAAAAGGAGCCACCAGATATATATGCGAGACATAAATCTCATTTGATTTGTGTGAGTGCTGTGATACTGACCTGGTGCCCAAACCGAAGGAAAAAGTTTTCTTAGGGGGCTTTTGACCTAAAGATCTAATACACAAGGCAGTGGAGAATCGTAAGATGAAGTCCCATGGTAGCCGGTCACCAACGATTGATTCATACGCCATTTGTTCCTTCAGGATACTGGAGGCAGCTCATGTGTACCTTTGGTTTGGAATCAGGGTTTTCCAACTCCCCTAGATCGACCCTCCGTGTCCACCAATCCAGTTAACGCTCCGAACATTCGCTTTTCGTCCTCTCAATTTAGTAAACAACACCCGTGATGCAAGAAGGCAGTGAGCAGAACTTCCCTGGTAGCAGTTATATACGCGTGGCCATGTGAGAGCATTTCGAGAGGGAGAGCGTACTCTCTATTCTCGGCCGTACCAGGGCATTTGGGGGCTATAGAGAGTTAATAATAAATATATTTTTTGTTAGATCCCGATGAGTAGAAATTCTGTATTTCTGACGTTTCATGACTGAATGTAAGCCACTACTTCATGGTAAATAAGTAATCAGAACTTGTGCTAGTTTATTTGTTATTTATCCACCCTGAAGAAGTGGCTTACATTAAGTCATGAAACGTCAGAAGCAAAACTTTTCCTACTCATTAGGATATAACAAAAAATATATTTATTATTAAAGCCGAATGAGTTCATACAAGTCACATGTTGTTATGAAAGTAGATCTGATCATATTGAATGTATCGATGGTACATATAAAATGAAAAATATAAGTGAGGATATTTGATAGATTTATTATAAGTGGACGTGTACGAGAACAGTTAACACTTTCAAAGATGTTCTACATGAAATTATTACTTACTTACGCTTGTTACCCCTCGTGGAGGAGCATAGGCCGCCCACCAGCAATCTCCATCCAACTCTATCCTGGGCAATCCTTTCAAGTTCTTTACAGTTTTTATTAGTTCTATATTTATTATTGAATTATCCAATGCTTAAATTATTATTCTTATAAGCTCCTTCATAATGAATAAACTGTAGTTATATGGTGTGCCTTTTTTTAAAGCTACTATTAATTTATTACGAACCTAATACATAGATCTCTTCCACTTATCGCGTATTTATGTCCGGATTGTCATTTCTTAATTTTATGTTCAGGATTTTACTCAATATTACTGTATGAATTTTACGTTATGATTGAATTGGGTACAGTAGAGAACTCATCTGTTTCCTATCTGCATCGTTGGATTTCCCACTGGGTTATCAGAAGCTCGACGACAAATAAACGTTAACATTTTGGTCATTATTTATTGGTTGATGTATCAATTAACAAACATAAGTTCACTAGTACTATTGAGAATACAGATGAACTGATCGATAATCAGATTAGAGAGAGGGAGTGAGAAATCATACAACTGCTTTCCTGTCATTACGGCCTGATCGCTCAGGACCCAATACAATCACTATTAGACGTTTGGCATTAAACCATGCTATATATTTCTATAATGAGTTTGGTCAATCGTTAAGAGATGTGTACGCTGATGTCGTCAATGAACTGGATCACAGACAACAATATTTATTTACAAATATTCAATTAGGAGTAATTGTTTACTACTTACCACTAGATTCACATTCATAAACAGTAACATAGATTGTTAAATCATTCTTATTACTTTGAATCCAATCTAGATTAGATTGACAATGTTTGCCCATATTATCATTATCATTATTACATAATTGTGATGAAGTATATGCCACAGCTAAACGTCCACTATATGCACAATCTATATCTAGAATAATGGGTTTATTCATCGTTGATTCGTCATTGACAAGATTCTCCTTATTATTATTATTATCATTATTATTATTATTATTGGTACACAACTGTAATTCAATACAACTAGACATTGATTGCATCAATGGCATTTGCCATTCTTCCCATGTGAATTGATTGTGGACTGAAAAACAGAAAAAAAGCAATGGCGATTGAAAAGAGAAAATAAAGAAACTATCGCGGATGCGCACTGCTAAGGAGTCTCACAATAGGACAAAACGGCCGTCCAGTGATTCCAGGTTTTCCATGGTGGTCTAGCTTCAATTGACTCATGATTTCAACTATATGTAAAAAAATTACTAAAACTCTTCACAGAAAACCCCAAAACACTACTATTGTTAAACGATACTGAAGATTCACAATAATTTCAAGGTAATTTTTATTACATGAACTAATGTAATAGAGAATTATTGAGGTAGGGGAATTGGAGATGGTCGGCTAGCTTTTGTGCCAGTTGGATCTTGATAGCAAAGTAAATCCACAGTCTTGATGGAATTACTTCCCACTATATGATTCAAACCTGGGTCGCTCAGTTTCACATTTATAGATGTTAATGTTGAGACAAGCCCAAAGCATATATATAATTTATTCATATTGAGTGATCACTAAGTGGAAGTGATTGGTATCTTGTTAGTTCAGTCATGACTAGCACTGATTGAGTTTTACTAATCAAATCTCAATGTAGTCATTGGTTTAAGTGATCGAATATCTTGTGAACAAAGTTTTAACATCAAATAGTTGGGGGTAGTAAACAGAAAGAACTCAGTGATTAATCAATTAGAAATATCTCAGCTCTGCAGGGAGTCAATTGTAAAGTGAATAGACTATAGATAACGTGTCAAACTGTCAAAATGAATGCTGTGAGCTTGAAAGCCACAGGAAATATCAACTCCTTCAAAACTGTAAGTGAACCTATCTTACTAACCAGTATCAACTAGAAAGAATCTTAGGTCCTGAATTTCCTGATGACCAACTCCAATTACCTAACACATATATAACGAAATTAATAGGGAAGATATTTTATTTAGAATAACAAAATATAAAGCTATTTACCTCCTTCCAAAGTGAAATTATTACTATTTGAATCAGATTCACATCGCCAAAATCGTAAACAACCATCTGAACATGCAGTAACAATTAAATAAGGCGGTGGTGCATTGAAAGTTGATAAAGCGGCCCAACTTACATGTGCTGCTGACACTTGAGCACAAACAATAGATACACCTGATGGTAAATGTAGTTTACAATCACATACCTAGATTATTTATTTAAATAAATGATAGAGGAATAGAAAGAGAGAACAAAAGAATACGATAAATATATATGATTTAAGATACATTGATATTTTCACTGATAAGAAATAGTTTCCTATGAAAGTAAGATAAACGACACTTCTTGATAGTAGCTCACTGCTTAATGATACGTCTTAGTCATAAATGAACAGATATTGGTCAGCAGTGGAATTAAGTAAGTGTGTTACATTCCTATCTGAGATTCGTTAGCTGGATATATCTGTATACCAGTATTGATGTTTGTCACATTGAAACGTAAATCTAGTACCAATCAATTCAAATGTTTCATGTATTATCCGTTGAACTATTGAGACCAGATAGACATTAACTTATTCAATGAATAAAAAGGTATTTTTAGTGAATAGGATAAAATGTTAATTTTGGATTCGACCAATGAGAACGTATTAAATATACTATGGCTTGTGATATATAACGCTATATTGAAATACTCCGCTTAGGATGCAAACTGCTAGACAGTCACACACAGAGTAGAACCTACCATATATGTAAACCGCCTCATATTGCCACATCCCAGAATAGTAGAAGTGGTAATAGAAAAGACTAGGAATAGAAGATACGATTAAAGAATATATACTGGTGGAATGTCGAAAAATTAATTCAGCAATTTTTAAACTTAGTGTTTAAGAAAAAACAAAGATTGATTGCATCTACACTACTGCGAATGATTGTTAGCCATGTCACTCTTAGTCTATAACCAATGGTTACGATGATTACGTGTACCCCAAACCAGGTAGTCTCCATATGATTAAATGGTTTAGTATAACTGTCGCTAACTTCCTGAACCGATGCTATTTCTTGGTCTGATCACTTATAGATTTCTTCCAACCTACTGTACTACGCTAGTCATCATTCCTTATACATATATACCAATAGAAACTGATCAAGCGCAGTATTGAGTATCAAAATAAGAGAAATTCCAACCACCAGAAAAAACAACGAAAAACAACAATCCAAAGTATAAAATAAGATAAAAGTGTTATCCTAATTAATAAGTTGATTACCTTAATTCCATCTGTTATTAAATTATTAAATATGGTCGTCAGATTATCATTGATTAGTTCCGACTTTCCAGTTGTACAATTTTTAATAGAAGAATTTCCATCTATCATCAAATTAGAAGAAGACAACTTAGTATTCGTTGAAACACAAACACGCCACATTTCCATACGACAAAAATCCGTCTAAAAAAGAGATGAAGAACAATCAGGAGAGAGAATATACAACAAAGATCTCAAAATTCATTCATTAAATAATTTTACCAAGTTGTCGTTATTTGCTTCAAAACATTCCTACGACGTAGATCCTAGTGATATCATATAACAACGTAAGACCTACATCTGTTCAAGTTGTCATACTATATACCAATACAGTGATGTCAAATTAATAGGATAAATGTCAGAGTAGTGAAAGCGTAGCGAATGAGAACATCAGTTAGGACAACCAAATGTGTTCTAATACAACATAACAGAATATCTTAGTAAAATCTGAGAACCATATAGTAAATACTTCATTCGCAAAATGTCAATCAATCTTCTCAAACTTCATTGTTCTTTCGTTTCCACACCAATCATTCTCTGTTTTAGTTCTATTTTCTTCGATTTTCTTAACTTTCTGCTGCCTTAAGTCCCTTAAGTCACCGGTTGTTAGACTGAGCGTTCTGCTACAAGGTGGTATCATTAGGCAAATCAGAGTCTGTCATAAAATAGAAAATGTATTCATTCACACCTTTTGTTCATTGGTTTCATTCATTTGTATATGGAGTATACTTATGCTTAACCTTACCACATTATCACTGATATTACAAATGCTTTCATGCTTTTAATTTTCATTGAATTGAATGCCTCTTTTTCGTCACATTGAAGTTAGTGGGGTAACTTTAACTGAAGCATTACTTCTATCCAATGTTATATGCTGAGTTGTGATCAATTGTATGATGAATTCGTTTTGTGTTGTTTGTTTGAATCGTCCCATCGATGCTTAGGAGTGCAATTGATCAGTCTCTTATTGGCATATGTTCATCCTGTGCAGATAGCCTCGCTATTGCCTTAAGTCACAAGCATTCTAAGCAAAGATGGATGGTGGCTAGCAGTGGAATCCAAATAGGACAAAACGCGCGTCCTAGATTCAACTGCTAGTCACGATTCATCTTTGCTTATAATTGTATGATGGTTTTATTAGGGTTCTGTATTAACTGTAAATATCAAACATTTAAGATTTTAATAATCATATCACTCTATAAACCTTGACATCTCAAGGAAAAAAGGTAAAAACTTGATGATAGAACTGAAGTTTTTTTTACTACAAGGTTATCTATTCAGGTAAAGAAACCAAAAAACTTTATTTGTAACCACAAACAATCTGTAAATTTCATAAATTTACAAATCATATGTTTCTACCTTATTTATTAAATCATCTACCAGGTAGAAATTAATTTATCTGGTTTAAAGCCATACTCTAAATATGGAGGTTAATGATACTGTGATGTGGGTTACTTATATCCACATAAGTAGTATATAATGATGGTTAGATATAGAATGTATTTCAGCAGAAGATCAATAAGTAAAGAATAGGAACAGAATGCAATCGGTATGAAAATGCATAAACGATGAAATCAGAGACGTTGGACTGATATTTGCACAAGGAACAATCAATATTGAGACAATTGATTGATAGTTTTCAAATTAACTGTTTACTATATGGTTGTCAGATTTTGGTGATATTCAGTAATTTTGTTCTCAAATACATTCGATTGTCCCCACTTGTCTTCTTGGTCACTACAATACTACTCGGTTACCAGAATCGACGTAGATGAGATGGAGGTTCCAACCTGAAATTTATTGGCTGGAAGTCGAACCTCTTAATTACTAAGCCACAGCTCCAGGGAAAACCTGGAAGCACCGGACAGCCGTTTCGTCCTATTGTGGGACTCCTCAGTAGTGCGCATCCACGACCTTACCCCGCGAAGTTCGAACCAAGGACGAGGTCATGGATGAGCACTGCTGAGGAGTCCCACAATAGGACGAAACGATCGTCCAGTGCTTCCAGGTTTTCCCTGGTGGTCTAGCTCCAATTGACTTACGCTTTCAACTATGAAAATACTAAATCTCCACAAAAACCCCTTCTGATAATATATATATGTATATATAACCTTCTGGAATTTCCTAAGGGCATTAATTGACTAAGTAAACGTTTTAGACTTATATGAATTTCTTTAAGGTTTATTATTGAGAACTTTAAAAAAAAAACTCGTGCCGATGTTTTTACATTATATTATATGGAAACAATAAAACACATACCTTATTACATGAAGTTGGAACAATCGAAGAGTTGACTGTTTCATCCAGTAAATTATAACGTGTCATACGAACAATCAAAAACGTTGATCGGGAATTCATATCTGATTTTGTAAAACTTTCCATCTGATCATTAGTATTAGTTGGTTTGCAACTCTCTGATTTGGACATAATTAATTCACTGGGAAATACATGTAATATTAAGGTTTCAGCATTGAAATTTTCCTAGAATAATAGTAATAATAATAATATTAACAGATTAGTTGAAGGGATTGTAAAGATTAGTTAAATATGTAAGTAGTATACATCACACATTAAAATCAATGAACGGACCACTAGGAACCAAGGAGTTGTTTTCTCCTAGAGTATAATGCCTTGGAAATGTGCACCTATGACATGGTTATATGCATGCTTATAGGTAGTTATTCTAGCAAGGTTATTAACTGTGCATTGCACTATGAAGTTCCATACTAGGACAAAATGGTTATCCATGATGAATACAAAATACAAATAGTAATATTACTGAACAAATAAAAACGTGGAATCCATTATTACTTAAGCCACAATCAGGTCAAATAAATATTATGTCTGTGAAGGTGATAGGGACAATTGTATCAGAAAAGTGAATTTATTATCATAGATACATGGTATCAACAGTATACAGTCCAGCCTCAAATCGAAACACTCTGATTGGTTCATTTTAACACAATTAGAGTTAGTGGACAAGTTTAGATGATAGAAAATCCAATGATTCATAAATTGACAATTATTCAATGATACTAGTGATGTATGTTGTTTAACATTATTAAATTCCACCGATATTAACTTAATACTACAAGTTTGGAAATTCTCTGCTTAGATTTCACGAAGGATCGTAGGTGTACAAAACTAAGGAGTCCCAATATAACAACAAAATAACTGTTTATTTCGCTGCGAAATCTTCAATGGCTCTGATAAACCAATTCATAATTTTTTTTAAAATAACTCTATGAACAACAAATATGAACGAAATCTTAGTGAAGAACATCTTAGAAAGTAACTATATATCTATTTATTTTTTTATTTGAACAAATAAACATTGGTACAAGGAGGCATCAAATACATAAGAGCCACACAAATGATTTGATTTGTGTAAGGGTTGGGATACTGATCGAGTACCCAAACCGAAGCCGAAGCAGGTAGTTTTCCTGGTGGGCCACACTCCGAGCCTTTGACCGAGAGATTTGGTTTACTAGGCAACGGAGAAACGGTGAGAGATGAGGTCCAATGGTAACCGGTGACGAACAATAGCTTCATACGTCATTTGTCCCTCAAGATCCCGGAGCCCATGTGCTCCATTGGTATAGGATCAGGTCTTTCAACTCCTGTAGGTGGATCTTCCGTGTCCACCAAATTCGTTAAAGCGGCGGACATTCGCATTTCGCCCCAAATGCTCTGGCACGACAGAGAGTGGAGAGAGTCACCTCTACCTCTCCAAATGCTCTCACATGGCCATCCGTATACAGTCACTGCCAGGGAAGTCCTTCTCGAGGTAGGAGTGTCGTCTAAATTAGAAAGTAACTCAGACAATAGTTCGAACTGAGCATTTTCATGACTGGCAAACAATTATTTAAAAATTATGGTAATATATATCATTACCCATTGAATCGGATGTCACAGCATCTGTACTTTGATTCACATAATTGGACAGTATTATAAGCTTGAAATCATGTGTATAAAAAAGTGTTCACTAAAAAGGCGTGTATCACAATTTGTTTAGTTACACAACAAACAAAATTCTTCTATTTTTGCGTAAACATCCTCTGACAAAATATCCACGAATCAGGGTAATCATCTATTCAAGATAACATCAACGTATATTATGTAAAACGTTGAAAATATATTAATCGTATTTCAGTAGTAAAGTTCCTATCTGTATAACATTCTATTTGACACATATTCCAATCACACGAATATCAGTTCCTTTATTATTTCAGAAACAAACTGCTAGCGAGTACCGAATAGCATAAAACCTAGGCCAGGCATAACTTACAGTTGAATAGCTCCAAATACCTAACACAAAATAATTACTAATGAAAACGAGTGTTCTCTCCCATAGTTCAATTCACTTATGATAAACACTTCCTATAGTATAGTAAACGTATTATTTAAAAGATAAAACTAAAATGAATAGAAAGATCTAATTACCAAAGCGAATCGTAATGTACAAAAATCCAAAGCATAAAAAATGACTTTCCGATCTATGAAAGGATATGTGACTTAAGGTTTCTGACTGTCTCAGTGGAATATAGATTGGAATAAAGCAATTTCCGTGAAGGATTGTGATAGAGCACGCCAACTGGCTATTGCTTAACGAGTCAGCTCTATCGGATATTTTGAGAAGACTCTAGAATCTTCTTACGTAAAAAGCTATATATATAAACAAACGTTTCTCTTATTGTGCTTCCATCTACCCTTGTTATTTGGAATATAATTTCGTTCCTGTTCAACCGTGTTTTGAATTGAGGACATATCGAGTGAAGTAGTGTTCAAGATTACTAAATGATAAAGAGTAGCCGGATGGTATCACGGGGATTTATAACAGACTGAGTTTTTCCAACAACGTTCCTTATTTATAATGTCACATCAATATTTTGACTCTAAAGTGGCAAGTGACCACAGACATATAATACATGTATTCTTGTCTAGTCAACCGACTGCCCCGACGTGCAATATTTTATGGTGTAGGAGTAGATTGGAAGAAAGCTAGGGGCGGACAGAATAAAACGTGGCACAAATCCATGAAGTCACTGACAAGTAGACTGAGCCATGCTGGTAGGTGTAGACTACCTGGTTGGGACTCGCGAGATGACAGCAATCGATGGTTAGAGACCTTGAATGAGATGGATCAAAATCGTTTACAATGGAGAAGGTGCATCCACTCTTTGAGTTCCGCCAAATTCTAATCTTCTGAATTCTTCATGTCTCTATCCTTTTTCTCTGTTCAAATTTATTTCACTAAATTATTCTCCTTAAATAACATCTTCAAACCCTAACATTTCACATAATGCTTATACTCTTACTACTTCTACCACTATGGGGATTTGAATCGACAACTGCATCTCTGTGCTAATGCGGTATGGTAACTCGAACTGATGTATGTACGTACGAAGTTCTAAGTTGTGATTTACTGACTGACTGTCAATAATTTAATATTTCGTGAAATATATAATGAACTATTTCCTTATCAACTAACAACAAATTCAATTCAAATCATTCCTAATTTACAATGGTAACTAGTTGTCAAGTAAATAAACAAAAAACAACTTACATAATTTTCAATTTGACTAGAATATGGTAATTTATAATTTAATTGAATAATACATCCTAATGTATCAGAATTCAATGAACTATGCAATAAATGATTTTGATGATCTTGTTTCAACTTCTCATCCAATACTGATGACTTATTATTAATTTGTTTAAATTTAGAAAATGTTAAAAATAGTCCAAGTTGATCATTGCTTTCTTTATTTGTATCATGATTATTATCATCATCATCGTGATTACCGTCTAAAGAGGCAACAAATAATGCAACAGGATATGATGTTGCAGTTGTTGTCACTTGACATGGAAACCATGCAATATATTTAAATGTTAAGGATGTATTCGATGATATATTGGAGAAGATTAAACGAGCCACTTCTGAAATGCCACCATGTGATGATATATTACCTGATGCTTTAATATCGGTTGTAGTGAATGGATTGTTATATAATTCCGAATCAGTATTATCATTGGTAGTATGTTGTGAACAACGAAATTGATAATTTGACAATAATGATGATGATGTGTAACCGGTGCTAAGTGGACCAACTGACGAAACATACCATAAAATTATTTCACTATAATTAGTAATTTTCCCATTGTCTTTGTGAATTGAATTATTTGGTGTTGTTATAGTGGATTCATTCATTGGTAACTTTTCTAATTTATGCTCATAATGCGATGTACTCAAAGCGAGAGGTAATATTGGATGTGGTACAATAACGTTTGTATGAAATCGATGTCCACTTAAACGTGCACAATTAGATACACCGACAATCCATTGGTAACTAATAAGATAGATTTAAAAAAAAAAATAGATTACGTAATTCTTATTGCTAAAACGAAACGTGTTGGGTGATTGAAAAAAAAATATTTCAGAGATGAAAAAAGTACTTTCGCGCAACACTACTTCGTAAAGCTATTCAGTGGCATTTGCAAGCGAAATATTCGTGGACTACTAAGTAACTAACGTGAGCGGTAACTCGGGTGTTGAAGATCAGCCTAATCAACCACTATACTTATATCCACAAATGATTACGATTGCTACAAAGAATCATTGTATAATTACTGTTGGTTCAAAAAGAAAGAAAGAGTCTGCCGAAAAAAAAACAAATGAAAGAAAGAATGGTGTGATGATTCTGCGTAAGTAATGCAAAAACAGCTATTGAACTCCGATAGTCTTGTCGTGTTTCGATCGAACAGTCTTCTCCAGAAAGGCCTACTAGGCTTCACCATGTTCCTAATTTAAAATGTATCCATATTTCGAAGTTAATTTACATCTTGGAATTTTCATATATTATTGTTATATCCTGAAGAGAATTATGAGTAGTACCATTTTAAGAACTATTTATGGACCAATACTGTGTATATTTCCTATTGTATAATTGTTAACTAACTAAACTATTCGTATTCTTGTTCCTCTCATTATAAGTTTTATTTTGACCTATGAACTATTATTATACGATCGACCATTCTTGAGTTATGCCCTGTCTATCAATTACTATTTTACGGTACGATGCGGTCCGTCTGTTTGGTATATAAAGCCAGTATGTTTGAAATATATGTTTCATATCGCAGAGGCTGTTAACGATATTCTGGACTTTATAGACTGGGCTAGGCAGAAATCAGGACCAATAAGGACACTAGACTGCTAGTAAGGGTTTCGTGTGTCACTGGTTCGATCACTAAATCGCTGCTCTCTAATTAGAGGTATTATTACGTTCCACATTAACAGGGTATGCAGGCCACGAGAAATAACAATTCTATCCTGTAAGATGACTCTACATGTAATATTTCATTATACTACTTAAATGTGATCAAGTAGTGTTATTGCACTGTGTTATTTTCTACTTGATATTTGACGTTTGACAATGAAGGCTGATATATTTTGACATGAGAATATCGTATACACTAAGATACATCAGATTGAACATAAATTATATGATGTACGAATACTAGAGACAAGCTCCATATATAAGTCGGAATAATTGTTTCAATGCTAAGTGCTTTCTAATGATTCAATATTGGCTCTGAAAGAAAACTAGGTTATGTATATAAATATTATGGTACATCATACAAAAATATTTTCCCTAAAGTTATGCATCTCGGTAAACACAGAACAGCCTTTAATAACTAGTGCATACCAATAATGCACATAACCAATAAAATGTTATGAGATGACTTCATAGACATCAATCACTAATTCATGACTTCTGATATATCAATGTAGATATATTTCGCCCCCCCCCAACATATTTGAGCCTGAGTCAGTGAATCAGTTACAACCGAAATAGATTATTCTTAGTATTTCTAACTGTGACTACGATGAACTGTTACCTATCAATGTTGATATGGTTTAACAAAATGATGTTTTTTTGTCTAGTGATCAATGTTACGAAAAGAATGAAAGATAATGATCAATATGTTATTTATTATAGTTTGCATTTCTCCCTTGTTGACATCTAGGATTGGAATTGGTCAATCATGAATGATTATCAGGAATCATTAACTCAGTATTTGCAGTGAAAAACACATGATTGACACATCAGTGTAAACAACAAATGCTAAGAATTCAGGTTTACAATTGATTGATCACTGGGTGGTGATCAATGTCATGCGTGTCAAGTCCTTCTTAGTGCTGATCGAATGCTATCGATCAAGTTGCAATACGGCCACTAGTCTAGGTGGCTCGACACTGCGTGCACTATGTCGAGATAAGATGGTGGTTGGAGGTGGTCAACAGGAAACCCTGAACCCGGGTTTCGTGCTACATGGTACTCGTCAGCAAGGTATACCTGTAATCTTGAGGGAAGTGGTGCTTCCTGATGGATTAGATCACGTGTCACTCAGCTTCACAGTCAGAGACGTTACCATTGAGCTACTCGGGCCGCGACCGATTTCCTGTAGGACTGAATTCAAGTTACACAAAACCGACAAGTTTTATGTCATGAAAAATGTACCTACAGAATTCCATGTCTATTAGAAAAAAAAATTTTAATATGCTGAAAAAATAATGATAATGACAATTCTCTATCGATAACTTAGTTATACTTACTGACTACTCTCTGAAACATCGATACGCCAATAACGTAATGAACCATTAGTATGCATAGTGATCATTGCTACATGTGAGGAATTCTGAGTTCGTGCTTGAAGAGTTGTTGAATTCAAATGAATCTGATGAAAATAAAATAAATAAATAAATACAAGGAATTAAACCAACGATGAATGAACAACTAATTTTTCAAAAAAAATAATTTAAAGAAGTATCATTTATTCGAGACGAAAATGAAAAAGAAAATTCGATTAAAAAATGGAAAAAAAAACTGCAAAATCATGCATGGAGAACAACTCACTGACTCGTTCGAAGTAAAGACCGGTGTCAGGCAAAGTTGTTTACTCTCACCCTTTCTCTTTCTCCTGGTGATCGACTAGACTATGAAGGTGTCAACATCTGAGGGCAAGGAAGGGATACAGTTGAAAGCTAGGATGCAGCTGGATGATCTAAACTTCGCAAATAATCTGGCCCTTCTATTGCACACGCAATAACAAATGCAGGAGAAGACGACCAGCGTAGGGGCAGCCTCAGCAGCAGTAGGTCTCAATATAGACAAAGGGTAAAGTGAAATTCTCTGATACAATACAGCATGCACCAATCAAATTACACTTGACGTAGAAGCTTTGGAGTATGTGAAAACTTTACATATCTGGGCAGCATCATCGATGAACACGATGGATCTGATTCAGATGTGAAGGTGCGGATCGGCAAAGCGAGAGCAGCATATTTACAACTGAAGAACATCTGGAACTCAGAACAATTTTCAATCAACACCAAAATCAGAGTTCTCAATACAAATGTGAAGACAGTTCTAATGTATGAGGCGGAAACTCAGAAAACTACGAAGATACTACGAAGATACATGTGTTTATTAATAGTTGTCTACGAAAAATAGTTCAGATCCGTTAGCCAGACACTATCAGCAACAACCTACTGTGCGAGAGAAAAAACCAGATTCCATACAGCGGAGGAAGAAATCAGAAAGAAGCGCTGAAAATGGATAGGACACACATTGAGGAAGTCACCCAACTGTGTCACAAGGCAAGCCCTCACATGGAATTCTGAAGGCTAGGAGAGAAGAGGAAGACCAAAGAACACAGTACGCCGAGAAATAGAGACAGACATGAGAAGACTGAACAACAACTGGATAGAACTAGAAAGAAAGGCCCAGGACAGAGTGGGTTGGAAAATACTGGTCGGCAGTCTATGCTCCTCCACGAAGGGTAACAGGCGTAAGTAAGTAAGTAGGAAAAAAGAATGAAAAAGTAGACAGAGATGATTGCAAATGTTGACGAGTTGCTTGTAGTGAACTTATTAAAAATACAGTAAAACCTAACAAAATCTAGTTATTAAAACATTCGAAATCGATAAACATGAGAACAGTAAAGAAAAATAGTACACAAAGAAACTATGATATATGAATTGCTCAGCGTAACTTCTCGAGATTTAATATCAAAGAGAGAATTGAACAAGCAATCAACTGTAGAGATATTTAGACGAGGTCTCATATATTCCCAATGTTTACTCTATTCTGCCCAAGTATTTTTCTCTCTTAAAGTTCGCCCAGTGACTCGAGCACATACGTATTCCGGAATATGATTACAGAGCATTCTTATACTTTAACTTGAATGATAATCCTAACTCCTGAACCTAAAATCTGACTATAACTGTGAACTCTATTTCTAAAATCTAAAACCTAATTCCTTTTGTTAAAAAGTTTTTTATTGTAAAAAAAATTATTCATCTATATCATTTGCATTCTATGAATATTTATGAATCAGTTTTATGTCGTTTAAGTTATTTAAGGATCACCAATGGTAGTCAGTAAAGTATTATTTCACTTGTATTTATTTTAAATTAAAGTAAATAGACCGACTAACTGTAAATAAATTAATAGGTCTTACTACTAAATATTAAGAATCTATAACCTCATTGATATTAATTATTATTTATTTAAACACATAAATATTGGGACAAGGAAGCACCAGATATATATGTGCCACACAAATATCATTCGATTTGTGTGAGGGATGTGATCTTGCTCAAACTGAAGCAGGTGGTTTTCTTAGGGGGCCACACCCAGAGCCTTTGACCTAAAGATCTGATCCACAAGGTAGTGGAGCATCGTAAGGAGATGCAGTCTCATGGTAGCCGGTGACCAACAATTGATTCATACGCCATTTGTTCCATCAGGATACTGGTGCTCATGTGCACCATTGGTTTGTAATGAAAGTTTTCCAACTCCCCTAGGTGAACTTTGCGTGTCCACCAATCCGGTTAAATCGCCGGACATTCGCTTTTCGCCCTCTCAATTTCGTAAACAACACCCCCGCCACGAGAAGGCAGTGAGTAGGACTTCCCTGGTAGAGTCTGTATACACGTGTCCATGTGAGTTCCTTTGGAGTGGGAGAGCGGACTTTGCCCACTCTCGGTCATACCAAGACATTTGAGAGCAGTTATACATACACACTGACAAGATGCAACATACACAATAATTGTTACATAATAGTAAATCAAACAAAAAAATGAAAATGAACTTACTTGTGTTAAAGAAGATAAAATTGGTTTCAATATTATCTCTTTGAATTGTTTCAAATTATTTTTCTGATTACTATTATTAGAAAGTTTTGACCATTGTAATAAATACTGTCTTATTGAATATTGTAATAAGAATAAATGACAAAATATATTTAAATTATCTTGATAATTAATTGTCATTAAATGCTTATCAGTAGTTTCAGTAGTATCGGACAACATAGATGAATTTTGTTGATCAGTATGTAAATAATAATTGATTGAGTGTTTAGAGTGATCTGTTGTTAAATAAGTGAATAGTCTTGATGATAAAGAATTAGCTGCATCTAATGGAATAACTTGATGTAAACGTGATCTTATACTACATGTAACTTGTGTTAAACGATTATTTATATTTGGTATTAGTGTAAATGAAGATTCATAGCCAAATTTATTATCATGATTAAATGATGATTCATATGGAATGATTACTTTATGTGTTCGTATACCTTTCGGATTAGGAATAGATAAATCCAAACCATGTATATACCTAAATTGAATTTTTTTTTTTGAGAGAAAAGATTTTTAGTAATGTTAATCAATCATAATCAGTGTAGAACATGACATAAATGAGAATTGATTCAATTTCATCAGTTAAGATGGCTGAGACACGTGCTACGTATGCCCAACCACCGACTGCCCCGATGTGCAATATTTTATGGTGTAGGTGTAGACCGAAAGCAAGCTAGGGGAGGACAGACCAAAACGTGGCACAAAACCATCAAGTTGATGACAATTGGACTGAGCCATGTTGCTAGGTATAGACTACCTGGTTGGGATTCGCAAGATGATAGCAATCGATGGTTAGAGACCTTGAATGACATGAATCAAAATCGTTTGCAATGGCGAAGGTGCATCTACTCTTTGTGTTCTACAAAATTCTAATCTTCTGAATTTTTCATGTCCCTATCTTTTTTCTCTTTCCAAATTTATTTCATTGGATTATACTCATTCAATAACATCTTCAAACCCTAATCTTTCGGATTACTGCTTAGATTCTTACTACTTCTATCACTATGGGATTTGAATCGACAACTGGATTTTTGTGCTAATGTCGTATGGCAACTCGAACTGATGCACGTACGTACGAAGTTCTACGTTGTGACTGACTGACTGGTTGGTTCATGATATCACTGTATATTAGTTCACTAAAATGAAGTTATCGAAATGAATAGTAAACTAGACAATGATGACAGTCATAGCATGAATACATGTAGAAAGTGTATGTATGAAATGACACTGAACGCTATGATTAACAAGAATATAAAGAACTTCGATCAACGCTGAACCAAGTCATCTGACATATACTACCACTGATCAAGGTTATAAAATGAACTTCTCATGCTACTTCTTAGTCTAGGCGTAATGAAAGAAGGGTGCTGTTATTAACCAGTGTAGATGCAACAATACACATATCTTGTTGTGACGTAGACACAGCCTTACATCATTTAGTGAATTATTCTACTGTCAACAGGATATAACAGTGATCCGTCTTCGATTTATGAAGTAGCCCAATAATAACGACGCCGATCATTCAGTCCTCATTAATACTAATGGGGCAGTGTTTGACGAGATAATTTGATACTCCTTCAAAAGGTACAATCATTTTTAAAACTCTACTATCTCACGGTCAATCCTTAGTCACTAAAATAACATTACACATAATAAATTTTCTGAAATGAATGTGCTTCTAGTAATGAAGTTATATTCAGTTAAAATAACACGTAACTGTCAAATGAACAATATTTAAAATCTATTAAAGAATGCTATGAAATTAATTTAAACTGGACAAATTACGAATGTAAGCAACAATATATAATCAAAGACGAGAAGATTTGAGACATCAAGACACCAGTCTTGAGTGCTGTTAGAAGTATAAAGACAGTTATCAAGACATACAAAATAATCATCTAAAAGCCAGTTAATAGTATGATAATTTTAGTCAGAGTTGGATAATGGTTAGCAGTTGAATCGAGAATGAGATGGGATTCATCAACCCAATGTACAAACACTACAATGTTGATGTTCAACCTGGAAATCGAACCCAGTGCTAGCCACCGTCAAATCTGGTTAAAAATGCTTGTGATTGACGGCAATGACAAGGCATTTAGTTTAAGATGTGGATGCGACGTAAACAGAGAATGATTAATTATGGTCATTAACGCTCACAACAAGAAGATCCAAACCCTTAAAACTGGAGTATGTTATTTCTTCTCACAAAAAAAAGGGGAAAATTAAAAGCGACTCACTTACCAAACAATAAGGCTTCCGTCAAGAGGATGTATTGCGAATACAACATCCGGGGCATGTTGTAATTCACTTAATAATCGAAAAACAGTCTGATCCATCAAAGCTATTTGATCTAACAATTCTGGAGTCATGAAATTATTACTACTGTTACTATTATTGGATGTATTATCGAGTACTGAAATGCATAATAGATTTGCAAAAAGAACACAGTTAAAATTAATAAGTAAAAGAATCGATTTCATTTTGTCTGGCCCTCAAATACCTCCTAGTCGCAACCTAATTAACTAGGATTCTTCTACATTTGAGCCACTTTGAGATAGTGGAGAAGATCTGTAGCTCAGGTGGATGATTTTGATGGAGTTTTGTTCTCTGAACTGGATGATTTGGTCGTGTGTACCATTTTTCTTCCACTTTGCTCAGATATTCCCCATCCCACTGGGCAGTTGGATTGGCGGTCTGTATCTTACGATAAAACCATCCAGCTTAGCAAACGAAACTCCATCAAAATACTGCCACCCTGTCTAAATCATAGTTCGAAATTGTTCAAAAGTGGATAAAAGTTAAGAAATGCTTTGAACACTGTAATATTTCGAATCTATCAACAGCAAGTTTAAAGGCGTTCAAATTATTTCACCTGTAAGGCAGTTTTTCGTCATATATATTCCACTTCTGATTGATGTTATATGGTACTTATGTCGACACAAGTAGCATACACCACACTTGTCCCCTCTCTAAACAATCGCTCTTGAGGTGGTTCTGCTCGCCGTAACACTTTCTATTTTGCCTCAGTCTGTGCCAAGCTCCCCGTTAAGATGTCGAGTCCGTCGGCGAGCTGTCCTCCGCGGCAATGTTGACAAACCAAGACATCTAAATCCAACGTCAGCCTAACACTCAGGACGCTCAGTGCTTGTGCTCCAGCGACCTGCCGAACCATCTATATTCGATTTTCGCCCAGCAGCCGCACGCTTCACTACCCTTCTCCGTCGGCGGCAACCGCTGCGCTGTCAGAACCCTCCACTCAACGTCACCTCCTCGCGCCAGACCTCCCCAACTTACTGCCTCCTCCCCTGGCCCCGCAACGGCGTTTGCAGAACTTCATCCTATCTGCCACCTGGTTGTAATGAACGAGAACATTATTTTATTTATTTGGAATCAGGGTTTTCCAACTCCCCTAGATGGACTCGCCTTGTCCACCAACCCGGTTAAAGCGCCGGACATTCGCTTTTCGTCCTCTCAATTTCGTAAACAACAGTAATGCCACGAGAAGGCAGTGAGTAGTATTTCCCTGGCAGAGGCTATATATTCGCGTGGCCATATGAGAGCATTTCGAGAGGGAGAGCAGACTCTCCCCACTCTCGGCTGCACCAGGACATTTGGGGGCAAAATACTCTCCCGGGCCGCCTGGGTGAAAGCCAGGAATCCTAACCGCTAGACACATAAACATATGTGCTAGACACCAAATGTAATGAACGAGAACACAAGTGGGTGACAACCGACTGCATTTTGATACAAAATTACAGAGTTCTTTCATCAAATATGGAAACGATACATTCAATACTTCAATAGATATACGTCAGATTGCTATTTTCGGTCATTTTTTGACTTTATAACACCAAATGAATATTATCTTCGTTATATGGTCAAACTCAATAGTTCTTTTCAGTAATGATAACAGTAGTATATCTTTTCTGATTCATTTCTCTATGACTTATGTTGTTTTTTGATTAGTTGTCATTAGCCTTAGATTGCTGATTTTTCCATGTCCCAAGGTCATGTTTTGTTGCTGTATATACAGAGTTTTCCCCCTTTAGTCTTTTTTTCTGCACTCCCATCTTCTTCTTCTTGAGTTCCATTATTTTGGGAATTATAGTTGATGCGTTACGTGTGTCAGTTACCAGATTATTATTCAGTTCGTATTAGTTCCTCTTCATGTTAAGCGAATATCTAGACCATTCTGTTAGAAATAATTGTAGGCTAAGATGAACCAACCTCACGACAAAACATAAATGTTCAACGCTTACTGGTTTTTCGTATATTTATAAGCTGATTTAAGGGTCATTATGAAGACAAACCTTGATATTCGTACTGGATTTTTTGGTGATTTAGTAGACATGTAAATTCTACCTACTTAATAACAAGTTTGGAAATGTATTCAACTTATCTAGGTTTTTACAAACAGACAAATAGGTGTTATAGTGAAAGTATATTTTACTGATGAATCAATCAAATTTAAGATAAAGGGTATTAGGTTTATATTTTATTAAGACCAACATAAGAACTAAGCAAAAACCTATCAATACTTATTGTAAGCAAATATGGATAGTGGCTACCAGTGGAATACAGGACGTGCGTTTCGTCCTATTTGGGACTCGTCAGCTGGATGTACCTGCATCTCAGAGTTGATGTTCACTCTGGGACTCGAACCCAGTACCTTTCGCTTCAAACGTCATCGCGTTATCCAGTCGGTTACTGAGTCCTGATAGCCATCCATCTTTGCTTACAATGCTTGTGAATTAAGGCTATATCGAGGCAAACAAATACCAAGTGAATCTATCAATACTTAGTTATTAAAATAGATAGATATGATAAAGTTGATTGATAGTAAACACTAATGATGATTTTTTCAAAGTAACCTAAAGGTTTTCATTGCTCAAAAAACTAGTTTGACAAGTAATCTTTCATGCAATCACAATGCATTCTCCCATTTATTTGATAAGCATTACTATTAATACTAAAACTAGCTTCTAATCTTAACCCTCAAAACTAAACACTTTTAATTTACAATCAAAACTTCTGACCCTAGACTCATAATTTCACTCTCAACCCTAAAGTTTATTCGAGTCATTATGTGATAAATTATACATTTACAGCACTTCCATTGTAATTGACTACCACCTCAAGGTCATTCTATATAAAATACACTTCATCAATAACATTAACCCAAAAACACAGTAAGCATAGCTTAAATCAATCGGTTACACAGAACCTGTTAACTTGAATATATTGAGTTACATTTTACAATATTGATGATAGAAAACAAAAGTGAATATTTGAAAGCGTGAGTCAATTGAAGCTAGACCACCATGGAAAACCTGGAAGTGCTCACGTTTTCAACTATGAAAATACTAAATCTCCACAAAAGCCCTTCTGAAAAGTGAATATGAATGGACATACCAATATGAATTGGGATAGCTAAAATTCGCGATATTGTATCCTTCAAAAACGATTCCAATTGTGTATTCAAACGATATTCTTTATTATTGAACCAATGAACAACAAGTCGACCAATTTGTGAACTATCATAAAATTATAGAGTATAAAAAAATGAAATTAATTTGACTAAACAATAATAATACTGAAATAATATTTGTATCAGCTGACGAGTCCCAAATAGGACGAAACGCGCGTCCTGGATTCCACTGCTAGCCACTATCCATCTCTGCTTACCATGCTTGTGAATTAAGGTATATCGAGGCAATACGCACAGTATGCACATATGCCAATTAGAGACTGACCAGTTGCAGTCCTAAACACATCGATGGGAAGATCCAAACAAACAATACTAAATGAATTTAATATTTGTATCAGTTGTTGATAAACAAATATATGTTGTATTCAGTATAAGCTATAATGCCATGTAGAGCTGAAAGTCTTATGTGAGACTGGAGGTTCGCCATTGGCATTGTGGATGACTCAGCAATAATTTAGCAAGTTTTACTGACTGTTCATGCTCAAAATTAGTTTGCTGGTTAACCGATTTCATTCATACTGGTGGTTGCTTTTCAATATTCTCAAGGGTCATTGTCATTGGAACATTGCAAGGCATGTCGCCATTGTGAACATTATTGAGTTTGACTATCATGTAAATAGAATAGGTCAACTTTGGCCTGTTCATGATGTGCATAATTGATTTACGCGATCGTTAATCGGAATAATTATACATGTGATGTGAATGTATGTATGAATGATGCGAATGGTCCACCAGGGTGCTTGATATCTGTGTGGTTGCGCCACAGGATTGAGCTGTACTATTTAGAATGTAGCGTTGAAGCCTGTATGGTGTTCGGTCCTCATGTGAGGCGGGATTGAGCTGTACCGCTCGGGTTAAGCCTGGGTGGTGTCTGGCTCTCCTACGAAACGGGATTGAGCTGTACTATCTGGGTTGTCACGTGAAAGTCTGGCTGGTGTCTGGTTCTCCTGAAAACCAATACAAAATTACCCTGCCCTACAATGGTATATTATACAAATGTATAATAACTGTTGATAAACAAGAAAAAACGAATGAAATCAAGACTCCAGAGCTAACTTCTAAGGAAAAGAATGTTTAAATTGCCCACCGACTTGAGAAGCCATTTTAACCACTGGCTGTTTTATTTTTAGACATTTGACAATTTTCTTTTCACTCCACTAAAGAGATCATGGGATCACTGTATTTTGGAGACCAACGGTTCACACATCCAGCTTCAGTCAATTCGCAAAATATTGTAACCATCATCTCTTCTATATTTAAAGTGAAGAAACTGAGCACAATAAAGCTGGGGGAAAAGAACTGTTGCCACAAGTTTTACACTATTATTGGCCTTCAACTCTTGTTTCTTCAATCATTTGTATCCAAAGAAAAAAACAATTGGGCGGATGTTTTTTCACCAGCGATTAATGTTAACTTATGTAAGATACAGACATATGAATCTGACTGGTTAATATTTACTACTTATATGAATCTAAAGCCATAATTATGTGATTGATTTCCATAATGAACATAAAGGTTATTTGCTTCGTTGAATTTAATCCGATTAACTTTTGGATATTGTTCAATTAAAGTAGTAAATTAGGGTTAGTTATGCCGTAATTTACGGACAATCTTTAAGCAGTGTTGAAGTATCCTTGAGAAACCCCTACCACTTATTTGGTTCGAGATAAAGTTTGATTCAGTGCGGAGATTTAGTATTAGAAATGCGTTTTTTGGGGGGATTAAAACTAGGGTTCTCCTTACGTAATGAGATCAACAATAATGCTAGGACTATTTAGCCATATGGATGAATATATATAAAAATAATGATTCAGGACTTACTCATTTGGAGAAGAGAAATTACATATTTCCGGGAAAGAATCCAATGGTAAAGATGTGGTAAACACAAATTGTGGAAATGTATTTTGTGCATAATTGAACTTTTTATCATCTATTTTTATTGTAGACGATGGTAATTGTGATCCATAATCCACTTCAATATTTGACAAAGGATCAGTCAACCTTGATTATATCATGTTTTGTTAATGTACATATACATAACATTAGAAAAATAAGGCAGAAATCATATTGCGTAAATCTGAAACATTTATGCGTAAAAGTTACGTTTTAATTCCTCAGACCGATATAATCTACAGTCAATTATTACGAATTCAGACCAAGTCTAGTTAATTAGTTGGTTAGTTTTGAAGATTAACTGATTTGTGCAATTGAGTTTGTCATAGATTAATTTTGGCTGGTTGATTACAGAAAAACACAGGCCACTATTGTTTCGTGCTGGTTATGAGGCCTGTAACTTTTGACCTAGTTGCTGAACGAAGTCGTGCGTGTACACTGTAATGATGTGGAATTATAAACTTGGACGAAACACTTATCCAGCGCTCTATAGTTCTCTGAGAACAATCCGGGACAAAACTCATCCTAAAATTGAGATGAGTACTTTATATTACATATTCTGCTGACTTTATTATCTAAACTATGAGGAACCCAATTCAACTTGAAATGATACTGGGTTCAAGTCCTAGAGTAAACATCAAATCTAGGATGTAATTACATCCAGCTGGCAAGTTGCAAATAGGATGAAACGCGTATCTTGAGTTCCATTGCTATCCATATTCCATTTATTATATGTAAGGAACATAATTAAAATTTGAGGGCACAAACACAAGTTGAACTAACAAATCGGATCTCCTTCCGACAACATAATAAAATTTCCAAATCAGTAAACAATAAAACCTCGAATATACACGTTCTTAATTAAATTAATTAATAATTAATGAGAGATTTGTGGAGATTGCTAAACTTTATAGTTCACATCACAAAATGATTCTACTTAGATAATCACTGAAAACCAAGAATTACTGGACAATGTTTTGTGTTCTCAGTAGAGCATATTCACAAACCCACCTGAAATTGAGGCTGAGACACACGTCCTCTGATATTCTTGATTTTCAAAGGCTGTCTAAGGTTAGTTCGTGATGAGAAATATAAAATAATCAACAAATTGAAAGGTTGTCTGAAATTACAATTTATTGGTCACTACGTAATGACCAATGTTATGTATGCGGCGTCATTTGTAGTGGCCTGGATAACTCTGGATATGGAACTATATCAAAACCTCCAGTGCACATCAGTTCCCTCAACATTACAGGTACATCATACTGATGAATGCTAAATAGCACGACACGTACGTTTAGAGTTTCCTGTAGAATAACCACCTTACGAAATCTATGTAGAGCTGTATATATAAATACTTATACTGACAATTTATTTACACTAACCATGTATCTGAAAAATAACTTACCATAAATCTAGAAAATGTTTTAAAAGTGGATGTGTTAAAAAACAATTAGGTACTTCTAAAGTGAGATATTGTGTTGATGATTCATGCAACTGATTGACTGGATCATTCGTCACATTCTTTTTGAATGGTATATCGGTCAGATGACCTAAAGGTAGGCGTACTTTCATTATAGTAGATGATATCTAGGAGAATATTGAACAACAAAATTTCTATGTCTAAACTGGAGGGTTACACAAATAACGAATATTAGCAAATTAGACTATCATTTATTGGAATTAAAATATTTGGCTTCATTTGAATAATAGGCTACTTAGGACAATGAAAAATATCCGATGATTAGTCTCAGAGGAATTCGAGAACGCTGACTAGTTTTATTTGAATGCTAGTGAATGAAACCAGAAGATATCGGAAATTTTCTTTGCAAATTCTTAAATAAACTATTACATGATGTCGCAGATCTGTGAATTTTATTCCGGCTCTCCTACGAATAAGATTTTATTGTGAATTCATTCTTGTTATCGACCACAATAATGTTAGGATGACCCTGAAATTTGCTCGCATGAATTTTTGTTAGATTGAAGTATATTATTTTCATAGTTGAAATCATGAGTTAATTGAAGCTAGACCACCATGGAAAACCTGGAAGCACTGTACGGTCGTTTTGTCCTATTAGGGACTCTTCAGCAGTGCGCATCAACGATCCCGCACTCGCGAGACTCGAACCCATAACCTACCAGCCTCGCGACAGAGCACTTAACCGATAGACCACTGAGCTAGAATCCAACGGTGTTAATGTCTAACTTCAGCCACTCCACGATGTTTGAGCAACCGTTCACCAATTGTCTTCAGTATATTAGATACTGAAAAGTGTGACATATACAAAACTCTGACAGTATTGTTTATTCATTGATGTTTGATTGATTAGCAATAGTTGGGTTGCAAAGACAATCTGTTAGACTCATCTTCATGTAACTACCATAAGATAACCTTTATTTTTTACACATACACATGACGCTATTCATTACCTACTTACAGAACAGTCCAAGTCTTTTAACGACCACTATTGGTTTACCATATCTGCTTTCTAGTGGTTAACATATATTGACTCAGTCTTCAGTGTTGTTATAGGTATGAGAGCGGTTTTCACTTCCCCGTTGCTAACACCATGAAAAGGTTCTTCTAGGAGTACCTGAAAAGGAAATCGGATTAGAGTTTATCTTAGTGACCTGGGAGTGTGACCGCAGTGCCCAACAGACAACTGTTTGACACAGGTCAGACACGACCTTCCCGTGAGTAATTTTCGTGTTAGCTCCGTACTTGGTGGAACCTCACTTCAAGAGATGGAAATCTGTGGGATAAAACGAGATGTTCATTTTCAGGGTCTACCTTTTCTAACCTCCTTCCTTTCTTGTTGGAAGGCAGCATCGCTGTTATGCTGGTTGTCTGAAAGAAACACCTTACTGCCGTCACACCCCTGTACAGTCAGAAGTACAAATTCATCCTCGGATATTAGATTTGCTACTTTTAGTCTTACCGCTTTTCAACCGACCTGTCTGGTATGGTAGGACCTTGAGAAACGATCGTCTCAGACAGTATAGCTCGACTGGTTCATCACGATAGGCAAGTCTAACCATCACGTCAAGATAGTAGCAACGGTCGGGATATATACTGACTGATTTCAATTAGAATACGATAAAATGTTCAGATAACATTGAACATTTGTTTTGTCTTAATTCGAACGAATATCACAAAGGTAACATCTTGTAGTGTGTTTACATTGTTAGTGAAGGATTTTTTTTCTATTTCCTGAATTCGTTAATCTTGATGTGAGGGCAGTCTACATGTGAAGTTGAGGAAGCTCTAAGAGGCCCAGAAGGAGCCGGACATATTCCATCCAATCAGCTTTCAGAAAATATTCTACAATCACTACGTGTAGCTTCCTTATTAGACAATGCTGATAACTTACTGTGTGCGGATTGGATAACTATAATGATGATTTCGTTTCTAATAAAAACTATAAACACCTGAAAGTTTTGTACCATAATCGACACTGTATGGAATAACATTCATTCTACTTGTCTTCTGTCTTCTGATTTGTGACTTGGGAGGGGGGTTCTAGTGTTCGAGTGCTCAAGTATTACGCGACAGACTAAGAATCTAAGTCCAAGACATAACACTTGTCATATGAAATCGTTCAACTTTTATGAAAAACTAGAAAATTTGTTTCAAATGAAAATACTGATAGAATTAGCTCTGCAATCATAATTGTCCGTAAGTATAAAAACTATTTGAATAAATAAATTGTAATCATCTGAGATAAACCTTATAGGTTTTACATAAAGTTTCGTTTAGCTAGTATTCACAGTTTTTTGATGCTTAGATAACAAATGACAGTGACTTATCCATCCAGGATGCTGTTGTATTTTCAGAAGTCAAACATTGATAACTTCATAACTTATGCATCTTTTTCTTTCTAGAAAATAACTATGAAGTTCTGAGGGATTGTCTGAGTTTACACAGTATATCACATTAGTTTTCATTTTCATAATTATTATAAAAGAGTACCTTTCAATACAGAGTACAGCTGGTTTGAAATAAGTGTATTTTGAGCAACGTAGTGTGATGTGTGTTACTTATACCACATAAGTAGTATATGGTGAGAGTCAGGCATAGAATGCACTTTGGCAGAAGATCGATAAGGAAAGAAATCGAATGAAGCGCAATCGGTATGAAAATGCATGAACAATGAAATCAGAGAACATGGACTGATACTTACAAAAGGAACAATCAAGATTGAGACAATTGATTGTTATTTTGCAAATTAACTGTTTACTGTATAGTTATCAGATTTTAGTGAGATATTGTAAGCAAAGATGGATAGTGGCTAGCAGTGGAATCCAGGACGCGCGTTTTGTTTAAAGCGAAAGGAAGTGTGTTCGAGTCCCTGAGTGAACATCAACTCTGAGAGGCAGGTACATCCAGCTGACGAGTCCCAAATAGAACGAAGTGTCGCGCGTCCTAAATTCCACTGCTAGCCACTATCCATCTTTGTTTACCATGTTTGTGAATTTAGGCTTTATCGAGGCAATACGCACAGTATGCACATATGCCAATTAGAGACTGACGAGTTTCAGTCCTAAACATTAATGGGAAGATTCAAACAAAACAAGTAATACTAAGTGAATTTTAGTGAGATACTTTGTAATTTGTGCTTAAATACATTCGATTGTCCTTACCCGTATTTTGTTCATTACATTAGTACCGGACAAATATGTGTATCGGTTTAACTTACCACATAATATTAGCATAAAGAAATGAAATTATCAAAACAAATGGTAGATTAGAGAAGTGATAGTAGAAAAGATTTAGCATATACAACATGATTTGAAAAGAAGTAATGAATGACTTCAAACTGTAACTATAAAAAAATTACATATAATGTATATATGTAGATAAAAACTACTTACTGGAATTTCTGGATCATTTCTAGGAATGGATTTAGACATTAAAGAATTGGTACTTTTGTACGCGTTTGACAAATTAGAATGATCTATTGAAGGATGAGAAACTTCAATCCATACACGACATAAATTATCTTCACACGCAGTTAATAATACATTTGCTATCCAACCACTGGAAAAAGAAAACAGAATTGTATACTTTGGGGATAGAACACATACTTACCTACTTACTTACTTACGCCTGTTACCCCTCGTTGAAGAGCATAGGCCGCTGATCTGCATTCTCCATAGAACACATAGTCTTCCGTCAAGTTTCTCAGTAGACAAAATAAACTTTCAAGTCAACAAACACTCAGAGTTGTAATTAATTTAGTTTTTTAAAAAAAAAAGTAAACTGGTCTGTATTACTAAAAAACTGAGTTTGACGACTTATTTGAAATTTTCAGTAAGTCAGTCAGATACAACGTAGGACCAGGCACATTTATGCATCAGTCCAAGTTGCCATACCTCGTTAGCACAACAAGATGAACAACGGATTCATAGAAGTAGTTAATTTACTGGTGTTAATATATAAAAGATAGGTTGTATATAAAGATATAGTACAGGAAGAAAGACAGATATGAAGCAATTTTAATTTCAAGGTTTAAGATAAGGCAAACAGTGCATACACCTGCGCCATTTGAAATTTTCAAAAAAACGAAATTAAATAAACGACAAAATAAGGTATATAACGTATGCGGAACATTTTTGGACGTATGTTTAGGGTGTTCAGAAGATATCTAACTGCGTCAGTTGCTTTTTTTCGGTAGAACTGTATCTTCAGCACTCTAGACTAGGTAACGGATAACTAGCTAAATGGGAGAAGTGTTTGAGCTAAATAAAGTTGACTATATATTGATACGTTTAAAATAAATTCGAAAACAAATCATATCAGTGAAGATTCTAAATAAATACCGTTTGTTGTCGTCACCTCATATAGTAATCATCTGTAAGCATTCACATAACTGTGACTTATAATAGAAATTTTTAAAATCTAGTATGCACACTATTATTCATTTCCTTTAAAATGAAACAATCTAACATAATTTTTAATTGATAAAATCCAATGCTACCTTCAGATCAACAAAATTGGCTAATGCATGGCAACGGTGAGTATATTTGTAATTGTAAGGACGGCTCGTTGGTAAACTCTAGGAAGCTTCAAGAAGCCCAGAAAGAGCCGGACATGTTCCATCCAATCACTGCTAGGGGAATATTCTAGAATGTCGACGTATAGCTTCCCTATTGGATGGATAAGAATGACCCCTATGTGCCTATTGGTTGTCCGAAACGATGATTTACTCTCAGTCAAAAACTATAAATACATGAGATTTCTGTACTATATTTTGACACTGTTTTGGGGAATAACATTCCTACTTACTAATCTTTGTTTTCTCTCTTGCAACGTTGCGGGTTCGATCGTTCAAGTAGTCTAGTAGTACGCGGAATAGTAAGAATCAAAGCTCTAGATATAACAGTAATCTGTAACCTAACATAAATTTAAGATCTGACTGATATAAGTTTATGCGCTCTTTTAATATCTGATTATCAAAACCGTGTTTTTGAGTCTCAGTTAGGTACTGAGTAGCTATTAGTGAAATGAATATAAAGTCGGTCACTGATTTCACTGCGGTTATCGTGAGGTTTCTGTTTTTTTCACAAACTTGAATAACTAATTGAGGTTAAGTTGGTGAGAATAATTCTGGTTTCAAGATTTAAACTAGTATCTCAGTTTAGCTATCTATTCCTTAATGACTTTAAAAAAACAGATCTTCAAGTAGTGGTTTTTTTACTTTGAAATAACGATCAAGTTGCAAGCATTGTTTAAACTATGATACAATCAGCTGAAACTAGCTTTCACTGATCGATTAAATTAGCTTACCTAGGGAGATATCTACTGGTATGGCGCCAGCTAAACGAACAAACGTTACAAGGATGGGGTAAGAAGATAGATTCCCAATTTTCAGTCATTCGAAACTGTTCATCAGAACTGTGTTTTGATGGAATCAAATCAGAGAAAGGATCATTGAACCACACATGCATCTCAGTATCAGATTTGTAATCATTGTGTTGACTTCTTTTATTATGATATTTAGTAATGGTGGCAAAGTATGAACCATCTGGACTGAAATCAATCTGCATCGGAGTGCCTGAATCAAAAGAAATTACATACACATGATTAATACAATACAATACATGATTAATACTGTAGTGCCGCGATTCGTTAACCGTTTACTTCGATAACCGTTATAATTCTAATCTTAACGGTGCGTAAAATCAGAAGACAAAGGATAGCAGCAACTACAGTTTATTGTCGAATAACTCAGGTTCGGAAGCTAACAACACCTGAGCGAATATGAACGAGCGAGTGAGCGGCAAGCGAGAGAGTGAGTGAACAGGCGAACAAGCGAAGGAAACGAACGAGGAGCAAGCGAGCGAATAGCAAGCAATCACATAGGTAACTTATAGTCAAATTTATTAAGGGCACAGCAAAGCAAAACAAAGGCTGATAATAATATTTGCGTGCGTACATATATGGGGAGGAGTATGAGTCATCAAATGATATTTAAGCAGTCAACATTTCGGCTAGTGTCATGTGCTCTAGTGGTATAGCAGTGCAAAGAATATGCAAATTGTTACTATCCTAATGACGATGTCTGTTAAGTAAGTTATAAAAAAGGGCTTAACCAAAATTGGCTATAATCGAAATTGATTGTAGGATGGTTGCTATAAGACTACACTTCTTTTGGTTAAATAGCAATACAAAGTCAATGAAAACTAAGAAGGACATAGTACGACAGTATCAGTTAAATCGTTTTCTTTGTGGAGAAGCAACAGCGCTACACCAACTATTTAGATGAAGGAAAATGAAATAAATCCAGTTGGTTGGGTCTCGTGTAACTGTTTCATGGATAAGGAGGATAAAACATTCTAACTATCAGTTCGAAAATATAAAAGAACAAATATTATTCGGATTCCCTAAATAATGGTGGGAAGTTAATTTATCAAAAAAAAAATCACTTCTGTTAATAACTGATGAATCAATATATTTAGTCCATTAAAAGATTGTTAATAACGGATTGAAGAAAGATGACGTTGATTAGAACAGCTACATTCCTATAGTTAAGTACGTTTGTCTGTGTGATGTTGCAAGTGATCTAATGAAATGTAGTCTCATTCATAGCAATTTAAGTCTTTCGGAGTAAAAATTACTTTATCTAATACATATTGCAAAATGATTATCGGCTAATTTGTAATTGTGATGTTGTTCAGCTTGATATTTAAGCGGATACAATTGTTATATTACAAATCAGTACAATAGGAATAAAATAATATGCACAAGGATGCAAACGAAGCTACATATATATCACAGAAGATTTACGATTATGAAAAACGACAAGTAGAATAATAGAAAAAGACGATACCGTTTAGTTGATGACACCATACAATTTTCCATTTACTCGGCACTTCTGTTGATAGAGATTTCTTAGTGACAGGATTAGAGTTAAAACTATATTCTGAACCTGACGAGCTAGCTCCGATATGAAAATGAAGGTGTGATTCAGTGACACTGTTTGTAACATCTGATCGCCACATAAATAAGCTTCCATCATTAAGGCCTGCTAATAAGCCACTATTTGGAAATTGAAAACAGGGTCTATGAGACCAGGAAAGACATAAAACTTCCGCTTTTGATGGTAATGATAAGTGATCGGAGAACAACCAAGATAGTTTTGATGAGTTTGTAAGCATATTTCCTGCCGTTCCCTATAGGGAAAGATTATAGCATGATACATAGAAACATTGTACAGTATACCAGCGAACTTTGACTAAACGTAGATATCAAAGAAAACTCACAGATGAACAAAAACATGCCGTAAAGTACTACGTAAATGCTAATTTATTCGATGAAATTCGACAACTGCAAAAATTAACATTCTTCAAACGAGTTATTTCTATGAGACACAAAAAGCTAGTGTCCATGATTCGTGTTGCAAGCTTGTGTGTAGGTGAGTCCCACTACGTACCTAAAGATTTTTAACAAATTACATTTATATCGGCTAGTAAATTTATTACTTTTCATACTCTTTCGGCACTGTATTCTTTCTCCTACCCTATATATGTACACATATTTAAAGGTATGCTGATTTCTATCTATTTGGTAATTTGTTATCTTACTAACTTGTTAATTTATCCAGTATGACACAGAAATTATTCAAGGCAATTGGTGCAAGAGTATATGAAAACTTTTTTAAACCGATAAATTACAGTGTGATCTTGCGTATAACGAATGACTTCATAAGAAATTTTTCAAGAAAAGTATCAACGTTATCAGTCTTACAACTTTAAAACCAATGAGCAAAAAAATTAATGATACTCTTAATTGTAAACTAGTTTTGTAAACGATAAACGAAAAGAGACTGGTACTGCTCCCGGAGCTTTACATCCTTGTAGATAAACGCAGAATTTTTCTGACGGTCAGGCCCACACTCGAAATAATAATAATAATATTTTTTAAAAACTAAATTGGCTGAATCGAACAGAACAATTTGCTAGCCTTTCCCATCTGCAAGTCATTAGAAAGACTAAATTTAACTTTAGGTTAAATGTAAACCAGAGGTACACAAACCAATTAATCTTCAGAGAATTTTGGCTCTAAAAGCAATCATAGTACATTAAAGCCTCAAAAAAAAGGTAGTACAAAAGCAAGTCACAGTTCGGAGTCAGTAAAGATTTGTAACATACGAGCAAACGAGGCATTTTGACCAACCAGTATGTACTGATATCTTTTTCTCTTGAAAACAATTTTAGATACAACTTAGTGAAACAAGCTTGAGGAAAATTATAGAGTCTTTAAGTTCACAAATATATGCATAAATTAAGGGGAAAGGCTACTGGTCACTAGGGCCAAAAAGTCTTAAGGCATCAGAACCTAGATAGACATCTGATGAAGACAGAATATTTATTTATTTTAGGTGCCCCCAAATGCCCTGGTACTGCCGAGGGTGAAAAGAGTCTGCTCTCCTTTTCCAAATGCTCTCACATGGCCACGCGTATATAGCCTGTACCAGGGTGGTCCACCAGGGTGTTTGGTACCTGAGTGGTTGCGCCACAGGATTGGGCCGATCTGTTCGGATTGTAACGTTGAAGCCTTCATAGTGTCTGGTTCTCCTGTAGTGCGGGATTGAGCTGTACTGTTTGGGTTGCCTCGTGAAAGTCTGGATGGTATCTGGTTCACCTGAAAACCAGTGCAAGATTACCCTCGCCCACAAGGGTATATTATATAAGCCCCCAAATGCCCTGGTATGGCCGAGAGTGGGGAGAGTCTACTCTCCCTCTCGAAATGCTCTCACATGGTCAGCGAATATATAGCCTCTACCAGGGAAGTACTACTCACTGCCTTCTCGTGGCATTACTGTTGTTTACGAAAGTGAGAGGACGAAAAGCGAATGTCCGGCGCTATAACCGGATTGGTGGACACGGAGGGTCCACCTAGGGGAGTTGGAAAACCCTGATTCCAAACCAATGGTGCACATGGGCTCCAGTTTCCTGATGGAACGAATGGCGGAAGAACCTATTGCTGGTCACCGGCTACCATGGGACTGCATCTCCTCACGATGCTCCCCTGCCTTGTGGATCAGACCTTTAGGTCAAAGGCTCGGGGTGTGGTCCCCTAAGAAAACCACCTGCTTCGGTTTGGGCACCCGGGCAGTATCACAGCCCACACACAAATGAATGAAATGATGAACTCTATTGACGATTCTATTCCTGCTCATATTATAAGCAAGACAATTTACATTATTATTATTATTATTATTATTATTATTATTATTATTATTATTATTATTATTATTATTATTACTTACCATATCGCTAATTCACCCCCTTTTACCCCCAATTTGTGTAACCTTACTCTTCAACTTATGCAGCAGCTCGCTCTTGGTGGAAAATCTGTCCTATCTAAACGATCTCCAGTCACTGTCTGGTTGAAAGTGAATGCTTCCACCGATTATGAATACTGAGGCAGTCTTTCTGGAACCACGTACGCCGTTCAAGCTGGCTTCCTTCAACGTTCACACACTAATGCAGATCAGACAACAGATAGGGCTGGCTGTGTCTTTGGAAGGTCTTAATGTTGATGTTTGTTGTCTATCCGAGACCCGTATTCAAGACTCTAGTGAAGTACTACAAATCCGCTCTCCATCTGTCACCTCGAAAAGCTTGTTCCACGTGCGCTTATCCGGGGACCCTGTGGCATCTTCGTCTGGTCTTGCTGGCGTTGGCGTCGCACTAAGCGCTAGGGCTGAGGCAGCACTAATCGATTGGATCCCCATTAACAGTCGGTTATGTGCTGTTAGATTAGAAAGTTCAATCAAAGTGAGAAGAAATCGGCGTGAGAAACGATGTCTTTTCGTCATCTCCGCCTATGCCCCGACAGATTGCAGCCCGGATGCAATCAAGGATGAGTTTCACCATCAGTTAACAGTTCTTCTCCAGAAAGCGCGTTCGACAGATATTGTAGTACTAGCCGGAGACTTGAATGCACAGGTCGGGCGTCTAGGCATAGAAGAGAGTCGTCTAGGTGGCCGATGGGGACTTGTTGGTCGCAGGACAGATAACGGGGATCGTTTGCTGCAACTGTGCACAGACCACAACCTGTTTCTGGCCAGCACCAACTTCCGGCACAGTCATTGCCGGTGTGCTACCTGGCGTCCTCCCTCTGCATCTCAAGCCTGGACTCAGATTGATCACATCGCGATCAGCCACCGCTGGCGTGGTTGTGTACAAGACTGCCGCTCCTTTTGGAGTACCTATCTGGAGTCTGATCATGCCCTGGTCTGCGCCAATCTCACCTTACTTTTCAGTGGCCGAAGGATTGACCACCACCAACGGATTGATATTAGTAAACTGGCTGCAACTCCTGTTGCAAGTAAGTATCGAGCGGAGCTAGCCTCTAGGCTAGCTAACACCCCACCGAAAAGTATAGATGAGCATTGGTTGCATCTTCACGACGCCATGAAAATGGCGAGTAAGGCCGCTTGCGGCTTCGCGAAACGTCCCGCTTACAAGCACTGGGTTTCTTCTGGCTCCTTACAACTGATGGAAGCCCGTCGGTCTACTCCGGGTGACCGTGAGTTTGACCACAAACGAAGGCTGTTACGTAATGAAATCGGGCAAAGCTTGCGTAAGGACCGGGAAGCCTGGTGGTCGGAGCGTGCTAATGAGATGGAAGCAGCAGCTGCATCTGGTAACTGCTGGAAGCTCTTCCAACTCATCCGAGCCACTGGAAGCAAGAAGTCTGGTGTGAGTGAAACAATCTACGAGGATGATGGGATGCCAATCACTAACATCTCCCGACGTCTTGGACGATGGGCGGAATTTTTCGAAGGGCAGTTCAACTGGCCTGCTGCTCCGGTAACATCAACCAACTTGTCCTGCCCCCCATGGCCGGTGACGACTGTTCCACCAAACGAGGCGGAAGTCCGCAAGGAACTCCAACTCTTGAAGCGCTACAAATCACCTGGCCCAGATGACTTACCTCCGGCTCTTTTTAAAGATGGTGGTGACTTTCTGACTAAGGAATTGACTGTGTTGTTTGGAAAGGTTTGGGAGCAAGAAAGTGTTCCAACATCATGGAATAAGTCAATAGTCGTCCCTATCTTTAAAAAGGGTTCACGTTGTTCCTGTAACAACTATTGGGGGATAAGTCTACTTTCGATTGCGTCCAAACTATTGGCTTCTATCATTCTTCGTAGGTTGTTTAAAACCCGAGAACGATTGACTCGCGAGGAGCAGGCTGGTTTCCGTTCTGGTCGAGGATGCATTGATCACATCTTCACCCTCCGCCAAATGTTAGAACACCGTCATACTTATCGCAGGCCAACAATTGTAGTGTTTCTTGATATCAGGGCGGCCTTCGATTCGTTGGACAGGACTGTTCTCTGGGATTGTCTATTGAAGAAGGGTGTGCCTGAGAAGTTCATTAACATCTTAAAGGCCCTGTATACGAACACCTCAGGCAGAGTGAGGGCATACAACCACCTTTCTCCCTTGTTCCATTCGAGCAGTGGGGTTAGGCAGGGTTGCCCGATCTCACCATTCCTCTTCAACTTTGCCATCGACGACATCCTGGAAACAGCTCTGGTGGATGTAAGTAATGGCGGTGTGGATATGTTGCCTGGAGAACGACTTCTCGACCTTGAGTATGCGGATGATATTGTCTTACTGTGCGATAATGCCCAAGGCATGCAATCAGCACTTAATCAGTTGGCAATCAGTGTCCGCAGGTACGGCATGTGCTTTGAACCCTCCAAGTGCAAAGTACTCCTACAAGACTGGCAGGATTCTAATCCTGTACTCACCCTGGATGGTGAGCAGATTGAAGTAGTTGAGAAGTTCGTGTATCTAGGTAGCTATATAAGTGCTGGTGGTGGCGTGAGTGATGAGATTGATGCACGTATAATGAAAGCCAGAGCGGCTTATGCCAATCTGTGCCATCTTTGGCGCCTTCGTGATGTTAGTCTGGCTGTAAAAGGTCGGATCTACAACGCGTCGGTGAGAGCAGTTTTGCTTTTTGCTTGTGAAACCTGGCCTCTCCGAGTTGAGGATGTTAGACGTCTCTCTGTGTTCGATCATCGTTGTCTCCGAAGGATTGCTGACATACAGTGGCAACACCATGTTAGTAATGCAGAAGTTCGGCATCGTGTGTTCGGGCACAGAGACGATAATTCAATTGGTGTCACCATCTTGAAACACCGACTTCGATGGCTTGGACATGTTTTACGAATGTCGTCCCAGAGACTTCCACGTCGTGCATTATTTGCCGACCCTGGGACTGGTTGTAAAAAGCGGAGAGGTGGTCAGTGTATGACATGGTGTCGTGGCATGAAAGAGAGCTGCAAAGGGCTAGCTTCCGTTGGTCCTTCACGACTTTCTGGTTGGGGTCCGAGAGATGGTGCAACACAGTGGCTAGAGACGTTATCAGATATGGCTCAGAATAGAAGCCAGTGGCGATCCTGCTGCAACCTTCTTTTACTTTCTACATAAAGAATGGTTCTAACTTTCTTAACTGAAAGAGTCTTCTGGTTGTACATTTCAGTCCGCCTTATCTTTTCATCCCTTCTCTTCCTACTTTCATTATTTTGGGTGGCGCATATGTACCTGGTGCCCTTTTGTACCAATATATATGTGTTTAAATAAATAAATAATAATAAATAGTCCTACTCACTGCCTTCTCGTGGCATTACTGTTGTTTACGAAATTGAGAGGACGAAAAGCGAATGTCTGGCGCTTTAACCGGGTTGGTGGACAAGGCGAGTCCATCCAGGGGAGTTGGAAAACCCTGATTCCAAACCAATGGTGCACATGGGCTCCACTATGCTGAGGGAACGAATGGCGTACGAACCAGTCGTTGATCATCGGCTACCATGGGACTGCATCTCCTCACGATGCTCCACTACCTTGTGGACTAGACCTTTAGGTCAAAGGCTCTGGGTGTGGGCCCCTAAGAAAACCACCTGCTTCAGTTCTGGCACCTGGGCAGTATCACAGCCCTCAAGCAAATCAAATGAGATTTGTATGGGACATATGTATCTTGTGCTTCCTTGTACCAATATTTATGTGTTTAAATAAATAAATAAAATAAATGGCTAGAGTTCTAAAGTTTTAACAGATGAATGATATGTTCGAATATCTGTAAATATTTTGGTTTGGACAGCCGTGAGTTTAAATGAACACAAAAAACATAATAGCTGGATTAATAACAATAGAAAACTAACTATAAGAAATACGTTTGAAATAGAATAGACGAAGTAGGGAGATGAAAATTACCTAGTAATACTAGGTTTAACATCTAAAGGAAAATAGATAACCATTCCATCAGCCTCATTGTGACAATTTCTAAACCTTTCCATTTAGGCCCATTAATAATAATAATTTGTGAGTATTTCACGCGTAACAACTAAGGATTATATAGCTTTTAGAGTGACTTACTCTAACAATCAATAATATACTGACAATATACTCGTTTTACTATGTAAGTTCATTAATGACTGAAGTGATTAGAACAAATCATACAACTTCACTCTCCGTTTGGCCTAGCATTGATGATTAGCCAACGTGAAAAGAGTTGAATGTAACAAGACTGAGACACTATATTAGTTCATAAAGTCATTGATTATTGGTTTGACCGGTATACGGAGACATAGACTTCATACTTTGACTGTGAAATATATGTATAATTAATGGATTCAGACTAAGCGATACTGATCAGAATCAGATGACTTATTACACATCCACTTACATTTTATTTTTATTACGCGAAAGTCTGGTTTTATGATCAGGTAAAGTACAGTAGATGTTGGTTGGTGCAGGAATTGATGGAACATACAGTCTTTTAAGATAAGTTATTTGATATTTGGAAAGCTTAGGGAACATTTCAGACCAAATCTATATATTGAGACCGACTATATACACGTGAACTAATTCGCTTGAGTGCACCGAATTGACACGTAAATAAAGAACGGTAAGTGACTCATGACGAGGCGATTGGAACGATGAGTAGTTCAAACTTCCTCTTTCAGTCTGTATATTTAGTGCTTATTTCAGACAGTAAACTGTCCTTCGAATAAGCGGAGAATGCATCTAGCGTTAGCCTTATATACGATATTTTACAGATACTCAAATAGAGTCTGGATCCGGGCGATCCGACAAAGAACGATGGTAACTAGTAACTTCATTATGGCATAAGCAAACGTGGCAACAGTGATATGATTTATTCATTAAGTCGATGGAACCTTAAGAACTACCACATGATAGAATAAAAATAAAATTAATGGTGCTTGTTAAGCTTTTCTAGGCGTATTCATGTAAATATAAATACCTTTACATACCTGAGGTACGTAAATAAATATTCCATCAGCATTAGCAATGGCAATCTAAGAAAAAGGTATATATTAAGCAATATCAAACCTTTCCATATTGCTGGTTAAAAGCAACAGCTGTTACAACAGAGTATCCTAACTCACACCCAGAAATCACCTGACTGCGACAAAAGGATTCATTCAAAATAACTACATCACACCCACTGGCATACACCTTGAAAGAAAAAGTCAAGCTTTCAACAGAAAACTAACGACGTAGTTAGATCCCCGAACCTTCGCTTGTGCGATATGAGAATAATCACCATTGCATGAACCAGTTATTACTTGGTGAACCCTCATCTGAAAAAGACACGACCTAGAGATCAAAGTACGTGCGCTCGAAATACTATACGCAATTTGCTACTTTCAATTTTGCAAATAAATACAGATAGGACAAAATGTCAGCTCTTTCATTAGTTATTTGCCTGATAAAACTGAAAATTTGGAGAGATACCTTTTTAAGTGATATTTACAGATTGTCGACAAGTCTAATCCTAGGGGGCTTTAATACACCCATGGTAGACTGGGGAAATCTGCTAACTGAATTGTCAAATAATTCCTTCGAGCAGGAACTAGTTGATGCGGTTATCACATGTGCCCTAGTGCAATATGTGAAAGAAACAACCCGTGTTATGAATAATCATCACCAGATCTTATATTGACTCACTATTATAGTGACACTTATATCTAGCGATTTTTTTTGTAATAACAAATTAAAGATCACATATTTTTAATATTTGTCACACTTTTATGTAACCACACTTATATTCAATATCTATTGTTTTTCTGTATCAATAGTAAAGAAATGAATACTTTTGTTTGGTTATATATAACACTACTTCACTACCGCGATTCTTAAAATATAAACGTTGTATCCGCCGTCTATTCTTCTGTTTTAACGGCCACCGCCTTTGATTGAAGATTATAATAGTATTATAGCATCCTTTTAGGCCTTTCCTCACTACGTTGGAGCTGTGGCCCGGATCATTACTGAATAATACTACTGGATCTAATCTTCTTCATTCTGCTCTTGGTGCAATCACGTGCAGAGGAACCTTTGTTAACCAAGTGAACTTATTTGTGGTTGTTATCTTAGAAAGCAGCTTACAAGTAACATTCATTTCGTAAAACTGTTACCATTTTGTTGTTCAATATACTTTTTTATAATTTCACTGTTTGTAGTGTTAATTCTTTTGGTATATTGTTGGTAACTTTGCGTATTGTTATATTGTAACTAAGCTATTATTGCCGAGGTCCACCACACTATAAAGATGACGTTGCAAACCTGGATTACATGCCACCCCTAGGAAAAAGTGATCATGCACTTTTTAACCTTTGACTTCGATATAACTGTCGATCATGAGAACGCCTCAGCTCAAAGCAAACATGCATGACATCATACACTCAGCATCATCAGTAGATTGGACAATAGACCCAGAGTCATCGATCGAAACGGCTTGGGACGTATTCCGGAATTTATACCTGAAAGTTACCGCCCCCCACATCCCTTGGACTACACCTAGGAGGCCGAGAAACTCTACACCATGGTTCATTAGGGAGGTTCGCATCCTTCTCCGTAAGAGAAGAAAAATATGGAATAGATTTAGGTTACCGGGGTCAGGTGAGACAAAATCTCAGTATGAAAAGGCTCAGAATACCTGTGCCTCGACCTTCCGTAAGTCTAGAAAGCTGTATGAAGAGAAAATTGTTAAGGAATCCATAGAATGTCCCAAACGCTTGTATTCCTATATAAACCAAATGACAAAGAGGAGAGGAAATGTTCCTTCACTATGGGGAGACAGTACTGCCTCATCACTAGTGTAGGACGACTTTGATAAAGCTCAAGTATTCTTAAAATACTTTAGCAATTTATACACCATAGAAACCCCCTTCACACCAGTTCATGCAATTCCCTCCACACATACACTGGACAGCGTGACCATTAAAAAAATACATGTCTTTAGTCTGCTAAATAAGCTTGACATAGGCGAATCCACTGGACCCGATGAACTTCATCCTAGGTTACCAAAGGAATTAGCTAACTTTGTTGCAAACCCTTTAAGTATATGTTTTAATCTATCCGTAACCCAGGGTCGTTTACTAAAAGACTGAAAGAAATCCATAGTAAGTCCTGTCTTCAAATCAGGCACGAAACCTGAGAATTACCGACCCATTAGCCCAACTAGTGTGGTTTTTAAAATCTTAGAAAACATTATTCGGAAGGAGCTGTTTAAGTACCTCGATAAAAACTGGATTTTTTCGGAGAAGCAGCATAATTTTAGAACAGGTTATTTTTGTCTCACTAACTTATTAGTTGCTCGTGAAAACTGGTGCGCTCTTAAAGATATGGAGAGCGATACAAAGTAAGGGTGATAGCTTAGAACTCTAAAACGACCTAGGGAATTTATCTGAATGGTTTCAAACCTGGCAGTTGCCGATGGATACTTCCAAGTGTACTGTGATGCGTATCGGTCATCAAGGTACAGATACATACACAATGAATAACACTGAGCTACCCGTTGTCCAGACACACTATGACTGAGGAGTTATCGTTATTGCCGTGCAATAGCTACCGAAGGTTTTAGAACTTTATGGTCAATACGTTGGGCTTCTAGACATGTCGACACTAAGACATTTTCGACTTTGTATACAGTGTTCGTGCGTCCTAATCTTCAGTACTACATACAAGCGGCCAGCCCCCGATTAAAAAAACACAGTTTGCTCTTGGAAAGGGTTCAGAGAACAGCAACTGAGCTGATTCCCGGAATAGCGAAGCTTGTTTTCGAAAACATAAAATTTACGAGGACAATCAGGAAGAGTACACAAGCCCAGAACAAATTAACTGTCAACTGACTATCGACTTTCCCATCGAATCATCAACTAGTGTAATTCATTACCTCAGCACCTCGTTGAGGCTCCATCTGTCGACTCCTTCAAAAGAAAATTGAATCAACTGAGAGACCATCATTTCCAGGACTAACACGGGCCATCAAGCCTCCAGTCCTTTCCTAAATGAAACTGAGATATAAAGAACTATGTAATTCGCAGATTTTCATAGTACTGTGTAAATCTAGCCTCATTGTTGAACTGTTATAAAAATGTGTTAATGCTATGTATTTCAGTGAAAACATTTGTGTGTTGATCCTGCATTATGAGAAAATTGTAATTAGAAAAGGACCTTTAACCTTCGAATGATGTGAATTGAAGATTTATCTACCGTCAAACGAGTCCAAAATAAGCTCCGAAATTATTAAATCGGGTTCACTATATCCACCATTGCTCCCTCAACAAATAAATATCGAGTACAAAAACGGTCCTTTACGTCGTACGTTCGTAAATTTTTAAAAGCTGCTAAGTAGTACTCTTTAGGTGATCACATATTTTTATTCTCGTCTAAGGACTTGTAGTCCTTTCACTTACGCTCTCATTATTGATAACAACGGTACTATATTTACTGCTTTTACTGTTGACCAAGTAACATAGGATGATGAAGTGCCAAGAATACTTATTACAAGACCTGAAAACCTGGTCAGCTCAAAACTGTCACGTAAATGATTTGGTTCCATATCTGGCATTGGGATATACATATCAAGATTATTGTTGGGTAAATTTGCTCACAATAATAAAGTATGCAGATACCCCGTAACAGGAGCGTCAAGTGCTTAAATCCAACTGAACTTCTCAGAAAGTTGTAGAACTTCATGTTTCCTTTCAAAACGTAAGAATTAACTAACTTACAATCTTTGACCATCGATTTATTCAAATCATCATAAAGATGCCATAGATATTCAGGGTTTAACAACTCTTTTGTCTGTAACAGCTATATAATTGAAGGATATCAACTCGGTCAGACCAGGACTCGGGAATGAACGAGTTCAAGAACATATTTAGACTGTTGTCAATGTGTTGATGAGCGTTTACTCGAAGCTGGCTAGCAGTCGCTAAGAATGCGCAGCATGGCGTAGCCACAAGTGTTCTGATGCAAATGAATGACGAAGCGCATTCAGCTAGGATGTGTCAAGTAAACAAATGAGCCCAGCATCAGCGTCAATTATGGACTAATATTATATATATTCCTATTGCATAATTATTCAGTAACTAGATTAAGGATGTCTATATTCCACTTATTATAAGCATTATTTTGACCCATATATTATTATTATACAATTTACCGTTCTTAAATTATATTCAAGTTACTAATTACAGTCTCCTACGTTCACAGCCACTTTCGGCTTGATCTTGTGTATTTCCTGTTTTATGGTGTAATGCGGTCTGTTTAGTTGGTAGACAAACCAAGTGTGCTTTAAATAAATGATTTTCATAGTAGAGGCTGTTATTGGTATGCTGGACTCAAATCGACCGGCTAGGCGGACAAAGGAATCTAAGCTGATCATGCCGGGTGAACGTCATTGGTTTGGCTCAGTAATAAGATTGAATAAGTCGTATTTCGATTGGTGAATAAATCACGCGATAACACAGCGACCTTTAAAGTTACAACAGTTTTCATTTCCGAAAATGTTATGGCAATCTCATATTTCACCTTTGCGATAATTAGGTATCATTCGTTCTCTCAACCAATCACAGAAAGTTTCCATGGATTTTACAGGACATCGTTTACAAGATAAACGGGTTCATCAGAATAAATCAGGTTTTGAGCTGACAGTGCTACTTTAACACGTTTGTAAAAGCCTTTTGTAACGACACACAGGACTATAGTTAGCCGATGGCAATAAGGCTTCCGAAAGAAACTGGTACCGATTGCATTGTGAGCCAGTAGCTACTTACCTTACTATCACGATGAAAAGTCACTTCGTTGTAGATATTTTTGGGAGACCAAAGTCTTCATACTTGCAACGAACTACCTTCTAAACAGTAAAGCGACCAGTGTGTAAACACAACTAGAGAGAGCCCAACCCTACATTTCCGAAAGTTGGGTACATCTTAATGTGTGTATACTCAGACTGAAAGAGGAGTTTTCTGGTATGGCGAATGCATATCTTACGGGACTTTACTTAACATGCTGACTGATACGTCTGTAGTCGAAAATCAAACAAGTATATCGCACTTTACTTCCATCAATTTGAAACCAAATTCACTTTTAGAAATAATGCGAAAAATGTGTCATATATCTTCATTTGTGATTTCATCACAGAAGTTTACTTTTTCCGAAGCGCTTGAGCTGGATTATAATTGATAGCTACAAGCCAATCTCTTAAGCCTACATTCTGGTCAGCAACTGCGTCTTTTTTGCTGGTGAAGACCATAATAGCCTGAAGTGGTGCCTTTATCAAATCGAGGCT